ATATATAAATGATTCAAGTACCTTGATTTATACAGTTATTGAGAATCTTAAAGACAAACAATTACCAATATGATGTGCTTTTATTGTTTAATTAATTTTATGTTAGCATAAAATAATAAAGATGAATTTTTTTTTAATTACTTAATTTATACCTTTAATTAAGAAGGAACTCTCAAATTGGCAAATTGATAGGGAGTTAATTAAAAAATTAGAGTAATATTAACAAAAATAATTGTTCAAAGATGTGAAATTTCTTTTAATGATTTGTTAGATAATAAAATTGAAGCAAAACCCAATTTATTAAATTTATTAACTTATATACTTGATGAAAAAACTTAAAGGATAACATAATGAAAAATATTTTTAATAATCAATAAGAAAAATAAAAATAATATTAATTTCATTAATTTTAACAATGGATTAACAAAGATAAAATTATAAATCTGAAGAACTAGAAATTATTCTTCAAATTGTTATAGAAAATTCAAATAGAACTTTATATGAATTATAAACTGTTTAAATGAAGCTTATAGAATGGCTAAAGTGAAAATGATAAGAAGAATATTATTAAAGTATCTGAATTTTTTGAATCTTTTCCATTTGTATAGCAAATTTATTTGTTAAACCAATTTTCAAATGATCAATTCTAATTTATTCCTAGTTAACATCTAATTGTAAATGAAGATTTTAATCTTATAATATTTTTAATTATATCTAGGATCCAAAAAGATAACAATCAACTGCAATCTTAATTTAAGAATAATATTACAAAAGTTGTTTACGGTTTAATGAATAAAAATAATAATAAAGAAGATATAATTGAATAGATTAAATATTTTAATAATTAACATAAACTTAAGAGTACTAGATAAAATTCTTGATATAAATATAAATGCATTCGTTCAAGAAAATGAGTAGGTCAAAGTTTATTAATAAAATTTACGTTTAATTAAAATAATTTAGAGTTTTTAGGTCAATTTTTAGTTTCATCTTTTATTCTATTGTTTTTTTATTTATTTAACAAAACTTTTTGAAGTTTATGATTTGCTTAGACACCTTCTTCTCTACAATTTACTGTTATGATCCTTTAACTTCAATTATTTATTTCTACAAAACTATGTATCCATTCATTTCAATATTCTAAGAAAGCAATTTAATTATTAAACTTCATATCATCTTTTTTTATAATTTTTATTGTTCTCAAATTGTAAAATTAATTAGACTAAAATAACAAAATATAATGAGATTACTAATTGATAAAGTAGATCAAAAAGACTTAGTAAACAAGCTGATGAATTAAGTAAAAACTTGATGAATTCATTCTATAATAAAGAGCAGAATAAACTAACTCAAACCTAGTCTAATTAAAAAAAATTAAAATTTATGAGTCATTCATATGTCAAATAACAATAATGGTATTTAATTTAATGATGTTTCAATAATTAATGGTTCTAAATTTTAAGTAACCCAATTAATGTATAAATTTAATTAAATTGCCTCTATGAAAACGATTATAAATTATTTAACAAATAAATATTTAGATTTATAAATTTAAAATAATAATATAATAAATTCCCTTTTATTTTTATAAAAGCTTAATAATATTGTTATTTTAGAAGGGATTTTATTTTTATCTTATTTTACTAAATAGTTTTATTTAATATTTTAACTTACAAATATGAAATATATTTTTTAGTTATTTCTCAAGTGATAGTTATATATGGTGAAATTAACTATGTCGTTGTTAATAAAACATATAAAAATATACTATTGAAGTTTTAAGTTATTTGCTATTTATGTATTTAAATAAAAATGAACTTATTGGAAACAAATAGGATCTTAATCAGAAGTGGAAAATAATTGATTTTGTAATTCTATTAAAATTTTTCTATAATAGAATAATTTTTTGCTTTATAATATATAATTTTCTTTTAAAACGATTTTAATAAATAAAATACATAATAGTTGTGTATATCAAATAGAAATATTTAGATATCTTAATTAAATAACCGTTAGTCAACACTTGAGTTTCAGAAAAATAGATAAATGTAAAAAAATATTAATGTTAAATATTTAAATAAAATAAATAAATGCCTGTTGATTGGGACTATAATATGACAATTGATAAGGTTTTGGTTGCTTTCGAAAGTAGATATTTAATTTTTATAAATAGATAATCATTTTTCAGAATTAGACTATAGAGATCTTATCTTAAGTTATCATATCATATTAAATGAAAACAATAATATATAATCGACTCCTCAAACTAATAATGACTAATAATAAATGTTATTAAATACATTATCCGAATAAATACATGCCTAAATTGATACATCTAATAAACAATTAGATAATATATTCGAAGAAACTTAGTCTATGTTTCTATAAATTGAATAATAAAATATTCCTTAAATTAATGAAAGCGTAAATTTAGCTGTTATTTAATCGAAGAAAATTCAAAATTTGATGTAGGATTAACTCTGCTAAACTTAGAGGCGATCAGAAATAACTGATTTATCTACTAATTGTTTAGCTAAATAATGCGATATTTAAGAATTAGAATCTGAATTTATGTCTTTATAGTAACACATTAATCAATACGTATAAAAATTTGAAGAGCTAACTGATAAATTTAAGCAACACAAAGATAAATTTGAGTTGGAAAAAAAACAAACTTAGAGCATTTAATAATAATTAATGTATAACATTTAGACAATTTTGTACAACCAATATTGAATTCATCATTATTATATTTTTATATTAAATTATATTAAAATGAAAATGGAAATCTTTAATAGAAAATATGGAGCATTTTGTGGATGTTATTAATTATTATAAGGAATTATAGATAATATAAAATAATTGATTGAATTAAAGGTTGGCATCTAATAAAATTAAACAATACATGAATAAAATTAATTCATATATTCTAATGAAAGTTGGTTTTAATTTTATAACCAATGTTTGAAAATGTTGTGAAAATTTCTTTAACTTTTTAATTATAGTTATAAACATTATTGGAAGAAAATTTTAATTAGGATGGCAAGATCCTAAACTAAGTAAATGAAAGATGATTGAAAATGGAATATTTTAAGTGATTGTTTGTTGAATTAGAAATGGGATAGTTCTGGAGTATATATTAGAAAATTTAAGTGAATACTATTAAAATTTATTTAGAATTCATCCTAAGGAAATAATTACAATCTAAAATAATTTAACATAATTGAAAAATTTTTAATTTATATATTTTAGAATTTATTTGCATTTGATTAACAATATTTAATTTAATAATTAGGATACTACATCTTTGTATTTATTAGCACTAATGAGCAATTAATAAAAATATTATTTTAATCTTGTATTCTCTACTGTAATTCAAAAAAAAAATTTTATAAAAATTATCAAATTTTGAAAAATATAAAAGACTTAAAAATAAACCAACATTCTAGTGATATTAAACTAATTATAAAAAATAATGATACATTAATCTATCAAATTGAATACTCATTTATTTTTACAGAAATCTATTTATAATAGTTAAGAATACCTCTTTTATCTTTAAACCATTTATCATTTGGATTAATTTTGAGTAATTTTTCATAATAAATCAGAGCTTCTTTGTACTTTTATTACTCTTCTAAANAAGCGTAAATTTAGCTGTTATTTAATCGAAGAAAATTCAAAATTTGATGTAGGATTAACTCTGCTAAACTTAGAGGCGATCAGAAATAACTGATTTATCTACTAATTGTTTAGCTAAATAATGCGATATTTAAGAATTAGAATCTGAATTTATGTCTTTATAGTAACACATTAATCAATACGTATAAAAATTTGAAGAGCTAACTGATAAATTTAAGCAACACAAAGATAAATTTGAGTTGGAAAAAAAACAAACTTAGAGCATTTAATAATAATTAATGTATAACATTTAGACAATTTTGTACAACCAATATTGAATTCATCATTATTATATTTTTATATTAAATTATATTAAAATGAAAATGGAAATCTTTAATAGAAAATATGGAGCATTTTGTGGATGTTATTAATTATTATAAGGAATTATAGATAATATAAAATAATTGATTGAATTAAAGGTTGGCATCTAATAAAATTAAACAATACATGAATAAAATTAATTCATATATTCTAATGAAAGTTGGTTTTAATTTTATAACCAATGTTTGAAAATGTTGTGAAAATTTCTTTAACTTTTTAATTATAGTTATAAACATTATTGGAAGAAAATTTTAATTAGGATGGCAAGATCCTAAACTAAGTAAATGAAAGATGATTGAAAATGGAATATTTTAAGTGATTGTTTGTTGAATTAGAAATGGGATAGTTCTGGAGTATATATTAGAAAATTTAAGTGAATACTATTAAAATTTATTTAGAATTCATCCTAAGGAAATAATTACAATCTAAAATAATTTAACATAATTGAAAAATTTTTAATTTATATATTTTAGAATTTATTTGCATTTGATTAACAATATTTAATTTAATAATTAGGATACTACATCTTTGTATTTATTAGCACTAATGAGCAATTAATAAAAATATTATTTTAATCTTGTATTCTCTACTGTAATTCAAAAAAAAAATTTTATAAAAATTATCAAATTTTGAAAAATATAAAAGACTTAAAAATAAACCAACATTCTAGTGATATTAAACTAATTATAAAAAATAATGATACATTAATCTATCAAATTGAATACTCATTTATTTTTACAGAAATCTATTTATAATAGTTAAGAATACCTCTTTTATCTTTAAACCATTTATCATTTGGATTAATTTTGAGTAATTTTTCATAATAAATCAGAGCTTCTTTGTACTTTTATTACTCTTCTAAACATAAAGCTTAAAATTAAAATAATAAATACCTTTGAATTAAAGAGATGGAATATGTTTTTCATCAATTGAGAGTGCTTAATTAAATAATTTTATAGATTCATTATATTTCTACATCAATTTTAAGCATTCACCTATTAATATAATTATCAATCAATCTACCTTTATAGCATAAAGAATTTACATGTTTAGGATCAATGGCTAATGCTTTGTCCAACCAAGTAACTGCATCCCCATACTTATTTAATAATCTTAAACATGCTCCTATTAATAATTATTTATTTTAACCTTTACACCATAAAGATAAATGATTATTTGGATCTGATTCTATTTATTTATCTAATATTTCTATAGCTTAATCAAATTTTCTATTAAAATATAATTAATAACCTATGATAATAAAATAATATGATTACCTTATTCATAAAGTTCTTTAGAAAGTTTAATATGTTTTTCATCTATTTAATAATAATTAATTTAAGATAATTTTAATTGTTAATATAAATTATTAAATGAATTACTTAATTTCTTTATCTATTCTGAGATAATACTTATTATTGATTATTTGTATTCACCGAATTTAGTGATTGAATTCAAGAAATCATTAATTTAATATTAATTCAAATGTACCAATCTTTCCTTTACTAATGAATATTTATTTCTAATCCCACTTTTTAATTAAGAAAATGATTCATTGACACTTTCTACTTATGTGTTAAGATTATCAATTAAATTTTCATATTCTTAATTTTGTTTATCAATAAATTCTACAATACTGCTGATTTTTTCAATACTATTTATATGGGAATGATGAAGTCCTTTCTTAATACATAAAAACAATTTAATCTGAATTCTTAACAAAATTAATCGTAACAAACCACGTCTATTTCATCCTAATGGCCATCTAGTTAACATATTAGTTTTAAATTTGGTTACTAAATCATTTTTAATATATAATATCTGATTTTTATTCATTCAAAAAAATTATATTCAAATACTCGTATTCTATTAAAATAAAATTTAATAAATATTATTTTACAAATTAACTATTTTTGTAGATTATCCACTATATTTTCAAAATACTTAATTTCTTAAGACTTAATATTCATTCAAAATAATTTAAGAATACTATTAAAATTAATTTTATATAAGTTTTAAGTAAATTTAAGAACGATAGTTTCAGTTAAGTATATTTGATAAATTTATTTATTTTTTTATAATATTTTGTTTCAATAAGATTCAATAATAATGAGTCGATATCTATAAGCTAGATTAATGATAATAATTTTATTGTTTTTGACAATAAATTTCTACTCAAGATTTCATTATATTAACATAAATTCAAAAATAAGTAAGAATAAAATAGACTTGAATCATAAAAAACTTATCTTTTTATTCCTAACAAATAATTCGATATTATTTTTATTTTGATACTGATAATAAAATAAATATATAATTACATAAATTCATTATAAAGCAAATGGAAAAATAAGCAAAAATTAAAAGACTATAAACTATGTAATGTAATGTTATTTTTATTTTTTTTGAATGAATGCCCAAAATATTAAATGTATATTAGAAATGTACATATTTAGTCTAAGACATAAAATAAAAAGAAGTTGAATTTAATTCAGAAAACTTATATTAAATAATTACTACATATTTATTAAATAGTAATAGTCCTCATAAATGAAAACCAACAAAAACTACATTTATTTTTATGTAATCAATGATTTATTCAAGTTATTACTTTTTCAAATATGCTATTTATCTGGAAAAAAGAGGATCCTTATTTTTTAAAGAAGGTTTTTTATTTTTAATTCCTTTTGACAAATAAAATTTATTTATTTAACCTTTATTATTCTCATTAAGAATAAGCCTACTCATTAGGCTATTTTTTTATTCTAGAATAAAGTTAATTCTTAACAAAATACAAACTTTTAAAATATTAAACTAAAATTTTTATTTTTAAAACTGTCCTTTTTAGCCATTTAATCAAATCAAAAATAAATAAATTCCATAATACTATCCAACTAACCATCTTTGTTAATAAAGCTTACTTATTGCTCCATAATGAATTCAAACATAATAGTACTCTTTTGAATGACTTTTAACTAATCAGAAAAATAACTGTTCATTCTAATCCAATTAATACTAATATTTTTTGATAATAATATATTATTTTTATTTTAAACCTACTTATTGAATTATAAATTAAATAGACTAATATTTAAAAAAAAAATACATTACATATATTTACAGATTCAAATCAAATAGAAATATTAAATCAAATCATTTATAATATTTTTAATTCTATTACTTAATATTTCAAATATAATTCATAAGAATTATTAATATTTTAATGGAATATAAGAATTTATTTTTTATATTAAAAAAAGCATAATATCTAATTATTAAAATCATATCAAATGAATACTATCACTTAATAATTAGAATAATACAAGCCTGAGATTCAATAAAATATATGTGAAATTCATAAAAGCGATATAGTAGCTATTGATCTTGTCATTTCAGAAAAATGTTAATTTTAATACTTGTGCTATCATTGTTTAGTTGCAAAAATAAATGATAATAATATATCAACTATTGAATAAACTAAAGAAAGAATATAATCCTACAAAACAAAAAAATAAGAAAATAAGTCTAAAGAAATTCAATTGAGATTAGACTATTTCAAGAAAATACTGGATTAAATTGGAGACTTCAAATGCAGTGTTGAAAATATTTTGGATAAGATCTACACTCAAATAAATGCACAAATAGTTACTATATAAAAAGAAAAGTCATCACTATTAGAAAACTATTAACTATTTTATAATTTTTAAGACGAAGTTAAATCACTATCTAAATTTCTTTCAATAGACAACTAAAACAAATAATTGGAATTTTAATTAGATAGCTAATTAATTCATTAAATTTTTTAGTAATTTGAGCTTTTATTTAATAATGCTTCATATTTTTAAACTATCGACACATTTAAGGATGTTAAATAAAAAATTGAATTAATGAATGAAAATATTAAATTTGAATTAATGGAATCAAAAAGTTAAAACTCTTAAGTAAAATTTTTATCATTTTTTAGAAAACAACTACTTTAAATAGAATTTGCCAAAAACATAATAAGGAAATACTAATGATTGACATAGATACTAAGAATAAAAAAATGGAGGATAGATTTGTGTGTGTCAATTGTATTAGTGATCATCCAAATTGTTAATACAAAACAATAGAAAAAGTAAATGAGGAATTGAATTATGTAAAAAACGAATAAGATCGAATTTTAAAAGATTTTAAGACAAAGAAACTAGAAAAATATGAGAAATTATAATAATAAATTGCCATAATGAGAAAAAATTAAAATTAATAACTTAATGAAATTAGTGATAAATTAATTACAGAATTTTCTAAACAAACAAATACAACTGATGAAATTTCTATTTAGCTTTTAAGGGATGAAGAATTGGAATCAAGTATTAATAATTTAATTCAGTTTGATCAAAAAAATATTAATATAAATTAAATAATTGAGGATATAAAATCTAAAGATTTGATATAAGAAAAAGAAATTGAAAGCAAATTAGAAAGTTTAAAATAGCAAGATTAATTAGATATTTAAGAGTCAATTAATATATTAAAGGATATTTAAAGTATTATATATATTTTATATATCTAGATGAAAATCAATTTCAAGGAATTCTCCAATTATCATAATATATTTAAGAGAACACTAATATTAATTAAGAAAATTAGACGGTATAAAAAGAAATACATGAATTGATAGATACTTTGAAATTAAATAATTGCTAGAGAGATTTACCCAATTAAATTAGCCATCAATTTTAAGAAAATTTAAAAAAAATTAATAATGCTACAAATAAAATTAAATCCATTTCAGATTTAAATCCTTTAGACTTTCAAAAATAAGTTAAAGATGATAATGAAATAATTGAAAATGATTAAATATATTTAAAGAAGTTTTGTGATAATTAGAATATAGAGTAAAACTTAGAAACTTTACAAATAGAATATGAGAAATTTTAATAAGCTTGTTAGATAAAAATCGAAAAATTGAACAAAATAATTGATTAACTTGAAAAAGAAATGGAATAAAAAATTAAAATGAAAGAAGACGAAATTTAATAGCTACATTAAAAGATGAAAGAAAAATCAAGTAAATATTTTTAAATATATAAAAGTATTGTAAATTGAAGATCAATAATAAGTTTAATAACAGAGTCAATTAATCGATGAAAATGATTATGTAGTTGATTTTTCTTAAATCGAAATAGAATATGAAGGGATTGATTTTGTAGGGTTTTATTAGTAATAGTTTTTAATAATCGATTAATTAAAACTTTGAAATTATTTTTTATTATTTGTTTAGCAATGATTATTTAATATTTTTATATTCATTTTTATGATATTCTAATTATAATCACAATATTTAATTTCATTTGATTATGAAATGCAACAATTAAACAGCATTTAAGAACTACATTACTTACATAAATTAAAGATTAGAATGTTATAAATCTAAATGATATTAATTATAATATTTTGAGAGTTAAATTTATATAGTTTTATATATTAAAGAAAGTCCCCTATAAACTTACTGTTGAAATTTGTTGAATAATAATAATGTTTATGTAATAAGTAATTTAAAATTTTTTTAACTTCTGTTACATTTTATAATTAATTTTTCTTATAAAATGTCGATTAATAATGTATTTGATATCATAGATGGAATACTTTAATTAATATCTTCTCTTGCTGATATTTCAAGGCTAGATGTTAATATTTCAATAGGAATGGTTTGTAGAATTATATTTTTTATTGTTGTAATTAGCTTGCGAGATCTAAGAACTTATCCTGTTGGTGAATTTTGTGCATAAGTTGTTGCATGGCTTGTTTTTCATATCTATATCTTGTACTATGAAAAAGAATATTTCTTTACTGGAGAATCCAAGGTATTTGATAGAGAAATACAATTTAAAATTATGGATACTATATAATTGATAATTGCTACAATATATATGGCTTGCACATTTGAGTCTACCTTAGAAATATTGGTTTTGGCATTTTTTATAATCAATCTCTTTTTAAATTGTTGTGAATTAATTTATATATCATGTTTTAGAAAAGCTCATACAAATGATTACAATAAATAAGGAGGATACACTTAAATGTATATAGGTTTTTTTATGGGAGCTGCAGGAGTTATTATATTTTTGATAGACGCAGCCTCTAAATATTCAGAAAATGTTAAAGCTTCAGGAATATTAACAGTTATTTTATATTTAACTATTGGCGGATAATTTATTGTAGTGATTTTTTCATTTGGATATTTTTGCTTAGATAGATAAAAATTTAAATGGTCTTATGATTGGACTAAGGGAATTTTAGGATTTCTTTATGGTGCAAATGTTGGATTATTTAGTATATTTTATGGATTTTTAACCGGTTTAGCAACAGCTTGCTACATCATCTATTAGATATCAAAAAAAGTTGATGAATATAATAATTAACAATAAGTCCATCCCACTGAATGAATCTTTTTATTTCTATTAACCTTTCAAATTATAATATTATTCTGCTGAAACACTCTATAATAAAATTATATATATATTATTATTATTTTGGAGAAAAATTCTAAATTCTTTCCAATTTTAGATTCAAAATATTTTATTTCTAACAATTTTTTCTGACAATCCAATAATCATTTCTAAATCTATTTTGATTCCAATATCAATCTTTTTTATAATCATAAATAAATAAGTTATTTATATGTCACTATTAACAATTTCAGGTTAGAAAAAAATTGATTTAAAATTTAAAAGATAATCTTATAACTCTATTTTGAAAGTATCAATCCATAAAGTTAATCTTTTATTCACTCAATTTCCGTAAAAAAAATTAAACCTTTACTAATCTAATCCGAATAATTATATATAATTTATTTTCAACTTAGCTAAATTAAAATAATACATAATCTATTTATTTTCTTCAATATATTTGTAGAAATACTATTTTAATATTATGTTTTTTTGACTAGATTTTGAATCTCTAGAATATTTCTGATTTTCTCTAAAAATTTAGAATAATTAAATTTAAATAGATATAATTTTTGAATATATTATTAATCATATAGTAAAAATTCATAATAAATTCATCAATTTCATATTTATCTTATTAATAAAATAAAAATCCTTAGTTGAAATAATAAATTATAGCTAATATTATAGTTTTGAATTAGCCATCTAATTAATTATCCATATATTTCCAAATATATGATCCTCTTATCTATTATTTAATTTTTCAATGGCAGATTACAATTAGCCTGTCAAATTATACGCAATTCTACTATATACAAACTCTAAATTTTTCAAAAATAGATTCATTTTATATTTGGTCTAGTATAATGCATAAATAATTAATTCGTACTTCTATCCTAAATATGTAGATAAAATTAAATTATTCCATAAATATTCATAGTTTGGTAATTAATCCTTTATTAGTTAATATTAGAATTAAAGGATCAGAAAAAAAAATTAAGTTTAAGTCTGGCTTAATAATTGATTGCAATTATTATTGTCATCAACAATTAATGAATATAAGGATTGAATTTATTAAATATTAATCAATTAAGAGGGGAATAAACTCATCTCTATTGCATATCAAAAAACAAGGTTTAATTTGAATCGTAAATAACAACTCTTGATTAAAACTAGAAAGATAATAAAATGATTTTTATAAAAGCATTTATAAAAATTTGATATAATATTTTTATTTTTAGATCAAAATTGTCTTAGAAGCAATTCTAGAGGTTCTTTATTTGTTATTTGTTCTTGAAAATCAATAGAATCTATTGGTTTGACTAGGAATCTATTTGTTTCTTTTTCATTTGATGTACAAAAATGATGACTTTCAAATTTTTCTCCTAATAAATGGCTTGCTTTTAATATATGAATCCCAAATTATTGTTAAATGATAAATTGAATTCTTGATATTTCATATATAATATTATTAAGTCTACATTTTTTCCGTGCACTTTGAAGTAAAGTTTTATGAATGGAGTTCAAACTTTGAATTGAAGGTTATTTTTTGTTATTCTCTTCTTAAAAAAATTATTTTTATAAAAAATTTTTTAGTGAATATCCTTTTACATCAGGATAATACATTGATATAATATCATGAAGCAATTCATCTTCAAGTAATTGGCTATTATAATATATTGCTGCAAATTTTAATAAAAAAAGTAATTATACAATAGATCCTATTTGAGCTAGAATTTAACCTAATTTTGGCATCGTGACTTCTTCCACTATTGAAATATTATCTATTCTAAATAAATAACAGCCATAATTATCCAAATTTAAAGGAGTCTCTGACATATAAGTAAAAACCCTTGAAGCAAAGGAATTATCTATTTATTAGTTAATCATTTCATAATTATTCAAAGTATTGTATCGTTTATAATTATTAAATAATATCCCATCATCAATAATAGTTTCTTATTATTTTAGCATAATTTATGAATAAATTGGACTTTTTGTATCAAAACTAGTATAATATTATTTATTGAAAACTTCTAATTCTCTTGTTATTTAATTTATTTGACCTAAACTTATAGTTAAAAATAAGAGTCCATGAAATTTTGATAAATATTCATCAATAATATTTTTATCAGCACAATAGCCTCCATCTAATAATGAACTATTTGAACACTGAGTTAATACAATTAAATATTATTTCATATGCAAATGTTCATTATCAATAGAGTCCAAATTATTAAGAACTAAAGAACCATTAGATAAAGTTATTTGATAAGAATACTCTGGAGTGCTAAATAAGGGTATAGGATTTTTAAGTATAGTTGAATTAATTATAGTGTACAAAAGTGGAGTGATAATATTGTTAGTTTTTCTAAAAGGATCTATATCATTTGTCAAATCTTATAAAGTGATTTAGATTAGGGGCTTTGAAAATGAGAATTCTGTATAACTGATTGTTTTCTATTTAGAACTGACATTTGGGGGAATTAAATTGTTACTCCATTATACAACAATGTATAAAAAGTAGGCTAGGCTTATGCTTCCTAACAATATGGATAATATTCCACCCAAAGTGCTTTAAAATTTTTAATTATTAGCCTAAGTTAAAAGTGGAATTGGAACACCAAATATATCTATCCTTTCAATTATATTTAAAAATTTCATTAATAATTATAATATTATATTTTTTCTCTCTCTATTTGTAAATATCTATCGAATTTAAGTCAAAACTTTCTTCCAATTTATCATGAATCATGCTTAATAGAAAAACAATATAATTTATAAATTCGAAACCTATCCTATTTTCATGTTTATGTTGGAATTATTAGTTTACTATCTTATCATTTAAAAATTTAATAATTTGATATTACATATTTCTCATTACGTTATCAATTATTTGAATTATTTTCTTATTAATAATTAAATAATTTATCTAATAACACCCTTGTAAGTTTATATAATACTACAATTACATTATTTGTAATTTTGTAAATATTTTATATTTAAGTCTTAGATTATTTAAAATACTATAAAAATAAATTTTAAATATGATTTAGTCTTAATTTTCTGAAAATTTAATCATAATTCGAAGATAATTTAAAATATAGTGAAAATATTTACACTTGAATTTGTGTCTTAATTCTTAGAATATTTATAATACAATAAACCATTATTTAACATGTGATTTTGTGTTAATTTTGTCATTATTTAATTGGATTTCAGAGATTTTTCATATGCTAATACACGATATATATATTATTTCTTAAATTATTTAAAATACTATTAAACAATATTTTACTTGAAATAATCAAATTCAGGTTCATTCATTAAAAAAAAGAGTGTCTTTTTTAAATGGAGATAATGATTCTTTATTAAGAAAAAATTAATGATATTAGACAATATCAGAAAAGCTTCACAATGCGTCAATTTAAGGATTTTAGGGAACCATAATAGTAATTTAAAGTTTTATTAAATTATTAATTTAAGATATTTTCATTTTATTCCTTACGGTATTAAAAATATTTACTAGCTTGAATTATTTATCCATAATATATTTTTTTGATAATATTAACTTTTATTCTCAATTAAAAAAATAATACCATAGTTTGAAGCAATATTATAATAATAATGAAATAGATTAGCTGGATAGAGATTAATTTGAATAAAAAAAATGAATTATATAATATAAAAACAACCAAAGAATAAAGATATATTAAAAAAATCAACCTATGCTAATAATTGAATGAAATATTTGAAGATTGCAATATGGAATCATATTTTAGGATTAAATGAAAATTTGAAATTTTCTTTTGAGAAAGCAAAAAGGAAGGTATTGCAGATTATAAAAGGTGAATTAAAAAAAAATGAGTTATATGTATCATTATTAGAATAGTTAATCATATATATTTGATCTAAATTTGAATCTGTATGTTTATAGATACAAGATATAATGGATTATTAAATTTCTTACAAATAATTCAGCGAAATCGTTTATGTAATACCAATAATACAGCATGGCTGAAACTATTAGGCATAGAGACTCTGTATTTAATGATGGACAAAGTCTTTGGTGTTATAATTTGTAGAATCTTTTTAAGTAAAAAAACTCAAGAACATTTTTTGTAAAAACATAAAATAAATCAAAAACCAAAAATTTGACTTTAGGAGAATCTCATATTTAATATTCTAAGCAAGTATTAATTAAAAACAATAATAGAAATATATCAGTCTAGTGAATTCCTTTCTGAAAATTTTATTTAAGTAAAATGAGATGATTGGATTTGTTTTGGAAAAGAATGATTAAACAATAGAAATATATGGAGATACTTAAGAATGGATAGATTCCTTTAAAAATTTAACAATATAATTAGATTTTACTTCTTCATATAAGATTGTTAAGAAAATTGGTCAAGGAATAGCAGCATAAGTTTATTAAGCTNTTTACTTGAAATAATCAAATTCAGGTTCATTCATTAAAAAAAAGAGTGTCTTTTTTAAATGGAGATAATGATTCTTTATTAAGAAAAAATTAATGATATTAGACAATATCAGAAAAGCTTCACAATGCGTCAATTTAAGGATTTTAGGGAACCATAATAGTAATTTAAAGTTTTATTAAATTATTAATTTAAGATATTTTCATTTTATTCCTTACGGTATTAAAAATATTTACTAGCTTGAATTATTTATCCATAATATATTTTTTTGATAATATTAACTTTTATTCTCAATTAAAAAAATAATACCATAGTTTGAAGCAATATTATAATAATAATGAAATAGATTAGCTGGATAGAGATTAATTTGAATAAAAAAAATGAATTATATAATATAAAAACAACCAAAGAATAAAGATATATTAAAAAAATCAACCTATGCTAATAATTGAATGAAATATTTGAAGATTGCAATATGGAATCATATTTTAGGATTAAATGAAAATTTGAAATTTTCTTTTGAGAAAGCAAAAAGGAAGGTATTGCAGATTATAAAAGGTGAATTAAAAAAAAATGAGTTATATGTATCATTATTAGAATAGTTAATCATATATATTTGATCTAAATTTGAATCTGTATGTTTATAGATACAAGATATAATGGATTATTAAATTTCTTACAAATAATTCAGCGAAATCGTTTATGTAATACCAATAATACAGCATGGCTGAAACTATTAGGCATAGAGACTCTGTATTTAATGATGGACAAAGTCTTTGGTGTTATAATTTGTAGAATCTTTTTAAGTAAAAAAACTCAAGAACATTTTTTGTAAAAACATAAAATAAATCAAAAACCAAAAATTTGACTTTAGGAGAATCTCATATTTAATATTCTAAGCAAGTATTAATTAAAAACAATAATAGAAATATATCAGTCTAGTGAATTCCTTTCTGAAAATTTTATTTAAGTAAAATGAGATGATTGGATTTGTTTTGGAAAAGAATGATTAAACAATAGAAATATATGGAGATACTTAAGAATGGATAGATTCCTTTAAAAATTTAACAATATAATTAGATTTTACTTCTTCATATAAGATTGTTAAGAAAATTGGTCAAGGAATAGCAGCATAAGTTTATTAAGCTACAAATAAAACAAATAAACTAAATTTTGCAGCCAAGATCTTTGAAAAGAAGAGAATTCTGTTAGAAGAAACAGAAATTATAGCTATTAATAAAGAATTGCATTATTTAAGATTATTATAACATNGTGATTTTGTGTTAATTTTGTCATTATTTAATTGGATTTCAGAGATTTTTCATATGCTAATACACGATATATATATTATTTCTTAAATTATTTAAAATACTATTAAACAATATTTTACTTGAAATAATCAAATTCAGGTTCATTCATTAAAAAAAAGAGTGTCTTTTTTAAATGGAGATAATGATTCTTTATTAAGAAAAAATTAATGATATTAGACAATATCAGAAAAGCTTCACAATGCGTCAATTTAAGGATTTTAGGGAACCATAATAGTAATTTAAAGTTTTATTAAATTATTAATTTAAGATATTTTCATTTTATTCCTTACGGTATTAAAAATATTTACTAGCTTGAATTATTTATCCATAATATATTTTTTTGATAATATTAACTTTTATTCTCAATTAAAAAAATAATACCATAGTTTGAAGCAATATTATAATAATAATGAAATAGATTAGCTGGATAGAGATTAATTTGAATAAAAAAAATGAATTATATAATATAAAAACAACCAAAGAATAAAGATATATTAAAAAAATCAACCTATGCTAATAATTGAATGAAATATTTGAAGATTGCAATATGGAATCATATTTTAGGATTAAATGAAAATTTGAAATTTTCTTTTGAGAAAGCAAAAAGGAAGGTATTGCAGATTATAAAAGGTGAATTAAAAAAAAATGAGTTATATGTATCATTATTAGAATAGTTAATCATATATATTTGATCTAAATTTGAATCTGTATGTTTATAGATACAAGATATAATGGATTATTAAATTTCTTACAAATAATTCAGCGAAATCGTTTATGTAATACCAATAATACAGCATGGCTGAAACTATTAGGCATAGAGACTCTGTATTTAATGATGGACAAAGTCTTTGGTGTTATAATTTGTAGAATCTTTTTAAGTAAAAAAACTCAAGAACATTTTTTGTAAAAACATAAAATAAATCAAAAACCAAAAATTTGACTTTAGGAGAATCTCATATTTAATATTCTAAGCAAGTATTAATTAAAAACAATAATAGAAATATATCAGTCTAGTGAATTCCTTTCTGAAAATTTTATTTAAGTAAAATGAGATGATTGGATTTGTTTTGGAAAAGAATGATTAAACAATAGAAATATATGGAGATACTTAAGAATGGATAGATTCCTTTAAAAATTTAACAATATAATTAGATTTTACTTCTTCATATAAGATTGTTAAGAAAATTGGTCAAGGAATAGCAGCATAAGTTTATTAAGCTACAAATAAAACAAATAAACTAAATTTTGCAGCCAAGATCTTTGAAAAGAAGAGAATTCTGTTAGAAGAAACAGAAATTATAGCTATTAATAAAGAATTGCATTATTTAAGATTATTATAACATCCAAATATCATTCGACTTTATGAAGTATTTGAGAACAAACAACATATCATTTTTATTACAGATTTACATTAAGGAGGAGAACTTCATCATTCATTTAGTAGATATGGTTTAGAAGAAAATTAAGTAGCAGAAGTAATAAAACCAATCATTACTGCAATTAGTTTTATGCATTCAAAAGGTATTTTTCATAGAGATTTAAAACCATAAAACATATTGCTAAAAGAAATAGATGCATTTGACACTATCACTTTGATTGATTTAGGATTGGCAGAAAAATTTACTAAAGAAGGAAAGTACTTATATAATAGATGTGGAACACCTGGTTATGTAGCACCAGAGGTTTTATAAGACAAAAAATATGATCTTAAGGTAGATGTTTATAGTATTGGAATTATTGCATATCTTGCATTAACAGGAAAGGAACCATTTGCTTCTAGTAATTATGATGAATTAGTATAAAAAAATTATGATGGCAGAATTAGCTTAATCAATTTGAATGCTTCTGAAAATTGTATAGATTTTTTAAAGAGGACACTAAGTAAAGATAGTAAATTTAGATTATCATCGGATGAGGCTTTGGAACATCCTTTTATTACTTTTGGAAAAGGAAATCATATATTTTCACCGTATAAAGGAGGCACAACTTAAAGAATGAGTATGACTTCTTTGAGATGTAGTACAGATGCATCATCTGAGAATAGTTCTATTCCAAAAACTTTTAGAGGCAAAATATAATAATATATGAATTCATTTTAAAGTCCTAAATTTGAGATAAATCAAGAAGTTAAGAAAGAAAAGGATGAAAATCTTAAAAAAAGGAAAGAGTTTTGTATAAGAAAATCTCATTTACTCAAAATCAAACAAATTAACAATAATCCTAATTTTGAATGATTATTTTTTCTTATTATTTTAAATTTTAATAAAATTTTGAATAAACTTAATGTTTACATAGAATATGTCAAATTTTGATTAAACACATGAAGTTATGCAACAGATTGATCAATAATTGAATGATTATTTATAATCAAGAGGTATAATTAATAATAGCACTGATCGATAAACAAATTATGATAAACTAATTTAATTAACTTAATAAAGGAATTAATCATTATAAGATTCAAATAATTAAATCAAGAAATAAATATAATAAATCTAATTATAAATGCAAAACATAAATCTTGATTTTTAGGAAAGACTAAACCAAAAATTATAATTATAACAAATTGAATTATCATCTTAATTTGAATAAAAAGTCTAATCTTTTGGAGAGAAGGCAAGAATTAAACTTATGAGTACAATTCAATAGGAAGATTAATGTTTATAGTAGTTTAATAATTTAGTTAATGAAAAAGCTTAATTGTAATAACAATTAGAAAATAAATAGTAATAAAATGATCAAATTCAATAAGAAAAGATTGAACTTGAAGCTTCTTATCAAAATTTATTATCTATGCATAACTAATTAATATAAGTTGATATGTCTTAAAATGAATTATCCTAAAGTAGAACTAATGTGTTAGGGTTGTTAAACAATTATAAATAAGAATTAGAATAATTGAAAATAGCAAATGAAAAAATATAAAAATAAATGGGAGGAGAGTTAGATACATTAAAAATAGAATTATAAAAATAAAAATAAGAAAATGATATTTTAATGGAGAAATTAAAATGTTAAAGTTAAGAATAAATTGAATGTGATAATTTATTTAATCAAATAATGTAATAGAAGGTGAATAATAATGAATAAACAAAAAAAAAAAAGAGTAAAAGCAAATAAAATACAAAATAACAAAAATTAAAAATTAGTTAAATGGAAAAAGAACTTAAAAGATTATAAGAAATAATTAATACTAAAATTAAATAAAAAAAATCTAAATTATAATAATAATAATGAAGATTTTTTATATATAAAATTTAATAAAAATAGAATTGAGAGAATAAAATAAATAATCTAATTGTTCTATTATTATAATTCAAAATGTATTGCAACAATTTTATCTATCTTTCTCATTAGCGGCATTCTTTTCAATTTCATAAAGTTTGATTAATCCTTCATACAATCTTTTAGTAACAATTGCCTCTGTCAGATGGTGAATATCAGCTATTCCTTCACTATCCATATTTGAATATTATTCCACCAACACCTCTTGCTTATAATTCTAATGATTTAGCAATATCTTTTAATTTAGCTTAATCCTTCCCATCTTTTGTAATATTTGAGAATTTTACTAAAATAGATTACAGATAAGTAAATATTATTTTTCAAATTTAAGAATAAAAAGTATTATAAATAATAATATAAATTTATCTTTTTCCTGTTCCCATATTTGTTGGACATATCGTAATTATACCATAAGTAGGACGTTCTACAAACTTTAATCCACTCTTTTAATAATTCATGTAATGTTCAATCTACTTTACCAAGATCATTTCCTTAGACAATAGATATGATTCTCAATTAATCTTCCTCTCCAATCCAAACCATTTTAGTTTCATCTTCACTGATCCAAATACCTCTTCCATTCTGTGGCCAATCAGAAGCTATACCATTAGACATTAAGTAATTATCATGTGTCATACTTATGAACAAGAAGTGTTTACTTCTAAGAACATCAGCTTCTTAATTTGAAATTAAATTTTTATGTCCTGGAGTTAAACTATAATATTTTCCAGGGTAACCAAATTTTTCAAATACTTCAACCATTTAGTTTTCAAATTTGATTCTCTCATCTTTATCCATTGATAAAGGTAAATTGTATCCAGCTACATTTCTGGCAACTCTTGCTCTCATTGAAACTTTTTCTAGTTTTGGATCAATTTTTGTAAGAACATATTCACCTAAATGGGTAATCCAATCATGTTCTTACTTAGTTTATCCTTCAATTTTGTGATATTCTCTTATAAAAGGTTCTAAATAAAAGAGGAAGAAATCATAATCCTCAGGTCTTGTAGCAGCAATACCAACTGAGCTATCATAATTGCAATCATGATGTCTAAGAGTCTTAGTTAATCTTCTTGAGTAAGTTTTTTAACTTTCTCTATTATTTGTTAAGTAAAATGCTTATTGTCTAAGTTGAATTTGATTTTTTCAATTCATCCCATCTTTCTTGGATTTTGAATAATCAACATCTCCTTTTTGATCCAAATATAATTTTATTACGTCTTTCTTTTCAAAGATTTTCTAAGACATCTTAATTAATAAATATCTTTTATTGTGGAATTTCAAATATATACTTAATTTCTTAACAATAATATAAACAAAATAATTATAATAATATTTGGTTTATTATTTGTTATAAATTTATATATAATCAGTAATATTACAAAATTTTAATTTCAAACTTTCTCTAACTAAACAAATACTTCAGCAATCATTTCCAATTTTACAGGTTTAGTAATAAAGGCATCAAATCCAATATTTCCACATCTTTCTTGTTCATTTTCATCATCATAACCAGAAATTGCTATGATTTTAAGATCATCTACTTCATTTTTTTATATCTAACATAAATTGTATAATATACCATTTCTCTAATCATTTATGTAGCCTACCAACCATTTACTATTGGCATCAATAAATCCATAAATATGTATTTGATATTTTTTTATTTTTAGAAACCTTTTAATTTATTGATAGCTTATTAACCATTATAAGCCTCTAAAAATGTGATATTTGAGGAGATATCTTATAAAAGTAATTTCAAAGCTATTACATTAAATGGTTGATCATCAACAATTAAAATGGAGAAATTTGGTTTATTTTTTAATATCTTTTATAAACGATTTCTTGGATCAATTACATCTTATGAATCATCAAGTATTTATTCTTTATTTTTTATTTTCCCAATTGTAGGGGATCTTTAGTTCTTCATGTAATTAATATTATGGAATTTCTATTCATTAATATCTTCATATTCAGGATGCAAATCAAAATCAATAATAGCATCTTGTTTATCTACTGATCTTTAATAAACATATAATAATGAAGAACGAACAAATGTTTATTGGATAGAGTGTTATTCATCATATTAAGATTGATTATCAATATTAAAATTCTTTTAGCTATTTTCTTATTTGAATACACTTATATAATTTGGAGATCTTTTTGGATCATCTGATAATCGAGAATATATTTAAAATGACATTTTGGTTCCTTTATTTTATTCACTCCATAGATCTATATTTTCAGATGGCCCCAATAATTTAATTAGTTTCTTACAGACCATTAATCCAATTCCTGTACCACATTTATTCTAAACTTCCTTACTTGGGAATGTTGCAAACATATTAAATAACTTTGGCTTGATTTTTTCAGATATCCCACAACCTGTATCTGCTATTGTTATAGTATAAATCATTCTATTAGATCCATTTATAGACTTTACTGATATTCCTGATAGTTATTTTCTCAATTACCCTATAGATTATTAATTTTGTTATTAGTTTAAAACATTTTTAGATGAACCAGTTCGAATAATATGTTATGATTTATCTGTTTGATGGGAAGTCACTGAAATTGTTATAGATCCTGATTCAGTAAATTTCAATGAATTAGAAATAAAATTCATTAAGATTTATTTAATTCTATTTGGATCACTATAAATTTAGTAAGTCGGTAGATCATAATTTGTTGTTATCACAACTCCCTTCTATTCAGCTTATATTGCCACCAATTCAACTACTTCTTCAATTATTTCATTTAAATAAAAATCACTGATACTTAACCTTAATTAATTCCTTTGAATTCTGGCGAAATCCAAAATATCTTGTATCATATACAACATCAAATATACATTTTTCTTAATTATTCTTAAATAATATTTCTATTATGAATTAATCTCAAATTTCTCTTCCATAGCCTCCACAATAGTTGAAATACCATTAATTGGAGTTTTAAAATCATGGAACACTGTGGCTAAAATCTAATCCTTATTTTCATTTTGTCTTTTACTTTCTTCTAATTCTTCATTCAATATTTCTATCATTTATTGATTTCTTAAATCTTTTAATTAAATCATATAAGCTTCTTTATAATTCCAAATGCAATGTTAGACTTAAATATTTAATTTTTTTTATTTTAATTCATTAATTTTATCTAAAAGATATTGACTATCTTTAAATTATCCAAATTTACTTTTTTTTATTTTTTAAGGAGTATCAATCTAACTTTTAGGACTTTAAACAACTAATTCTTATTTATCTTCATTAATTTCATCATGAATAAATGTTGAAATCTTTTTATTTTAAGGGGAATCCATATATTAATAATCTTCATTAGAAATTACTTAAAGTTTACAATATTAAGCTAGATCTCCAGTTTTAGTTAGTAATATTTTTTCATCGAAAATCTAACTTAAAGATTTATGAGCAGAATCTTAAAATTATTATAGAGTATTGATGAAGTTCTTTTGATTATTAAATGAATAATTAAAATCAGATTCAATTTAATTAGTATGAAATAAAGGTTGTTTTGATTAGGCATCTATTATTAATATAGGATATGTAATTGTCTCTTTGAAAAAATCAGTAATTAAATTAGAAAGATTTTATTGCTGCTTATCTATTTTGATTACTAAAGGTACAAATATTAAACCAAGATAAGGAAATATATTTCTATAAAACCTTAATCTTATACATAAGTAGATATAAATAATAATAAAAATGCTGATTCGAAATGGTATTCTTTAAATAACTGTTATAAGTACAAATAATCTTATGATAAAGAAGAGTATATATTCCTAATAATATTTATAGTAAATACAGGAGAGTCTTTTTATTCTGAGAACTCAATTTGCAAAATTTAGCATAAAATACATGAAATTATTAAGTAACAATCTCTGATCAAGGGATTTAAAAAGTTTTTTTGAAGCAAAACAATAAAAGCAATCATCAAAATAGACTCTGCAAGAAATGAAATGGCAAATCCATAACAGCAGGATTTCTGAAATATATTTACTACTCCAATCACAAGACAAACTAAGACATCAGAGATGCTGTAATATAGTAATCGATTGTTCATATTAATTAAAATTTATAATATTTCAGGAATTCTATATTTTGAATAATAGCCATAAGAGAATTTAGGCTATTCTTCTTATGATGACTTTAAAATTACCTAATGAGATAAACTATTAATATTGCTTATGACTTTGATATATTCATTATTATATTATTTCATTTTAATAAATTTGATAGATTTGTTATGTACTTTCTTAATTTTACTTTATTTAATATATTAACAAAAAAAGGGCTCATTTACTTTAATTTTAATTCTAATCTATTTATGAACTTAAAATTATTAAATTAATTAAATATGAATTATATAAATTCTAAATCTTATTCCATTTTTACTAATTAAGAATTATATAGGTAATTTTCAAAGAGATAGTATTCTATTTATTTGAATTACTCTCATCTATTATGTAATTATCTATAAATTAAATATATATAAATTCAAATTAATTTAAGATAATATAAAAATTCAAAATTAAATAAATTTGTTTCCTGATTTTTAATAAGGACTCAAGCTAGATTACTTAACTATAATTGGTGTCTAATATACATTCACATTATAATAATGATCCATTGACGTATCTTTAAGATATTTTATTCCTAATTATTATTTAGTTGCAAACTATTAAACTTTAGTTAAAATTATTGGAGAGTAATGTTATGTAGGTTGTCCTTTTTGTTATTAAAAATAATGACTAAAATAAGAATTTATTTATTGATTATTTCTTTATTAATTTGGAGATCCTTATTGTGTAGGATGACTTTTCTTATGAGTATTGTTATGACTATTTGTATGATGAGTTGAAACTTAAGTGAAATGTTTATTTGCAGGTTCTGGAATATGAGTTAAATTCTTCTTTCTATTTGTTTTTTTTTGTTTGTTTATTAGAGATTCCAAAACTTATTTTGTTTGACTCTTCTATTAATTCAATAATTAATTATTTAATTCTTATAATCTTTTTATTTCTTATTATAAGGCAGAGTTTTCTGCCTATAATGATCTTTTATTATTTGGTTAAATAGCATTAACTAATTAATTTTTATCAAAATCAAATTCAATTTCAATTTCTTAAGATTATCCTTATTAAATAAAATTATCTTTTAATTAAGAGTTGAGTTACTTTTCAAGATTCCAATAATTGCATTTCCAATCATCAATTTCAGTTTCTAATTTATGAGTATAATTTATTATTTTATTGATTCTTTAAATTATGTAAGATTCATTTATATCTAGTTATTCAATAATTGGTGATTCATCCAAATTCAACTTATTGAGAGCATTTATAATTTCATAAAATTTAAAATTTTATGCAACAGACTAATTTAGACTTTTAATTTAAGGATATTCACTTTCTTCTTAAATAATTTATAAATCATCTACTATTTGATTATGACTATTATCATTCGGTTATTAATTTATATCTATTTAAGGATCATCAAATATTGAATTATCTAGATTACTTTTTAATTATGCTATTTCTCTATTATGTTATTTTTCTTATTCTTAATATTTCTTTTGCCATTCTAAAATTATTGCTTCTTATTTTTCTATTGTTTCTAATGATAATATGATATTCTTTTTCAAATTCTAAATAAGTCTTTTTATTAATTACATCAATTTCATTTATCTTATTAGCCAATTCTTTTTTCAATTATTCATTCCAATTATCAATCTATAAAATTAACAATACAAATACACATGATTATACTTATGGGAATTTAATTTTTAGCTTTAATTAGGAAATTCAAGGGATCTTCTTTATATAGAAAACTAATTTATTGAAACTCTGATAGGTGATGGAATCCAGGATTCTGATCTTAATCTTGTTGATTTATAAAAAGTAGTAATTCTTCTTATTGGATGAGAAAATGATCTTTTCATTACTATCATTTTCTGTTAATTAAAAATTATATATATGGATTAATCAGAATATTCTTATTTACAATGTCCACCTGAAGCTATGGCTATATAACATGATTGTATTTACTATTTGTTATAATATAGAATTATATATCAGAAAAACAGAAAAAGATAAGCAATATAGAAAGATATTTGGAGGGGATGTTCAATATGATTAATTTGAGATGCAACATATAAAATTATTAGAGGAAGAGATTTAAAAGAAAGGAATAAAATTACCAGATGGGTATTTATATATATTTATATATTTATTTAGATGGACTTAAACAGACACACTTAAAATTGTGTATAATGGTAAATTCAAGATCAAAGATTGTATTGAGGTAATCATAATTTTTTAATATTTTATAGAGATTATAACTTCATTTAGCTTGGAGAGTTAATCCAAATATGCATACATTGAATAAATAAATGTAGGAGTTTTTAGAAGCTGGATTCTTATATACTTTTGGAAGAGATTATTAATTTAGACCTGTCATTTATTTAGAAGCATTTAGAGTAGATTAGAAAAAAGTATTAAAATTTACTAATTTTAGTATCCAAAAGAGTTTATGATCTAAGTGTTATCATTTTTTTTGGGATTTGTCAAGAAACATATGATGATGCCAGGAAAAGTTGAAAATTGGATTTGTATTATAGATACTAAAGATATTGGTGTTTTTGGATTACCTTCTGGACTTGGGGAGATAATAAAAACTATGGCTCTTAATTTTGTTGGATGTTTACATAGAATGTATGTACTAAATCCATCAACAGGAGTTGATTTATCTTGGAAAGCTGGTGCTGCATTTATGGATGATGAAAGCAAATCTAAAAATTTTTTTTAACTAAGAAAACATTAGAAAAATTAAAGGAAGCTATTCCTTAAGATTAATTAGAAAAAAAGTATTTGGGAACAGCTGAAAATTTAACTTAGTTTTGGCCACCAAGAATTGCTAAAAAATGATATTATTATAATATTAAATAATAAATAATTAAGAATTCTTAATTATTAATATTAATGTAAAAACCTACTCATTATACATATTCTTAATCATGTTGGATAGTATTTTATCCATATGCTATAATTACTGCATTATGGTATTATTAATAATATATTTAGGATACCATTAACACTCTTTGTAGAATAATACATCAAAAATGTATTGATGGTAACATTTGTAGTTGATTTAATTGCTACTTCTATTGTTTTTATTCAATCATACAGATATAAGTAAATGTTATTTCAATTATTAGTAATACATCTATTTATGATTTCTATTGGTAAATTCCAGGATTTTATTTAATTATTTATTGGGTATTTAGAACTCCATACCAACCCAATATATGGGTAATTATTGTGCCATTTGCCTATTTTATTAGACATAATTATAATTTTTTATCATTTTGGCCAGGATTAACATATGAAGATTTTAGGTATCCAGTATTTAGAAAAAAATTAAACAATGAATTTATATATTGGGTATTCAGTTACTTAGGATTACATGTGGGACCTACATTAATGGTCTATTTTGGCTTATATCCAACTTATTATGCCTTATTTGATAGTGATCAGGATTATAATCCATTTGTCTTTTATTTTGGAGTCATATTTGCATTTTCAGCTTTAACAATAGAGACTATTGCAGATTTATAATTATTTCCATGGAGATCTAGAAAGACAGAAGAATTTATTGATGAAGGTTTATGGAAATATTCAAGACATCCTAATTATTTCGGTGAATGTATGTTTTGGTGGGGTTTATATATTATGACATTATCATTTGGCTTTGAATATTGGTTTACAATAATAGGAGCTGTCATAATGCAATCTTTATTTTTATTTTATTCAATTCCAGAAATGGAAAAACACATTTTAAGAAAGAGACCTAAATATTATATTTAATAAAAAAGAGTAAGTGCATTCATTCCTTGGTTCAGAAATGAAAACATTAAATGATATGTATATTAAGTAAGATATAAAAGATAATATTAAGTATTATTTATATTTCTATTTATTTTTATATACTTGTATTTTCTTATTAGTAATTATTTTCTTTAATAATATTTTATTATTTTAAAATTATATTTTAATACTAATATTATTAATTTATATAATTGTATATTCTCATTCTTATGATGTAAAAATTATTTTGATTGAGTTAATACTAAAAAAAAAGATTTGTAATTAATATTTATTTTACTTTATGTACAAAATAAGAATGATAAAATATTTTTGTATTTTGAAATTTACATATTAAATTCTAATAAATAATACTTCAAATGAAACCTTTTTATAAAATGAAAAAATGATTATACTTACCTAAGAGAATTGTTATAAATATTATGAAATTTAAGAGTTCCATTAGAAAAATGATTACCTATCAGTTATAATATTATAATTATAATATCAATTGAGGTTCTGTAACTTTTACTAAAGTACTAATTAATATTTATTTTGGTATTGTTTTTTTGCAGAATCTAGAGTTCCTTATTTTCTTGTACTACTAAATTATGTGGGACTCTCTTCAATAGGCAAAGTGTTAAATTAATTTCGATATCTATACTTTAATTATGCTGTTCTTGTTTAATGCAATGCTTGTTGAATATTTAATTAAGCAGGTACTATACATTGACTAGCCTTACGAGAATTCGAGAGAGAACGACTTAATTATTTAGGTGGTGATTTAGCTGAATTTTATGTTGTATTTTAAGTAGTATTATTAGTAGTATTTGTAGAGGGAGTCATACCAACATTACCATTACTAAGATCAGGTTTAACACGACTCTTTATAATTTTCATCTTCTCTTTACTTAATTTTGCTTACTGAGTTAATATGTGATTCATTAAAAACTCAACTCTTTATTTTATTTCTAATGGTTATTAAGATTTAGTTGGTTTTAAAAATAATCTACTAGGAGATCTTCCTGTATCTTCTTAATCTTCAACTTATGTTAATAAATGTCTATAATATATATTATATATAATACTTTTTGCTTGTTTTATTAGATGGTATTGTTTTTTATTGAGTATTAGCATGTTTAATTATAGATCCTGGACCATCAGGTACTTTAATTACTATTACTACTTTATTAGCTAATGTAGCTTTATTATTAAATTAGTGTGGTCTTAATAATTTTGTTAAATGTGTAATTTCTTAATCTTCAGGTATCATTTATTTATCTACACCATAGAGTTTTTTGTAAACTTAATAAATTTAATTAAAAATCTATGACATATGAGGAACATAAGTATAATAGATTTCGAGACTTTTACATAACCAAATTTCAAGATTAGATCTATTATCAAAATTAGAATTAATAAATCTTAATTCTGTTGATATACTATAAAAACTTAATCCAGCAAGCATAATCAATTCAAGTATTACTTCCTCTGTAACAACCATTTCAGGATTATTAATAGGATATAATTCTTCTATGTCTACTTATGTCATTTACATTAAACCTAGAATTTACATTTATAACATAGGATGATTATCATTAAGATTTGGATATAATTTATTATTCTAATTTATAGTGTTGCTAATTTAAATTTATTCACTATATTTATCTAAGGATTAACTTCTACTTTGATAACTTCTAATTATTTAAGTATTTTTATCTTCAAATTATGATTATGGCATTGAACATTTAATAAGTACTAATATTTCTTTGAATACCATTTCAACAATTTAACTGTAAGATAATTTTTATGTTTATTATGATGTTATAGTGGCAAGACTCATTTCTGAATTAGCTCTTTATTTTTTATTTATTAAATTAGTTAGATTCATTTACTAACATAATTTGATGGTAGTATCAAAGATAACTTTTAATTATTTTAATGCACTTTTTGCTAATTCTAATGCTTATTTGTTTCTATTATATTAGTTTATAATATTACCTTCTGCTTTCTGAAAATAATAAAGTGCATTAAAAGATGATACGCAATCGCATAAGTTTATTTTATACAATTTTAGCTAATAATTATATATCAAGTGGTTGCTTTTTCAATTGTTTCCCTTTAATTTTGAGAATTTAATCACTATCAAGTAATAAATTGATCACTTCTTCTATCATACCATATTTTCTCAATGCTAATGCATAATTAATCTTATGAAATAAAACTGTTGTGTATTAGATTTATACCCTATAAAATAATAGTTGCTAATATACTAATTCTATGTAAAGTAATCCAATAATTATTATGCTCTTATATGATACTCTAATTATTCGTTTTCTGGAATTTCTGACATTGCTATTCTAGTCAATTCATTCATCACATGATCACTACATTCTGGTTTCAGATAAATAATCTCTTATGATTCTTCTTTCTTAAGTTGTTAATCATCACATAATTACTTGAATCATAAAATTCTCTTTAGAACTAAAGTTTTCACGTATAAACACAATCTTTCTCTACAATAACTATTGTACAATAAATTAAGGTGATCTCTCTATTAATCTTTATTATTTCTTGAATGCCTCAAATTTTAGCATATTTTATATTAAATGAAAATTGATAACATCACTCCTAGATAGTATATTCTTCGTCTTAATCATCATACTCCAGATTATAGACTATAAATACAAAATTCCCCTGTTCAAAAACTAAATAAATAAATTGACCTCACAAATAAATCTATATCAGATTCAATCAAAAGTACATAAATCAATATAAATCACTAATAGAAAAGATTCAATTACGTAAGATATCTTAAATCTCCTCATATTAAAATTATGATCCAATCAATTTTCCTTAATCCAATACTATGTCAATTGACACAAAATAATTCCACATATTCACTAAGAAAAATTCTAGAGCAAATACTTGTATTTAATAGCTCAGTTACACTTCTGATTATTCTATTAATCATTAAAAACAGAAAAAACCTTAACAACCTTAAACAGCCATTAAAAGAAATAAAAGAATTTTACCTATACATATTCCATTATGTCCTTCTAATCCTTTTGGTCCACCTATTACTGCATAGAGTTGGTGTATTATAAATGGAAAAGATGGATCTATGTTAGCTGGTTATAATGAAAAACTTAAAAGTTAAATAGCATCCATAACTAAAATTATGACTTGTTGGTTATCTCTTAAATTCATTTCATTAATATCTTTAGATTTAGATAATACTTATTTTACAGTACCAGAAGCAGTATTAAACTATTTATATATAGGCAGAAATAATAGGTGGTACTTCTGCATAATTATAAAATGGAGATTAATTAAATATAAGAGATCTTCTTTATGGGCTTATGCTTCCTTCAGGAAATGATGCTGCCATTACATTAAAATACAATTTTGAATAAAATATAGGAATCAATTTTATAGATGAAATGAATAATTGTGCAAAAGAATTTGGTCTAAAATCAACTTAATATATGAATCCACATGGTATTATTATTATAATATTAATTAGGTTTATATCATAAATTTAATTATTCTTCTGCTTTAGATATTGGAATTTTATGTTATTAAACATTATAAAATGAAAATTTTGCTAATATTGTTAAAACTAAAATATATTTTAGTGAAATAATAGATAAATTTGGTAACATTAAAGAAATAATTTGGGAAAATACAAATAAATTATTAGATAATGGATTTTAAGGAGTTAAAACAGGTCAAACAAAAGAAGCTGGACCTTGTGTTGTAGAATATTATTAGGATAATAATAATTCATATATAATTGTATTATTAAATTGTAAATCTACTGATTAAAGATGGGATGATACAATTAAATTATTAGAATGGATAAAATAATGAATATTTATATTCTATATTCTCCTTATTAAATTTATACTATATTTATAGATTCATATTAATCATTTTCTTTTGTTAAACTAAAATAATTGTTCTTGAATATTTTTATATTAATTATGATTAATTTTGGTGATTAATTGGGACATAAATTATTTTGTTATGATTCCTTTATTTACACTTATTCTGGTGAAGATTTGTTAATATTAGAAAAAGATACAATGAAAATGAATAATAGAATCAATGTAGGTGAATAAATTTAAACAATTGCTATTAATGGAGACATATATGTATTGACTAATAATTCTTAATTTCTTGTTTATTCTGTAGATGGGAAATAATTATAGTGTAAATAACATAAAGGAAAGGTATTTAAATATGTTTGTTTTCATAATGATCATTTTATTGCTTATGATGGAAATAATATTGTAAGAGTAGGAACCACTTGTTCTAAAATATATGATGCATAATAATTTACTAATATAAATTATATTCAATATTCAAGATACAAAGAATTATTAATTATAGCAGATGATAAATAAATTCATGTTATTAATAATGAAGATAAAATTCTTAAAAAATTTGGACATTCAATTACTATTATGTAATTAGATGATGATTAAGATCTTTTAGCTTGTGGATTAAGTAATGGTTAATTAATCTTATTGTAATTTTCAACTGGTATTATTGTTTAATAAGATCATTGGCATGCTCATTAAATTAATACATTAATATTTGCAGGAGCATCACTATATTCTGCTGGTTAGGAAGGTGTCATAGTATAATGGCATTTGAGAGTTGCTAGAAAGGCATTCTTTCCAAGATAAGGAGGTGAAATTATAGCTATGTGTAATACTGATGATAATCTTATTATTAATATAAAAGGAATCAATTAAATTAAATAGATTTCTTTAATGGGTTAAAATAAATTACCATTTTATTAAGGAATTCATCATGTTTAACCTAATAGTTTCATTACTTATTAAAATAAATTAATTACTTAAGGAATAAATGGAACTTTATAAGTTATTAATCCTACATAAGGTATTTTATTACATACAATTCCAATATATTAAAGAAATTATATATCTGATATTGAAGATTCATATAAAAGAGATAGAACAATCATTAATTAAGTAGTAGTATTTGTTTAATTTGTAGTTTGCAATATTAGATAGATTTTTAATTGTTGTTTTAAGTTCTGAATTTAAGTAAACACTTTCAATTTTCGAAAATATTAATAATTTTGAATTTAATCTATTAACAACAATTGATTATGAAATTGAAGGAATGGATATAGGTAATAATTCAATAATAACATGGGGAAATGGAGAAATTAGATTATGGAGATAAATTAAGTAAAATAAAGGTTAATTTAATTGGAATTGTGTATTTAGAGGTAATGGATATAAAGGAACAAAAATATTAACAAGCTATATTAAAGATGAATAAACAATTATAATAGTTACATCTATTAGTATATTACATATTAATATAAAAAATAATAATATTATTAAAGAGTAACCTTTAGATTAAACATTCCCTGAAGTTGCTCATATTTATTAATTTGGTGTTTTAGTTTGTAATGGTGGAACAATTACTATTTATTAAGATATCAAAAAATAGATTGTAACCTAATTTGGTAAAGCAAAATCAATTAGTAAAATTAATGATAATTTAATTGCTATTTAATATCATAATGAATAAGCATTAATTTTAGATCTTAAATAATCTAAAATTATTCATGGAATTGCTTCTCAAAAATTAGTCTCAGCAACTATAAATGGCAGGTTTATTATATTCATCTAATATTATTAGAACTCTTTTATATTCTTATATCAACCATAATAATTATTATAAATTTGTAACTGTTCTAAGTACAGAAAGAAAGGCTTCATTAATGATGGATGAATAAGAAACCGCTCATTTTGAATAACCTGAATAACATGAAAAACCAATTATTGAAGATGCAGCACCACTTGATCCAAATGTTTATAGACGTTTATAATTAGCTAAATAAGCAAGATAAATGTAATATTTTTACTTATTTTAAGAAAAGAACTCAACATTAAAGAATTTTTAATCCCTTAATCATAAATGTTGCCATCTTTGACATTCTTGACTGAAAGAGTTATTGATGTGTTAAAATAAGATCTAAATGATTAACAAAAATATCAATCGTATGGAATTGATCTAAATCAAGAAGAATAAGAGTGTAATCAATAACAAACTTCGATATAATTACATCAATTAAAAAAATTGTTTAAATGAAAATATATGTTTATATGTTAGACCTGTATATATATATATATTATGATCAAATTAATTAGAATTTCATCCATTTTTACTAATTCTACTTATAAATATTAATAGTTCTTATTAATTTTAAATGTAATTTTTTTATTATTAAATTAAAATATATTACTAATAACTATAATGATACAAAAAATAAAATTTTCATCAATAATTTTTGATGAAAATAGTTTCTTTTTTAACTGATAATTTTAATTACATATTTATGAAATTAGAAAAACTAATTACTTTTGATATTCTCAATTTTAAGTTTAATATCATATTAAAATAATAATTATGAAAATATATTCAATAAGTATAATAATAAGTATGTATCAAAGAATTTAGATTCAGAATGTTCTACTAAAGCTATAGATTTTTAGATGTAATTTACTAGAATTTAATTCATAAATATTAATATGTGTATCATAGACTACTTTAGTTCATTTTTATATTGTAATCTCAATTTCTATGATTTCATCATTATCTACCACTAAAAAATTACTATTTAAGTTGTCTCTATATGTAACTTAAATCTATTGCAAATAATTCTTTGCTAAAAAGTTTTCTAAGACTTTTTCATATATTTATGGATTCAAATCCAATTACATATTTTCTATTCCATTAGATTATACATTCAATTTATATGGAATAGATTATCCAGGATATAAGATACTTCCATATTAAGAGTAATCGAAATCATTTGAAATCTTAATATATTATTCTACTACAGTAAATCCATTATAGTTTTCTTAATTTTTGATTGCTGCATTCAAACTAAAATTCATAAATTTATGTTAGTTCAAATCAACTTTCATTTGAGCAAAATTAGCTCTAATCTAGATAAAATATTAATAATTTAAATTACTTTTTAAGGAATCCTTAAAAATTAAGAATTCTTAGGGATTGTTTGATTATTATAATAGATAAGAATTTCTTCTAAATTTTCAATTTCAAATTAATCTCCAAATGTGAGACAAACTTATTATTCTTTATTAAATGATGTATATATCTTAGAGTTTTTGAAATGATATTGTACAGTGTTCAAAAGATTTTAAAAATGTCTCCTTTGTAATAATTAATTAATTTTTATACTTTAATCCATATGCTATTCCTATTAGATACCAATTATCATCATTTATTTCATATACAACATCACTTTAACATAATTAACACAAATTAATAGTGTAATTATTTAAATCACATTCTTTAATCTCTTATTTAATAGCTTCAAATAAATCTTAAGATTATAAGGAAATCTTATTTTATTATTATTCTAATTATTATTATTAAAATATATACTTTCTGTTAATTAAAAGAAATTTAAATCAGTATTTTTGACATGTTTATTATTACTTCTTAATTATTTTTATCCTTATCTCTCTTCCTTTTCAACTTTTGATAGAATCTATTAAAATGAAAATTCCGTATCAATTTATTAATTTAATATTTAGATTTATGATTATTATTTTTGTAAATGAATAAAATTATCTCCTTTTATAGGTTTACTATCTAAAATAACTTAATTATTTTATTATTTAGTAGCTATCTTATATTTTTATTTATTTAATAATTATTAATTTTGTAATTCAATCAATTATTATTATTATTTTAAAATTTCTTATTATTATTTTTATTATATTAATTTCTACTAAAATTATTCTTCTTCTAACTTTCTTTATTTTTCTTACCTAGCTTTTAACTTTCTTCTTTTTTTCTCTTTATCCTATTATTATTGCTATTTCTTTTAAGACATTAATATTTTAAACTATTTTTCATCTTAATCTATCTCATTTTCTTCCTATTCCAAAAAACTATTTTATTTTCTCTTTTAATGGATTAATTTATTCTGTTAAATTGATTATTCTTATTTTTTATCTAATAAATTCTTTTTTGATTATATTTTAATTGTATCATCCGTTTTCATTTCTTATTATAATTATGAAATTGAATGAAGTTTATTGGCTGTAAGAATATTTGATTTATCTTGATTTTGTTTTTAAACCATTTCTTCAGATTTTAATTGAAATTCATTATTTATTTTATCTATTTATTATTAATCATCATTAATTATATCTAATTAATTAGTAATATCAGATTAAACAACTTCATTATCAACTTTTAGATCAATTTAATAAGTTGTATTTTAATTTTCTACTTCATCTACAGGAATTAATAAAGGAGTATCATCTTCCTAATTTTAAATCTTTTATTGATTTAATTATTAATCTAATTCATTATCTAATTGATTATCAATTTCATTTGAATTTTCTATTTGATTATCTAAATACATAGATTAATCTTTTTATTCAGTATAGTCAAATTAATCTGGATTAGAATTCTTTTCCTCTATTATTTAATTATCTTTTTAGATATTATTCTAATCATTAAATGCTTCTTAATCTTTTACTTAGTTGTTTAATGCATTTAACTCTTCATCTGTAGTATTTAATAAATCATCTGATGAAATTTCTTAAGTTATTTAGACCTATGGTTATTATTAAATATCTTATTTGTTTAAATCACTTTATTCATCAATTGATAATATTGGTACTGATTATTGAATCACTTATTCTTATTAATCATTTATAATTTAAGTTATGTAATCATTTTTATGAAATAATTCACTACTTTATGAATAATTAGAAGCATTCTATTCAGATTTTTCTTCATTTTTATGTTGTAATCTTTGATATTCATCAATATTAAACCCATTTTCTAGCGTTTCATCTTGTAATTAAATACTACCATCAGCTGGTTTAATTTCTAATGGCTCAATTTTTTCTTCTTTTTTAACAGTCTATTCTGCTTAGCTTTCATTTTATTATTAATCAATTTGATTTTATTAGGGTATATCATCTGTTTAAACATTTAAATCTTCTTGTAATGCTTCTTACATAGGTTATACTTCTAAAGTATCTTCTTATTTTTATTTTTCATCTTAAAATTCTTATTAATCATTCTATCCCTATTTAAAATCTTATAATTAATTTTAATCTTAATCAATTTATTTTTAAACTTCTTCAATTTCTTATTATTCTTATTCTTTTTGATTAATCAAAAGTTTCTCTTCTTCTTATAATTCATTAAGTTTTTTCTCATCTTCTAATTCTTTTTATTCTAATTCTTATTTTATTCTTTCTTCTTCTTCAATCATATCTTCAACTTATCTCTTCTTTTTTAATTTTTCAGCTTCTTGCACATCTTCAAGATAATCTGAATTTTCTACATTATTTTCCATCACAAAACCTTCTGAAAATGTATTTTCCACTTTCTATTCATTTTCAATTTCATTATTCTCTTATTAATTGATTGTTACTTCTTATTCATTTTCTTATTTTTATTGGTCAATAATTATTTATTCATTTTAATTATCACCATTTTATTCATCTATCTATTCATTTTAAGTTTAATTATTTAATTCTTATAATTCATTATTTGCTTAATCATCTACTTATTCTTATACTTATTCTTATTCTTATACTTATTATTATTCTTATTCTTATTCTTATTCTTATACTTATTATTATTCTTATTATTCTTATTGTTATTCTTATTATTATTGTTATTCTTCTTTTTATTATTCTATTTAGTCTTATATTTGATGATCTACTTAAAATTATTAATTTTGAATTTAATCATCAAATTCTTAATCTTAAGTTTTATCATCAAATTCTTATTATTAATCTTGACTTTAATCCTCAAATACTTATTATTCATTTTATGTTTAATTATCAACTTCTTTTTATTCATTTTACACTGAATTATCAAAATCTTATTATTAATCATAGGTTTAATTCTCAAAATCTTATTATTTGTCTTATGTTAAATTATCAAAATTTTGAGCTTAATTATCTAATTCTAACTATTAATCTTATATTTATTAATCAATTTATTATTATTCATCTTAAACTTAATTATCTATTTATTTTTATTCATCTTAAACTTAATTATCTTATAATTATGATTCATCTTAAACTTAATTATCTTATAATTATTATTCAATTTAAACTTAATTATCTTATAATTATTATTAATCTTAAACTTAATTATCTGATTATTAGTCATCTTAAACTTAATTATCTTATAATTATTATTCATCTTAAACTTTATTATCTTATTATTATTAGTCATCCTAAACTTAATTATCTTATAATTATTATTCATTTTAACCTTAATTATCTTATAATTATTATTCATTTTAACCTTAATTATCTTATAATTATTATTCATCTTAAGTTTAATTATCTACTTATTATTATTAATCTTAAACTTTATTATCTTATTACTATTATTCATCCAAAACTTATTCTACTTCAAGTTGTTATTGCTCTGATACTTATAATTCTTATTGAATTTCTTAATTCATTTAATCATTATTAATATTATCTATCTCTTATTCATAATTTTTATTGTTAATACTAGATTATGATTAATCCTCAGTAGAATTAATTTACTCTTCTTTAAGTATTTATTATTAATTTAGATCCTAATCTTAAATAGTACTATCCTCTGAATCTTATTAAAAACTTTAAGATTCATTATCAATCTATGATTTATCTTACTAAATTTAAGGATAAATATTTGAATCTATTTCAGATTCATTTTATTATTATTAAACACTTTCATCATTAGTATTTTCATCTGAATTTCTATTATCCTCATTATCTTATTCTTATAAATTAATAGAATTATCATTAAATTAAGAAGATTAATTTTAATTTTATTCATTGTCTATATTTTACTATTAATTAATATTTTGATTTTAGTGTATATCTTAAACATCTACTTATTGTAATTCTATTTCAACTTCTTGTGTCTATATTTATAATTTATCTTATTCAACTTATTATTTAAGTTATTATTCTTTTCTTTCTTCTGCTTTTTTATTTAAGAGTTTCCTTAAAGGATTCTCAGGTACTGTTTTTATTTTTGATTCTTATAGATTTTCTTCTTTTTCTTATTAAGTTTCTTATATTTCATTTGATTATTTCAATTTTTTAAATTCTTCAATTTTTTTGATTAATGTAGTTTTACCAATATTCTAATCATTAATTTATTCTTGATTATTTGTTTCTTATTTAATTTAGATTGCAGCTACAATTTATGGTTATTATACTTATTTTTTTTTCATTTCTAATTTTTCTCTTAATGTCATTTTCTTTTCAATTTATTAATTTGTTTCTATATTAGTTTCTATTTTAATCTATTATTTAGTTTCATCATCTTTTATAAAATACTTTTTAAATTTTCCTAATTTTTCAGGATCAGTCTAAAGTTGAGTTTCTGTAATATTTTCATTTTATGGTTCTAATCCATCACTTAATTCTTATAAATATGATTAAATCTCAATTTCTTTATGTTCTGGTTCTACAATATTTATTTCTTCATCTTCAACTTTACCTGATCTTACATTTTTATAAAATTCTCTAAATGAAACTTCACTCTTAATATCTTCTTCATTATTCTCAAAATAAGGCTTTTATTATTTTAATTATTCAGTGGCTTTCTTATATATTAAGTCTTCTGTTCTTAGATCAGATTCCTCCTTGAATTTTGGTTGCATTTGATTCAATAAGCTAAGTGCTTCAGATCTAAGATTAGATACTAACATACCCTGCATAATTAATATAAATTAACATACATAATAGTAGGCTTGTTCTAAGAGTATGCATTATACGTTTTATAATTATATAATATATATTGACAATATAAAAATAAAAAAAACTATAATTTTGTCTTGTTCAATCAGTCTAGTAATTACACTTTTGAATTTTAAATAGGAGCCTTGAAAATCCTTTAAGCATAAATTAGTGAAACAATATTCAATATTAACATAGTCATTACTACATAGACCATAGCTTACAAATTAGATTTACTCAACAATAAAGAAATACTAGATGTAAGGGCTATTCCTAAGCACTAAAATAATTAAAAACTTATACTATTAATATATCATTTGCAACAAAATAATAACTTTTATCAGATACTAATACACCTGTTATCATAGCAGCCAATGATTCTGTTCCTGTAAATACAATTCCACAAAAAAATCCAGTAATATATGTTGTATTCAGTATTTTCCAATAATATGAAGTGATTGCTAAAATTACAAATAATATTGCAAAGAAAACTTAAGACCATCCTACAATAAATAAATTAGTCTTTTAAGATAATTTTCCTGCTCCTATACCACCTAACATCATTCCAATACCTCCAATTAAATAAAGTAGAAAAGTATGTTCATTTATTGTAATTCCACCTTAAACATATTTTAAAAGAGAAGGTAAAAATGTGAAATAACAACCTTATAGCATACTACAAAATATTAAAAATGGGATAAATGCTTAATAATCCTTATTATTAAATGCATTCTTTAATTATGTAATTTATTGTTTGAACATATTTTAAAATGATTATTTAACTATCTAAGTTCTATCTCTTAAGTCTTTTACTCTAAATAGAAATAATTATGTAATTGCTAAACCAACTATTAAAATTGAATAATAATAAAATGGTTCTATTTTTGTTGAAGTAAAATAACCAATTGTATTACCAGAAAAGCTTGATATAGAATATATTGAATAACCAATACCAAAATAATATGATTTATTTTATGGATTTGAAATTGAATTGATGTAAATAGGATAACCTACAAAAAATAAACATGATGCCACTCCTCCTAATAAAGTTTCAATTGCAATAGCTATTGTTAATGTACTTATATTGCAATAAAATAAATCAGCTTATTAACATGAAGATACAACAAAAGCTCCTAATAAAAATGCAAAGGCATTAAAACTTCCTAAATATAGAATAGTGCTCATTGATAATCTTTAGATAATTGCATCCATAAACAACAAAGCAATAGGGGATATGAAATAATTTATTGTAAATTACATTGAATACAGGTAAGTTAGCCCTTACTGTATATTAACTAAACAATACCGAATTATAAATATTATAAGAAATGCTCTTTCCTGCATTTTGAAAAGTGTAACAAAGCATAATAATTGTTGTACAATAAAGTAATTTATAGAAATTCTGATATTTTGGTTAGAGTTCCATTAAAATTATTTGAGGCAATTGTAAAATTAAATATAAGAAAAGAAATCTATATATATATAATAAATATATATTAATAATCATAATTCTTTTTTTGATCTAAATAAAACCAAGTGGAATTCTGAATTATCATCATTATTAATATTTTCATTATCTTTATTTAATGAGATTAATTAAGGATCATCTTTTTTTGCATAAGAAATTATTTTATACTTATTTTTCATACCTATATTTTTGTTATAACAAATGTTATGATTTACAAGAGGCATAATATCAGTTTGACTATTTTATAAATAGAGAATCTTTTCTTTTGATTGGAAATCAATCTATTTCTCATTTTAATAATTTTAATGAAATGTTTCCTGTTTTATTTTTTTATGTAAATGTCTAGGAGAAAGGAAAAATTTAGTATTTAAAAAAATATCTCTTTAACTTTAATTCTTATTTTAACTTTAGTTTTATCTATATGATTAAGAATGCAATCGTTCTAAAGGGTTTGATTATTGTTTTAAGATACCATGTTAAAAAAGAGTATTTTTTTGTATATTTCGAGTAGGTCTTCTGTTTTTATAATTGAGGAAATGGTTATATGTTTGACGATCAACTTTAGAATTGCCTTCAATCTCATATATAAATTATTAATCTTTCTATTATGATTTGTTCGTTAATGAGAAATTTTATATCTTTCTATTAGTAGATGGAAGTGTTTCCATTTTTTAATATCTAGGTGATATCTATGTTTTGAGATCAAAGAATTTGAAATATTCATTTTGAGATCTATAATTCATTATATAAATACAAAATATAATTATAATATAGATAATTCAAATCATTAGATAGTCTAATATATTAAATTAATACTCATAAAGATATTTAATTAAAGTAATTATTCTTTAAATGATATTATTATATTCTTCAGATAATTAAACCAAAGTAAGCTTTAAGTATTGACTTATATATATAATTATTAATTCATTATCAAAATGAAAAATGATATATTAATAAATCTTCTCCACATTTATTATATATTAAGATTATAAACATATCCCTATTATTTAAATCTTAGATAATTAGAGTTACTAATATTAAAAACTAAGGAACTTGATTTTATTAATTTTAATAACTGAGACTCTATTTATACTTATAATAAAAATTGAAAAGAGTGAATAGAAATGATAATTTAGATATTATTATCTTATTAAATATTAATACTAATTTAATAGTTTTTTATATGATTATATTAGATAATTAATTTTAATAAAGAATTATAAATATTTTTAACATCATACCATTTTATTACATAAAAATAGTCTAAATGAGGGGATGATTTTGAATTAAAAAATTATAAAAGATTTATTAAATTAATCATTAAAATTCAAAAGAATGAATAATTCATTAGGTGATACTCTGGCTTCTTTATCCAATGATTTTCAAGGAACTGAAAACGTAGAGGGACAGTTAAGTGATTAACAAAAAGTGAAGTAATCTAAACTAAAAATATATTACAGATTTGTTAACTTGGATATGATGACTCCTATGAGTAACACTTTGACATATGATTTTGAACAAACAACTTTGGACACTTCTCCAAAATAAAGTATTGTGAATCTTATAAATTATGAAAATATTGACACAATAAATGTATAAGAAGAAAATAAATACAAATTATAAGTAGATTTATTCATATATATATATAAGAAATATCAAAGTTTCAAATTATCTTAAGATTAGATTAGGAAATCATCTAAACATAATACATATTAACCATAATAGACTATGTCATAATTAAATATTGGAGGATAAAACTTTGACACTGATATAAATTAACAATCACCAGAAACATCACCAATGAATGCCCAGACATTGAAATTTATCAAGGAACTTTGGAATTCAGAAAAAAATGAAACAGAATATTTTAAAGACATTGTTAATGATTAAAAAATACCAATTATTGAATATAAAATACCTTCTCTAAATATATATTCACCTTTAATGGATTGTAATAGTCCTATCTATGAACCTGATATTGAAATGGATTTATACATAACAAGTTTGGTGGTTAGAATTTATATTTAATATTAGGATTCATTATGGGGTAATCAAATAATAAGTAGAAAATTACAAAAGATGTTAGAGACTGGATCAAATGAATAAAAAGAATTAATTGTGTAAAAATTGGAAAGACATAGTCCTCAAATAGAGTAAGACATATTTGGCAATTATGTTGTATAAAAGATATTTGAATGCAGTATACATTTATATATATTATTAATATAGCTAATAATAAATTGTAATATAGAATATTCATAAAATTGAAACCTCATTTTTATGATTTATCTAAAAATACTTTTGGATGTAGAGTAATGTAAAAATTAATTGAATACACTTATAATCGAAATGATCTTCAACTTTTAGTATTATAATAATTATAATCCAATATGAAATCATTGATATATAATTAAAATGGAAATTATGTGATTTTAAAAATGCTTGAAACTTTTGATAAATAAAAAATGAAATTTATGATCCCTTTAATTGAAGAATCAGTATTTCATATAAATTATTATTTCCATAGTTCAATTACATGGGATAATAAATTTATGGGTGCAAAATTATTCATAAAATTATTTAGTAATATTCTCAACAATAAATTACAAAAATCATAAGATCTTCAATCTAAAATTATCATATATTAAGTTAAACAGAATATGGGAATTATGTATTACAACATATTCTATAATATTGGATTACAAGTTAAGAGAAAATCCTTTTAGTTCAATTAGTTTTACAATAGTTTTTTTAATTAAGCATCAATAAATATGCAAGGTAAATTTACTATATATAAAATTACTAGTAATACTGTTGAACGAGCATTGGAAGCTATAAATAAAGAAGATTTAATTTCTATTATGAAATGGCTACTTTGCAGAAGTCCTAATCAATAGTATATAATAAAATTATTATTAATAGCACAAGCAATTTCGTTGTATTAGCTAATCATCAATATGCAAATTATGTTATCAAAAAATTCTTAATACTAAGTGATCATAATGTATTAAAATATATTTCAGATCATTTAAATTAGAATTAATCTGAATAAATAGCGATTTAATCAACTGTTCATGGTAATTATTCTCTTGTAATTTAGGTCAAAGAATAAATAGCTTCTTAGATAAGCAAATTTAAAATTGACCTTGATTACTTAATAGCCATCTTCAATGATTAAATATAAAGAATATATTATATTATTATTATTTTCATTTTCTCTGTTACATATATTAATGATTACAAGCTTATACCACATCAAATCTTTCAGCTTAAGAATAATTTAGACATCCTTTTATAAAATCTTTACATTCATTAGAAATTATTGGTTTTGTAGGGAAATTTACACATTCTGATTTTAAAATAATCTTGTTTATAATAAATAATATACTTTTTCTTTCAAAATAGTTTCTTAACTATATCCTTGTCCAAATGGTTTCATTCCATAAAGCATTTCATAAAAGATTACTCCTAATGACCAAATATCTACTTTATTAGAAATGTTAGGAGGTTAATCTCCTGTATAGAAACATTCTGGTGGTAGATACCAATAAGTGCCTACTCCTTATGAAGTTAATTCCATTTTTGATTTATCATTATCAACTACTTTACATAATCCAAAATCTGATAATTTAATTTCATTTTGATGAAATAAAATATTTTATGGTTTGATATCATAATGAATAATATTACTTTAATGAATATATTTGATTGCATTTAAAATTTACTAAATAATTAATTTAGCTTCTTTTTCTTGAAATTATTTATATCTTTTGATATAGATTGATAAATCGCAACCATCACAATATTCTAATACTGTACAAAATGTATTCATATCTATTTCTACTGAATCATATAATTTAACTATATTAGGATGTAATAATTCTCTATGTACTTTATATTCTCTTGTTGCATGTTTAACATAATTAGATTTTGAATTGACTGACCAATCTGGATTTAATTAATGTATTTTACAAGCAACATATTTTAATTCTTTTAAATCATATCCCTAAATAAATAAATTAAATACTTTATAAACTTCACTAAAACCTCCTCTACCCAATAATTATAATAATACATATCTTTCTCCTATTGTTCTATATTCATTAATCTTTTTAAATCTAGCATGTTCTTCATCATATTATCTCCTTAATTATTTAATAAATATTTGTCTTTCATTTTCTAATCTACTTAATTATTCTTATAATAATTATTATTCTTTAGATAATAAAACATATTTAAGATATTAAGAAGAAGATTAAAATTAAAATTATTTCTTTTTATTTTCTATTTCCTCTTTCTAATTTTCAATCAACTTAACTTTTTCTTTTATTTATTTGATTTCCTTTCCATCTACCCAAACTTCTTAAATTTATGTCTTTTCTCTTTAATAAGAATATTCTCCTAATTTTTCTTTATTTCTCTCTATCTCCATTATTAATTACATTCTCTCAAATTAATCTACTTCTATAACAAATTATTTTATTGCATTCTCACTTTTGAATTATTATTCTTTTTATTCCTATAATATATATTTATTTTACTTATAATTCTTAATTTAACTCTGTAACTCTTGCCTCTAATTCTTTTATTCTAATATCTTATATAGCTATAGCATTTAATTTCTCTTTCAATGTTTATTCAGCATTTTATAATTCATCCACATTTAAATCAAAATTATTATTATTATAATTTTTATTCCTCTACATATTCTTTGTAAACTATGTTATTTATAATTATCGAAAGAGTGTTTGATCACTAGAACTCTTACGAGGAGTTCCTTATAAAGATAATTATTTAGTTGGTAATTTGCGCTCCTTTTAAGAAGAAAAAACCTCAAAAGAATCTCCTCTTTGGAATGCCTCCAAAATTTCAACTTTAGGTTTCTTTAGAATACGTGCTTCCAGATCTGCTAATCTATCCTTACAATTTGATGGCAATTAGTTAATTTACATTATAAGGGATTAAGTAGGAAATTAAAAAAAATTAGTTTAAATTAAATTGAATTTGTAATAAAAATTTAAAGGATAAATTGTAAAAATCAAACAGCCATTTTCATTTCTATTTTATCATGAGCATTATATCCAATTAATTCAAAATCTTCATATGTATAATCAAACAAACTTTTATTACTTTTTATTTTTAAAATTGGAAAAGGATATGGAACCCTTTCAATTTATTTCTTTAAAGCATCTACATGATTACTATAAATATGTGTATCTCCCAAAACATGAACAAATTCTCCCATATTTAAATTACATTCCTTTGCCAACATATATGTAAGTAATGCATAACTAGCTATATTAAATGGTATTCCTAAACCAAAATCACATGATCTCTAATACATCATACAATTCAATTTTCCATTTGAAACAAAGAATTATGACATAACATGACATGGTGGTAATGCCATTTATTTTATATCCATTGGATTCCAAGCTGATAATATTATCCTTCTACTATCTGGATTATTTTTTAATTATTAAATAATTTCCTTTACTTAATCCACACCTTAATTAGTATAATCACTTTAACAATCTTTATATTAAGCTCCAAAATGTCTCCATTAAAATCCATAAACTGGTCCTAAATCATGTTCCTATCTATTTTATAAACCAATACTATCCAAATATTCTCTAGTACCATTTCCTTCCCATATCTTAACTCCTTTATCTAATAATAATTTCCCATTAGTATTCCCTTTTAAAAACCATAATAATTCCTCTACAACTCCACGAAAGAATACTTTTTTTGTTGTTAATAAAGGAAATGATTCAGCCAAATTAAATCTCATTGTTTAACCAAATATAGATATAGTTCCTACTCCAGTTCTATCATCTTTATATACTCCTTCTTTCATTATTTTTCTTATCATATCTAAATATTGATTTTCTTAATGTTCTTCATTTATATATGATTATTCTTGAGAATTCTTATTAATTAAATGTTAATAATCATAATTTATCCCATTTTCACTTTTTGTCTAACTAGTCTTATTTACTTAAAATGTAGAGAACATATTTTTATTCAAATAAACATCACATTTAGTTTCAACTCCTATTCTAGTTAAATGAACATCTGAACATTTATCTGTTGCTAAACCTTCTTCAAAGATTCTCTTTCCTCCAATTAAATATAATTTTTGATTAGATGTATTATAAAATTGTAATGCCTCATCTATTCTAGGAAACACTTAAACATCATTTGATGATTTCATATTTTTTGAAATTACTACATTCACTCTATTAGGTAGAGGTTTACAATTCATTGATTCAAATGTCTTTCTTCCCATTATCACAATCCCGCCAGTTGTAATTTTCTTGAATCTCTATAGATCTTCCTTTAATTTCCAAGGTAATCTATTCTAATATCCAATGCCTCCATTAAGAGTCATTGCTAAGACCATACTAAATGTTTTATTCGTTGTCATTCTTTTTTTAATTCCCTCCCTTGTTTTTATTTAAAATATGCAATTTATAAATACTTAGTTATTCAATTAATATTATCTAAATTAAATATGATTTCAGAATATAATTATATGTATAAATTGAATGATTAACTTTAAGGATGGGATATAGAATAATCAATAGATTCTGATGAAGGTGATAAAAAAGAAATCAATTAATTTCCTAGCATTACAAAAACTTAACCTTCAGATAGGTTATGTTTAAAGAAATTATTCTTAAAAAGTCCCCAACTTTCACCATTAAGATCAAATCCTCCAAATCATTAAACAACTCCACTACGTGAATCAATATAATAAAAATTTGTTTTCGCCAATTAGTTTATAAATAAGAAATAAGAGATAAACAAGGTATGTGAAGAGTAATCTCATAAAGTAATGAATGTTAATGCAAAAGTGCAATAACCAATAAATATTGCGAATTTACGTATAAAATTGAATGGAATCCCTAAATAACCATAACATATAAAAGCATATACTTAGAATCAATTATAAGCAATATTACATTTGAAACGTAGAAATTTATATTTAAGATCAGTATTAAAAAAGGTATGTTACTTAAAATATCAAAGGTTTGTCATGAGAGTGATGAACGATATTCAAATCATCAAAAATAAGAGATATTTCTAGGTTATAGATATGTAGATGAAGATATGTAGAAATAACAGAGTTAGAACAATAGTATGAATCTCTAGTATATGTTTGGAATATTATAGATTGCAATCACGTAAGAATAGTAACATTAGACATATAAAGATGAAGCAGTAATTATGAGATTAATTAACTTTTTTTAATATATTTTTTTGATTAAAGATATTAAATAAATTATTTATTTAAAATGGTAAAGAAGGAGAAAGGAAAGCCAAATCCATTAGGTGAAGTTAGCAGAGATTATACAATCAATCTCCATAAGGGTGTTCATAAGGAAACATTTAAGAGAAAAGCACCAAGAGCTGTTTCATATATTATTAATTTTGGTATAAAAATGAATTAATTTGTCAGCAAGAAAGAATATGCTTACAGAAGATGTTAGAATTGATCCATCTTTGAATGAAGCAGTTTGGGCTAGAGGTATTAGAAATCTCCCAAGAAGAATCAGAGTTAGATTACAAAGAAAGAAGAAGGAAGAGGATGATGGAAAAGGCAAATATTATACACTTGCTTAACATGTTCCTGTTGAATCATTTGATGGCTTAAAAACAGAAATCACCAAGTCATAATGATAACATTACAATATATTAATATTAAAATATAATAATCAGTTAATGCTAAATAAAAGTTCAAACTCATCTACCATTTGTCAATTATGTAAAATGATTGCTTAAAATCCAATACAATTGATATGCTCACATTCAATGTGTATGAAATGTGGACTCAATATTTAAATATAAGAAAATACAAGGTATATCATTTCAATCTAAATAATAGTCAAATCTAAAATAAGTTTAGAATACAATGTCCTAAATGTCGTAAATTAACACATACATATGATATTAAGAATTTATTAATTGAAAATAATGAATTATATCTAATTACAGATTCAAGTGAAATGGAAAAAGAAGTACTTAATGAAGTAAGTTTCATATTCAATCTAGAGTCAATTCTCACTCTAGAAGAATTAATAAGATGCTATCTTAGGAAGAAGATAATCCAATGCTTATTAATTTTAAGAAGTATCTGAACTAAATAATAAGAATGCCTAAAAAATTGGTGAAATGTTCTCTGTATAAACAAATCATAATAATCCATTTAATCATTCTTAATTTAATAAAAAGAAACCTAATTTAGGAAGTGAAAGAATATCTCCAAGTAAACAAATATAGAAACCTACTTAATCAAATCATTAAAAAAAGTAATCTTATTAAATTCCTTAATAAGAAGTTGCAATTGAATGTATTTAATTTAATATTTTAAAGGCAAGGCTAAAACCTAAGCTAATTCATCAAATATTTAATAAAATAAAATTAATGATTTCTTTAAACCTAATTCTAATACGCCAGTTGCAACTCCAACAACTATTGCATCATAGTTACTCTTTCAATAAACTGATAATAAAAAACCTATCTAATAATAATAATAATAATAATAATAATATTAATAATAATTATAATAGTAAAGTAAAACTGATAAATTATTTGAGAATAAATAATATTATCCAGAAGAAAAGAAACTATCTACTCCAAAATATAGTGAAATTATAAAAGAAAAAGAAAACTAGTTTTTAAAAGAAATCTCTAAAGATAGTTCAAATACATCTGATAATTCTAGACACAAGAGAAGTTCTACAGGTCTTATATAAGAAAATGAAGAATAAGCCTCTGTTTAAATCATCCAATCATACTTTAAAATGGTTCAAAAGAATGTTTTGAAGCTAGAAAAGGATATAATTGTTGCAGTTAATAATAAATAAGTGGATCCTCAAAGTATCTATTAAAAACTTAAACTTTTAACAACAAGAATTGGTGATAATGAAGGTGAACTCATTTAATCCATTAAAGTTATGCAAAAATTACATTAAGAAATAATTGGACTTTCAACACCATCTTAACATAGAAAAACTAGTTCTCATCAAAATACAAGTCATAGATACACTAATTCAAGTAATTATGTGAAAAATATTGAAAAAAGTGATTAAAGTATTGGAGCCATGCCATAAGAATTAAAAATATATAAAAAATTTTTATGATTTCTATTTATATAAACATAAAACTATTAAATGTAGATTTATGTATGAACTATAAATACTAATTTAATTATTATTTGATCAAACATAATTATATAATCTAACAAAACCTAATAATAACGTGCATTCTTTAATTTATTAATTGAATCAAATTTATATTATTTTTCTAAAATTTATTAAGATTCTGTTGGTGATAAAATACAATAAATATCAAATCTACTTTCATTCATAATTTTATTAAGGAATTTATATAATCTAATAAGAATAACTTAAGGTTAGAGTATGATTATTTAGTCATAATTTTTATTCTTTCTCCTTTTGAATGATAGTAGTAATATTGAAATGAGGATTTGATTTCTATTCTCATATAATATTATTATATTCATTTATTATTCCTGATTGTTATTTTATACTATTCAACTTCTTCTTCTTCATATATGAATTATTCTTTGATGTGAATTCCTATAGAATATATACATATTCATATATTAAATAAATAAAATGAAGAATTCAATTGGCCAAAGAAACATTTTACAAAATTATGCTGTAGATGCAAGTTTTTATCGTGTAAAACAAAATCAATCAATACTTACTACTCGTCATTCCAAATTACCTTCATTTAATAACCCGATTCCTATTTCAACTCCAACATCTCCTAAGGAATAACCAAAAATGTGGAAAACTAATCTTTGCTTTCAACTAGATGGGTCATTTAGTTAAACAAGAAAAAGACCAGATGAGTTCTCCAGTAGCAAGAAGAGTGCTAGTCCTCAATTAAGATAACTACCTCGCAAATCATTTCAATTATAGTTAGATTAATAACCGAAGCTTTTCCAAGCTCCAAAATCATAAGAAAGACGCAGTTTTAGAAACTCTATATATTCAAGACCTAATTCAAGACTTATTGAGGAATAGTATTCTTTAAGATTGCCAACTACTGATATAGAGATTGGAAGGAATAATTTTAAATTTCATTATGTACTTGGAAAAGGAGGATTTGGTAAAGTATGGAGAGTAGAAATGATTAAATCACATAAGCTATTTGCTATGAAAGAAATGAGTAAAGCAAAGTAAGTTAAATTAAGCTAATAGGGTTTTGGCTAAGAAATCTGTCAATTCAGTGATGAATGAACGAATTTTACTTTCATAACTTAAACATCCTTTTATTGCTAATATTCATTATGCCTTTTAAGATAGAGAAAATTTATATCTAGTAATGGATTTATTAACAGGTGGTGATCTTAGATTTCATATTGGAAAAATGCGTAGGTTTTCAGAATAACATACTAGTATGATACTTTAATTAAATATTTTTATAGAATTTTTGATTGCAAGTATGCTATTAGCATTAGAATATCTACATAGAAATGGTATTATACATAGAGATATCAAACCTGAGAATATTGTACTTGATAAGAAAGGTTATCCAAGATTAACAGACTTTGGAATTGCTAGAATAGTGAAACCAGAGAATTCTCAAGAAACAAGTGGAACTCCTGGATATATGGGTATTTAAATAATAATATTTATTAATAGCCCCTGAAGTTATGTTTAGATAAAATCATAGTTTTGGTGTTGATCATTTTGCATTAGGAGTAATGGCTTATGAATTTATGATGGGTAAAAGACCATATTTAGGAAAAACACGTAGAGATATTAGAGATGCAATTATTGCAAAATAGGTATCACTCAAAAAATAAGAAATTCCTCCTAATTGGTCATGGGAAGCAGCTGATTTTATTAATTAATTGTTGCAAAGAAAACCTTAAGCTCGTTTAGGATATAGTGGTATTGAAGAAATATAAAGTCATCCATGGTTTTAAGGATTTCCATGGAAAGGATTACATGAGAAATAGTTGCCATCTCCATTTAAATTAACTAAATCATCAGATGAAGATTTTATTCGTGAGATTTCCTCTGATCATGATTCACAAGATGAATTGATATAGGAAAATTCACTATTACTTAGATAGGAAACAATTTAAAATCTGTTTCAAAATTATACGTATTTTAAAGAACAACAAGCAACAATAAAGAGATTTTGATTAAATAATATATACTTATTGAAATAAAAAATTTTTTATTAATATTTTTAAGTTAACATAATGATATTTACAAAAATACTTTCTGAAATTATTGTAAATTAAAATATATTAAAAATTTATATATGAATCTTAAAATATAATAATAACTATTGATATAAGTTTCATTTAATCGATTTTTCATAAAAACTAAATTTAAATTGAATAAATACCCAAATTCTGATGGTAATTTATATGTTCCAGGACCAGGAGATTCTACTCTAATTTTAGTTAATTCTCTTTTTGCTCTTGTGAAAACTGTAGATTTTGTATCTGCAAATTTAGAACAATAATAAAGTCCTTTAGGATCTATATCACCTGTATGTTTATATTATCCTGGTCCTGGAGTTGGTCCATGAACAGGAGAAAAACGAGAACTCATAGCTTTAGGTGGAGAGAGAATGATTGCACCAGAACTATTTGTTTTAAATTAAAAATTACTCTCTAAATTTACTAATTTAATATTTTCCATTTTCAGTTAATGCTTCTGGTAAATTGTATTGTCCACTAATAATAATAGAATAATATATATACGGTCCAGGTTTCCTATCTTTTTCTTTATGACTTTCAGTCCTCATTCTCATTGAATATTTAATAGGAGATTTAGAATCTTGGAACTCATATTATCCTGGTCCTGGTGTTTTTTGAATTAAACCAAGAAAGATACCTTCATATTTATTGCTTTTCTTTGGAATGTTTAAATGATAAATACATCTCTGCCTACTGGCATAGTCCAACCATTATTTGCATTAATAGTTGTTTTAATTTGATAATTATTTGGACCTGGTGTAATACTTTCTTATATTAAATCTGATTTTTATCCATATCCAATTCCAGCTCCTCGTTTACTCATCATACTTGGAAGTGAATAAATATTTGGACATCTTGATATATGATTATAATAACTTACGCTGTATCCTTAATTTCTTTGAATCTATTAGCTTTAGGAAATGAGTAAAGTTATTTGGAAATAGAATGATTTAAAGGTGATTTGTTTATTTATTCAAACGATGTATTCATATTAAATTTATTATATTATTGTTTATGTTTATATTATCATGCTTAATTTTCTTATAGTTATTATTATATTACTAATTATGCTTGATTGCAGAAACATTCAAACTATTTCACTTATCTCTTAATTTAATCAAGTGATTTATCCACTTATATTTTAAGAGTGATCAAATTTTATGGAATATATGCTTTCAATTTTTCAACTTTCTAATATTTGAAATATGAATATTACATTACAAAGACTGGCTAAATCATCAGTGATAGGGAAAAGATTATCATAAAAGGTTTTACTGAAATCATTACTTCTTGTTTAGAAAATTTAAATAATGACATCAAAGAATTTATCTTAATAAGGTTCTAAACTAAGATAACGTCTTTCATTATTGAATCCACTCATTGATTCTGCTATTAATTTAACTGATTCTTTATTATTGGGATCAATGAATTTTTACCATAGTGTAGCTCTTTCTTATTCATTTGCATTAAGAGCTTAACATTTTAATTATGCTTTTATAGCTGTATCAGAATTATCAAGTTGTAACATTTTTTAAAGTAATTCTTATTTCAAATCAGGATTTTGATCATAATGTTAAGAACCATAAATTAATTTAACAATTGCCCATTTATTATCTTTTGTACATTCAATTTATGATAATACTTAATTTTAATCTTAAAACCAAGTTAATAATTCATCAATACAAATTTTATCATATGCAAATACTGTTAAATTATTTCTTAATAACATTAATCTATTTTCAGATTATGGATCTTTGCTAATTTTAATTAATTATTCTACAAGAAAAGCAAATACTCTTTTACCAAGAACTTCCTTGTATCTAATATATATATAATAATTATAGATTACTTTCTTGGTGTCATAGATTCAATTGATTATTATAAGTAAACTAATTAAGAATTCAAAATTTCATCTGAATTTTCTCTTGGTAATTAGGCCAATAAGAAATCAACATATTCTTCTGAACATATTTTACCATCTCTTACACTATCAAAAAAGGCTCTATAAATTTAATTTCTTGTTAAAATATCATTAATTGTTTATAAATTTTAACTAAAATATTTAGTAGATTCTTAATCAAGGAATACTTTTACAAAAGTTTAATCTTCATAATTTAATAATATTGCTCTATATCCTTTACTACCATCATAAGTAATAACATTTTCTTCAGTTGCTTTAAGTACTGCATCAATAGAATCTATACCATTATCATGAAATAATCCTATTTTAATTTTGTGTACTCTTAATGTAGGGAATTAACTTAAAGCAGGTCTTTAATATATATTTAATTTTGCTTAATGAGTTCTATCTGTTTAATCCCATTAAGGTTCAATTTCATTCATACCAGCAGTTTCAATCCATTATTATTTCCATTATGATAATGTAAATTCTTGATTATCAAATTTCTCTTATAAATGATCAATTAAATCTTATAAAACAGCATTCTTCCATTCAAATTTCCTAAAATAATTTCCACATGCTTCTCCAAATTTAGCTGCTCCCATAATACACATTAATTATTTCATTACTGAAGCTCCTTTAGAATATGTAATTCCATCAAATATATTTTCTGCTACTTCAGTATTAATAACATCTCCAGCAATAGGATGTGTAGTTACCATTTAATCTTCTCTATATCCCCATCCTTTTCTTTAATTAAACATAACAGGAATATTAGATAATTTGATTGATTCAATTTAAATATTTTCTAAACAAAAGTGTGAAATAAATTCAGCATAACTTTCATTTAACCATAAATCATTCCACCATTTCATTGTTACATAATCTCCAAACCAATGATGAGCCATTTCATGAGTTATTAGAATAGCAAATTATGTGTAAGTAGTTGCTGGTTTCTTTTCTTTAAAAACATAAGCATCATTTATTGTAACACATCCAGGATTTTCCATTGCACCCCAATTATATTCAGTAACAAATACAGAATCATATTTATTGAATTAATATTTAACTCCAAAGAAATTCTCATAAAATTTCATACTTTTCTTTGTAACTTCAAAAACAAAATCCTTTATACCCATCATATGTTATTTTAAACTTTCTCTACAATATATAGTCTATGGAATATCACCTTCTTCTCCTTAATATTTTATTGACCAATATTCTCCTGCTACTAAAGCAAATAAATAAGTTGGTAATATTTTTGTTCCTCCAAATACCCAAAAATTGTATTAATTTGAATTCTCAAGATTTTAAATCTGATTCTCAACAAATTCTTAAGGTTAATATGTCTTAATTATATTAATAGCCTAAGCCTCATTAAATTATCCATTTTGCTCAGCATTTTCATTTGAAATTACTACCCATTCCTTTGGACATATTGCTGTAAATCTCAATTAAGCTTTTAAATCAGGTTAATCCATACATGGAAAACTAATGCATTAATATTCTTATACAATCTATTTGTGAAATAGGATTCACATTAACTATATAAATATTATTTTCCATCTTTATCAATAAATCCATGTAATCCACATCCATCTTTAGCATAATTTTAATCAAATTATATATTCACTCTATTCTTTTAAGATGTACTCAAATATTCTTTAGGTACTTTAATAAATAATCCATTCCATTCCAAATTATTAATCTTATTTCCATTTACATACAAACTAACTACTTTCTTTCCTCTAAAATCAACATATAAATCTGTCAAAATATGCTTTGCTTCAAAATCCAATGCTACTAATCCACTATAAGATTCACCTATTTATCATATGCTTATTAAATATGTACCTTTTTTCAATAATAAATCAACTTTATATGAAATACTTCCTTAAACAATTTGACTCCATCTTTAAATGGCTCCTGCTTAAGTTAAGAATCTATTCTATCCAAATTCATTTTAAGTGACAGGTGGACATTAAGTAACAATTATGCTAGATTTCCTTGCTTTATCATATTATTGATATCCCAAAACAATTCCACTCAAACCTAAAGCAACTATAATTCCAATTTTTGCTGACTTCGAATCTGCAAATTTCTTTAATATTTACATAATTAATTTATATTAAAAAGATCTTTATAAAGATAATTACACTATAAATATTTATGTATAAATCATCAATTCTAATTTATAATAATTTAAATTATTTTTATACAAATATTTTATAATATTATCCAAAAACTTTAGGAATATAATTACTTGATATAAAATATATATTTAAATAATTATCTTAATAGATGATGTTATAAATATTTAATAATCACACTTCTTAGTAATTCATTAAAGTACATCTTGTTAAAGCATCCACATCACTTCTAAAGACAAGTTGATTTTCAGAAATGAAGTATAAGATTAAGTTATCAATTGAAGCTGAAATTAATAAATCATTAGGTTCAACTGTCAATTGTTTTTATTTCAATGATTTTAAATTGAATAAATTAATTACAACAACCTTTTAATAATTTTGATATGGTATTAATATAGCATTTTTATTATTACTAATTTATGAAAATGGATTCCAATCTTTATATTTGTTTAATGTAGAATAGAAAAATAGTTAACTACTTGTAAATGAATATTCAAAAAGAAAACTATTATCAACATATGTCTATAAAATAAAAAGTGTATTAGTATTAGTAGCATTTAAAATTACAGCTGATCTAAATCTAGCAGTATTTGGAATATAAAAACTTCTAATATTGAATCTTCCACTATTATATGGTACAATATTGTTTGATTTTGAAATAGCTTCAATCCAATATACTCCATTTTCATAATCTGAAATTAAGATTCTATAATTTGTTTGAAAATCTTTGACATATGAATATATATCAAAATTTGTGATATTTAGATTAGATACATTAAGGAATTATGCATCCATTGTATATGAAGTAGTTTTTAAATACCATGAATTATTTGAAATAACTGTAGTTAAGGTAAGTATTTTATCACTTTGAGGAATCAGCAAACTATTACCTACTATTATCATTTTTTCAAAGTTTTCTTTCACTGATTACATTTGAACAGCTTCTCCAAATATTTCATATTGATTAAGTCCATTTGCTTTATATGCAAACATGATAGGATTTGTACCTTTTTATTAAGATTAACAAGCTAATAATAATATTAAATGAAGTGGATGAGTAATTATTTTATTACATATATAATCTGAAATTTCTGGGGTTTCAATTGTATTTAATACTTACAAGTTTTCATCTAATATATAGATATTAGAATTTGTAAGCATAATATCAGTCTAATTTATTTTTGTATGATCAACTATATTTTCATTTTGTTCAAAATCATAATATTATTCAATATCACAAATTGTTGTCTTTTTTTGTGAATATGCTATGAAGAGCATTGATAGTGTTAAAATGATAGCCATATTTATTATTATTAAAGAAATAGTTCAAAATTCCTTAATATATATAAATGAATACTGAAAACAATCTGACAGATTTAATTTAAATTAAGGAACATATTGAATATAATTTAATCAATTTATATAAAATATATGATATTTAAATATATAATCAAAATTATAAATGATTTTATACATAATATTATAATCTATTAATTATAAAGTTGATAAATGAAGTCTTTAAAAATTAAATAACTTAAATATTATTAAGAACTAATTATAAAATAATACTGATTATTACCATTTAATTCAATTGTATAAATATAATTTTATCAATTAATTTTTTCAATATATTTTAATATAAAATATAAAATGTCAATACAATTAGATTAAAACATATATTCTGATTCAATATAGAAATTAGAATTATTTATAAGTTGTCGTCAATTAGATGATTTGGATACAGTAAGTGTAAGTGATCCATATGTAGTTCTATATTTAAAAAATAGTTAAAAAAAATGTAAATGATTTATAATTAATATTTTTAGGGAATTAGATAGGTTAAACAGAATTAATTTGGAATAATTTAAATCCTAATTTTGCAACTTCGATTTTAATTGAATATCATTTTGAAGCTTAATAACATCTAAAATTAGAAGTACATCATTTTATTAGTAAAACACAATCAAAAGTAATTAAATACATAAAATTATAGATTATTGGAATTGCAGAGACTACTGTGGCAGAGATAGCAGGATCAAAAGATCAAATTTTGATGGCAGATCTTTTTAATTTATAAAAAAAAAAAAGTGGAAAGATTATAATAAAAGCAGATTAAGTTAAACAATGCAATGATGAATTAGAAATAACAGTTTCTGGTTAAAATTTACCTGATACAAGATTTTGGTTTTGGCATGGAGCTTGTCCATTCTTAAGATTTTATAGATTAAGAAAAGATGATAGTAATCCAATTTTAGTTTATGAAACTGAATTTATAAAAGACTCTTCAAATCCAACTTGGAAAACTATATAATGTAAAGCATAAAAACTTTGTAATGGAGATTATTAAATGCCAATTAAAGTAGAACTCTGGGATTATAGAACTTCAGGAAAACATTTATATTTAGGAGAAACAACATTTTGTATTGAAGAACTTAAAGAATCATTTGCATAAAATTAACCATAAAAAAAAGAATTTAGAAATAAATAAAAAAATAATGCACCTGCAGGTACAATAAGTTTTGATGATTTCATTTTAAAAAGCAAATATACATTTTTAGATTACCGTTAAGGTGGTTAATAATTGAATTTGATTCTTGCTATTGATTTTACTGCTTCTAATGGTAATCCTAAAGAAAAAAATTCATTACATTATATGCCAGAAAATGGAAATCCTAGTTAATATTTATAAGCAATTACAAGTGTAGTGGAAATTTTAATAAATTATGATTATGACAAAAAAGTACCAGTCTATGGTTTTGGATGTAAACCAAAATTTAATGTAATTAATACAAACTAAACTTTACATATATTTCCTTTAAATGATAATCCAGAAGATCCTGAGTAAATATTATATTTAATATTTTTAGAGTTGATGGATTAGATGGTATAGTTTAAGTTTATAGAAATTCAATTTAAAAAATGTAATTAGATGGACCAACATATATACATCCTGTATTATCAAAGGTTATGGAAATGGCTAAAGAAGTAAAGGATAAAGGAAGTGACAACTACTTAATATTAATGATTCTATCAGATGGATAAACAGATGATTTATAAGCATCAATAGATGATGTTATAGCATCTTCTTATTTACCATTATCTATTATAATTGTGGGGATAGGAAATGCAGATTTCAAAAAGATGAACATACTTGATAATGATGATAAGAGTATGGTTAATAGCTTTGGACAAAAAGCTAAAAGAGATTTAGTACAATTTGTCCCATTCAATGAATTCAAACATGATCCTACTCTATTATCTAAAGAAGTTTTGGCTGAATTACCTGATTAATTAGTAGAGTATATGGAATTAATGAAAATTCCTCCAAAACCTCCTACATGTATATATATATAGTATTAATTTAGATCAAAAAAATCAAAATTTTATGTAAGCATCTATTTAAAATGTTTATCCATAACTTTAAGTTGAATTAACAGATTAATAACAATAACAATATATATCTTAAATCTAATAAGCAGAAGTTAATTAATAATCAATTAATATTGGTGTTGCTGCTTAAACTTTTGGATAAGGATTAGCTTAATAAGGATTTTTAAATAATTTTGTAAAACAAGCAACTTCATCTATTCATAATCCTTAATAATGATAGTTTATCTATTTACATATATTTATTATATTAATTATTCAAGTGTTTAAATAAAATAATGTTGTAAAATAATATTGATGAGAATGAAGCAAGTCTATTATTCAAATTTATTTTAATTGGAGATATTGGTATTTATGATACATTGAATCTTTGTAGCTGTAGGTAAGACATCACTACTTAAGTAATTTGTGGAAAAACGATTTTGTGATGACTATAATTTGACTATTGGAGTTGAATTCAATATCAAATATATTTAAGTGAATGATCATGTCATTAAATTGCAGATGTGGGATACAGTAAAAAGATCCTTAATGAAAAGTCTGGACAAGAGAGTTTCAAGAGTGTGACACGTTTGTATTACAGAGCAGCAGCTGGAGCTATCATGGTCTTTGACATTACAAGAAGAGAGACTTTTGAAAATATTCGTAATTGGCATCGTGAGGCACTTGACAATGGCAATAGTAGAATGAAATTTCTACTTATTGGTAATAAGACTGACCTTCAAAATCATAGAGAAGTAGAATCTTATGAAGCAGCTTAATATGCTAAAGAAAATGAGTGTCTTTATACTGAATGTTCAGCCTTATAAGGATCTAATGTAGAAAATGCATTTATGGAATTGGCTCATCAAATTTACTAAATGGCCATGGAAGATCCCAACCTAGTAAATGAATAATATGGGATTAAATATGTCAATAATGCCAATAGTTCTATGTCAACAAGTAAAATTGTAAGTTAGCAAGCAATACCCAAGAAATAGTTATAAAAGGTAATGAAATAACAGCACTAATAGATAAATAATTCAAATACTGAAGAATTTATGGAATATTATGGAGAACAAAACTAAACCAATTAAAAAAAGGCTTAGTGCAATAATTGTTGTGCAGATATATGAAATATACTATAAAAGAATACTCATTTATACAAATAGAAGATTTATTTAATTATATATTTGCAATAATATTTTTATTAAGCTAATACTATCTAATGATCAACGATAATCGAAATCCTGGATTCTTCTAACAACCTAATCAAAATCAATATAATATCATACTACCCAATAATAATTAACCAATTATTGGTTAAAGATAAGCATATCCTATTCAACCTCCAACATAGTCAATTGTTTAACAGCCATTACAATTCTAACAATAATTTCCACTTCCACCTTAAGTCAATTATGTACCATAAACTATATAATCAAAACCTAATGTTTTACCTACTGTCTATTAAGAGAAACCTACATAAGTTATAAATATGGATGGTAACAATTTAAATTATTCCAATAGAAATTGAAGCTCCTTGGAGATTAAAGTGTGCAACTTTAGAAAGATAAATTTTAGAATTATAAATTTAATTAAGAAAAGGACCAGGACCTACTGAACCAGATGCTATAGAAGTGATTGATGATACTAGATTAAGAGAATTAGAATCAAAGAAAGCTTAATTATAACAAATGATTTAGGATAGAGATAGAGAGATATCTGAATTGGAGAATCAAATTCATTAATAATAAGAATCAATTGAAATATAAATTTAAGAAAGAACTGTTCATTATTCAAATGAAATAGAAACATGGTAAAAGAGATTCTAATAATTAGAAAGAGATTATTAATAATCATAAAGATAATTATAAGATTTATAAGAAGAATAAAAGAGATTAGAAAAATAAAATTAAGATGTTCGTACATCTTAATAAAGAGTAGGATAAAGTAGAAATTATTGAATAATCATATATTAATATATAAAAATATAAATAAATAAATTTATATATATATATATAAATATAAATCAAATAACATCATCATCTTCATAATCCATTAATCTTTATGATCTATAAGATTAATTTTAACTTAATAATTTGTTACTATATCTACTTTAACGTAAAGATGTATTTCTCATTTCTGAATGTTTTTCAACAATCATTTCTTTCATATTTTAATTTAACTATTTAATTTGATTACTTAATTCTTTATTTTCTTTTCTTAATTTAACTATTCTCTTTTCTAAAACTAAATCATTACCATCTAACTATTCTAATTAATTTTTTAAATTTTAATTTTCTAACTATAATGATTTCTTTTCATGTTATAATGAATTAATTTATGCTGTTAATTTATTAAATTTTGATTCTAAATCATCTAATTATTTATCACTTAGTTCTACAACTTTCTCAATCATAAATTCATTTTTCTTAGCTTCAGATTATTTATTATCTAATAATTATTATAATTTTTAATTCTCTTATAAAATACGATCATATTCAATATTAGTTTATTCTAATTATTATATTGCATTGTTAAGTTATAATGATAATTATTTAATCTAATTAAATATTTAAAAAATATAATACCTCATAATCTGATTATTATAATTAATTATTTAATTAATAATTTTATTATCTAATTTTATCCTATTCATATATATCATATTAACCTCCAATTCTTTCTGTAGTTTCACTATGAACTCTACCTAATTATGTTTCTAATTGTTTTGAAATACCATATAATTAATCATTTTCTGTTTATAATTTAACTCTTTCCATCTTCATCTATCCATTTTCTTATTCAAATTATTTTAATTGAGTTTTATATTTCTTTAATTTCTCTTTATATTTTGATAAATATATTTCCTTATCTTATTTTAATTATTTATTTTCTGTTTCCAATTTAACCTTTAATCTAGTAAATTTTTATTCAATTTAATTTATATCTCTAACAGTCTCTTCTTATTTTAATTTGTGACTGTTTACATTCTCACATAATTCCTTATTCTTTTATTTCTCCTCTTCTATTCTCTTAGATTATTCTTCAATCACTTTATTTAAAGTTTTAATATTTTCATCACTACTCTATAATTATTATTCTCTATTCTTTAATTCAATTGCAAAATAATCTAATTCTTAATATAATTATTTATTTCGTTCTTATTCTTATTAAATTAAATTCATAAATTCATCTTCTCTCTTTTCATAATGTTTTACATTCTTAAACTCTTATTCTTTTAACATTTCAATATCATTTTCTAAAACTCTTATTTTTTATTTTTATAATTATGATTCTTCATTACAATATCTCAATTATTAATTTAATTATGCTACTGCTTCATTTAATTCTTCTTAATTTTATTCATAAATATTTTCATTCTATTTTGCTTAAGTAAATAATTAATGTTCTATTTCCATCTACTTTTTATTATCATCCATATGTTATTCCATCTATTAAATCAATAAATCTCTTTATTTAATAGAATCTTCTTATTAATAAACCTTACTCTACAATCTTGAATTCTCTTCATATAAATTCTTTAATTCCTTTTCAAATCTTTACACTCTAATAACTATATTCATTTATAATTACTTATAATCTTCCATCACTTCTTTTTCTTTTAATAATTCCTTCAATTCTTAAAATTGCTTTGAAAAATTTATTTCTTATCTACTAGGTTATCTGTCAATTGTACTATATATTTTTGATTAATGTAAAACAGTTTAATCTGATCCTGGTCTTAAATTCTGATCTGATCCAAATCTCATTATTTAATCAGAACCTCCTGGTCTTACTATTCTAGATGGTTAATCATCAAAAGATCCCTTTGATCCAAATTATTAAATTATATTATCTCTTCCCAATTATGATTTTGATTTTATTGATTAATTCTCTAATTAAGATAATGCTATTCTTTATGTTGAAGGTTTTATTGTTTGTCTCAAATCTTCAGCAAATTATAATGTCATATACGCAGTTATATGATCCTATTAAACTTAAGATACACAAAATAAAACAGTCACATTATTAAATTTAGTTTCTCTCAAAGATAAATAGAGTTATAGTAATGATTTACTATCCAACTCTTTTTCTTAAAAATCTTATTAAGATATAAGTAATTATTTCAATTTCATTTAAAAATCTTTAGCTTCTTATGTAACTCTTCTAAATTCATTAAAAAGAATTAAATGTAATTAAGCTACTTCCTATTTATCCTATTCAATTAAATATTTAATAAAAATATGATTATTTTTTGTTTCTGGATGCTCTTTTACATATTACTTATATTAGAATATACTTTAATTAAGCATTTTTTTAAATTCAATTGCACTCTTAATTTATGAAAATTTAACAGTTTAACTTCTAGATGATCCTATTAAATCAATGATCTCTATATTATTTACTAATGATATTGAAATATTTAATTTTCCCTTCCCTCTTAATTATTTTGAACTTTCAATTAAATTGAGTATATTTTCTACTATTAATACAGCTAAACCCTTCTCCTGACTTCTCTCTTCACCTTTGATGGTATACTTTTTGCCACTTTCAGGTCCTCCCAATATAATTAAGGAACCTGATGAACCAGTGATCAAATTGTTTACTTTAGTTGCCATCACTTAATCATAAACCAATTATTGATTAGCCTTTTCACCAAATACTTAATCAAATTGAAAAAGATCAGAATTCTCAATTATCGATTATCGTTGTTTCATTATATCTGAATCATTCTTTAAATACTCAAAAATTATTTTCTGTGATATTGCATTACGTGAACTTATAACAAGAGTCTGGGGTGCTTATTATGGTTCAAAACATACATTCATTAGATAATACACCTGCAAAGATATTAGTACGCACATCCTTTTTTGAATTTACAGTACTTGAAGATGTATTATTAGGCTATGGTCTTAAACGGCAAACTAATTTCATTGTTAAAATGATAAATTTAAATTTTTATATATTATTTATTTATTAATCAATTTCTAAATAATAATGATATTCATTTATTATAGATTACAGTATTACCCTTTAACAATAAGAAATTTGAAAATCAGATTTATCAAAATTACTTGTATTCTAAAATATATATATTCTGTAAATTAAATTTATAGTCCTCTCAATAAAATTGAAATCATTAAATGGATTCTATATTTTCTCAATATTTTAATTATTCATTCAAAATAGAATATTATTAAATTGTATTTAACTAAAAAGTTATTAGGTTAATCTCTTTAACATCATTAAACTATAGTAAAATTTAAGAAATCTCATATTTATTTAAGTTAAAACATTTGATAAATTTTTGAAAAATTAAACAGAATAATTATTTAGACCAATAATCTATATTATATCTAAGGGTTTATATCTATATGAGGTATGAAAAATAAAATTACAATCTATTTTTAATCTAAGTAATATTATCTTTAACATATTTTATTTATGTAGTGTTGCAACTATCAAAATTGTTAAATTCATTAATTAAGATTCATTCACTCTAATTATTTCTATTATCTGCCCAAAAAAATAGGTCTCTAAAATTGCTAAAAATCTTATTATCATCTCAAAAATAAATTCAAATCTTAATTTAATTTTTTATTTGACTTTACTCATATTTTAAATACTGCTCAAAATTATTTGAATTCTAGTAGCATTCTAAAGCTAATTCACTTTATTCTAATAAGTTAATTACTGACTTACATTCAGTAGGATAGTATTCAATATAAAGAAAATAAATTACTTAAATTTTAGATAAGGAGCATTCTTACTAAATGAGAAAGACAAATAGAACATTATTATTTAGTATAAAGCTACATCTAATAATTGATATTAGTTTATTCATATAAAGACATTTAAAGTGTATTGAAAATAAGATGGAGATGATATAATGTAGAAATAAAAGGGGACAATATTTGACAATAGTTCATAAAATACTTTTAGTATCCTTTAATTTATTCGAATAATCTATATCTTCATTTTTAAATTGCAATTATAATGTGTCTATAAACTACTCAATTTTAATGGATTACTAAAATAAATTAACAAAATTTATAGGTTTCTTTCCATATGATTTATTTATTTAATATATCTTAAGTCAATTTGAGATATTTTTTTATTGTTAGAATAATTGATGAATTATATCAAATATAAAAATGAATGATAAATTTTATATATGAAACATGAAGCAAAGTTTGTTATATTATTATTATATTTTGAGAAAGCCTGCTTATATTTTTATTAATAATAGCAATAATATGTATTGTTTTCATAGAAAATGATTTATTTTTGTCTTAGAATATAGATTTAATAAATAAATTCAAACATATAGTATTCAAAAAACATTTAATAATTTTAGAATTCAAATAATAATAACATTATGTATAGAAGTTTACTTTTCTGTAGACATCTTGATTGCTTTATTAAAGGAATTTTGTAATATTTTTGAATAATTTTATGGTAAATTTATTGTGAAGTTTTAGAATTATTAAAAAAATTGAAAATGGGAAATTTATGTGATTTTATGAAATCAGAAAAAGTGGAATTTCAAAGTTCTTTGAATTAATAGAATTCCTTGCAACCAATTTAAGAATGTATAAAGTTTATTAAAACTCAGAGGATTTGGCGTTAAAATCAAGTAAGACTCTGGATAACTCCACATCATTTGTGCCTGAAATAACTCATAAGAGAGTAGGACTAGAAGATTTCATTATGTTAGCAACAGTTGGCAAAGTATAAATTAATATTATAAGGGTGCCTTTGGAAAAGTATACAAAGTAAAAAAAAAAGACAATCAAAAAATTTATGCTATAAAATGTGTCAATAAGAAGCTGATATTTGATAGCAAATTAGAATAAAATGCTTTACTTGAGAAAGATGTCTTAAAATAAAGCAAACATCCATTTATTGTGTAGTTAAAATATTCCTTTTAAACACCAACTAAATTATATTTAGTAATGGAATACATCAATGGAGGGGAATTCTTTAAGATTCTTTCAAAAACAAAGGGTTTGCCAGAATCTATTGTTGCTTTTGTGGCAGCTGAAGTGGTTTTAGCGTTAGAATATTTGAATAATTAATTAAAGGTTATATATAGGGATTTAAAACCAGAAAATATCTTACTTACAACAACAGGACATGTTAAATTAACAGATTTTGGTTTAGCAACATTAAGAAAAGATGAAAATGTTAAAAATTATACTGTATATATTAATACTAATATTAGTTAGCAGGAACTCCTGAATATTTAGCTCCAGAGATTATAAATAAAAAAGGACATTCTTTTGAAGTAGATTTATGGACACTTGGAATCTTAATATATGAAATGATTAATGGACATCCACCTTTTACAGTTCCAGATAGAAATATTTAGAAGATTCTACAATTAATATTATAAAATTAACCAACTTATCCACCTATAATGAGTAATGAAGCAGTAAATTTAGTTTAAAGACTATTAAAAACAAATCCTAAAGAAAGAATTGGAGCTGTAATGGTAATTTAAATTTGTTACAATATTTTTAAGGGATACTAAGAAATAAAATATCATCCATTTTTTGCAAAAATCAAATGGACAGAATTATACAATCTAAATGTCAAATCTCCATTGAAAACATTTGCAGAACAAAATGCTTCAAGATCTGAAATACAAAAAATGCCTTAAACCTAAATTTAAGAGACACCTAATGCTCCATAACCTCATATGAAGGATATGAGTTATGGAGGAGGTGATGATACGTACAACTCTAAGAAACTGAATTGATAATTATTAAATATGAATGGATATTTATTCATAAATGTCAATTTAACATTTGAAAAGATTAAGAATGAAATTTAGTTAGTAAATTCAAAGATTTTAATGTTTTCAGATGTTATATACAGAATAGACTAATTTTGTTATTATAATTAATTTAATTTTAAATGGCTGAAACGTAGAAGCGAACTGCATAAGAAGAAACACTAGAAAAAGGACCTTTTGGATTGTTGACAATTACAGTGAGTCATAATACTCAAGTGCTTATTGAGCTTAGAAATAATAGAAAACTCTTGGGAAGAGTAAAAGCATTCGATCGACATATGAATATGGTATTTTAATTATTAATCTAGATTCTTGAAAATGTGACTGAAATGTGGACAGAAATTCCTAAAGGAAATAAAGGAAAGAAAGCTCATGCTACAAACAAAGAAAGATTTATTCCAAAGATGTTTTTAAGAGGGGATTCTGTGATTTATGTCTTAAGAAATCCAAAGTGATATTATTGAAATTATTAAAAACCTCTATAAGAAATTATTAGAGCATCAATATTAATTTTTTTCTAAAACAATGATTCTTAATTATCTCATCATTTATTTAATTATACTAAATCACTATTGGCTTAAACTTGTCTAATAATAAGTATTAAATATAAATCTCTAATTTTTATACAATAAAATATTAAATATACACATCTTTATCATCTATTAAGTATTACAAATCAATTTTATATTAATTTCCTTAGATTTATTTTTAATAATTCTTTTTAAATTTTAGTCAACTATTTTATTCCTTAAAATATTGTATATATTTGATTATATAAATATAAAGACTTAAAAATTACACTAAGATAATAAATATATTACTTGATCATATTCAAGATATAGAAAAGAATTATTATAATATGACAGATAATAGATTCTAATATAAGTTATTATGATAAGCAAAGTTTATGATAAAATATTAAAAATATTCAATTTTCCTTTTATGTAGATAACTAACTTATAAAATTTATTCCTTATTTATTGTTATAATATATGATTTCATTGAAATTAACATATTTATTTTAATAAAGAATACTATCAAATTTTGGTAACTAGCTTATATATCTTTACATGATTTTTAAATAAAACTAACATTTTCAATTAAAATATTAATCATTTATAACTCAATTATATTTAATCAATATATTTATAAGAATAAAAATTTATTATGACAGATAAAGAAGCAACTCTAAGGGAAATAGGTAAAAAAGCCTTAGCAGAAACTGAAAAATTAGCCACAATTTAAAGATTTGGATTATTTTCTTCTCCTGTTCCTCTTGGAATGGGTGATAATAGTTATGACAACAAACCAAGACGTTTTACATTACATTATATAAATAGCCCCAAGAAATGATTAAGGCAAACCTATTACTTCTCCTTCAAACATTAAAATTACTGCCCCTAAATAGGGCAAAATAAAGTCATCATATTTTAGCCTGTTAGGGTTTACAACGATAGGTGATAAATATCTAGATCCAGAAAGAAGAATTAGAATTCAAGAATTAGAAGAAAAAAAGAAATATTCATCTGATGACAAAAAGAATTTCGTTCCACCTTCAGGATATAAAGAGATTATAGGCAGTTCATACTCCCATATGCCTGATTATGAAATACCCAAAGGACCAAATAATCATAAGGGACCTGATAACAGAGTACATATTGGACCAAAAAATATTACAACTAATCCTTCAAGCAAAGATATTGGTTAATTTCCAAAGCATGAAAAGGATGAATATAATAGATATTAATAATTTGAAAGGGAAAGAATATTTAAAGAATAGAAATTATTAAAAGATAAATAACCCTTTAAAAGCACAATTTATACAACAGATAACTTTAGTTCTGATAAATAGGTTTATGGAGAAACAAACCTTCCTAAAGTAAGTGTTCTGTTATTAACAATTCCGATAGCCAACATAAGTCAAGGAATTTAAACCAAATATTATGAAACACGAAGCTCCATTCAAACCATCTAACCCTACTAAAAGTGGTGAAACTGGCTGTTTAGGCAAGTATCCAGAGTATAAAGGTGATCCTCTTAAACCAACATAAAGAAGAGATTTTGTTAAAGGTAAAGAACCATTTAAGTAATGTCAAAAATAAATTAAGACCTAATCATTTAATGGATATAGTGAGACCTACTCCAAGTATCTCCTGTTTCCCATATAATCTTAAAAGAGAACTTAATAACCGCGTGTTTTGAGTTAAATTAAATATTAACAAAATAAACATCCAAATTATACAGAAAATTATCAAGATTCTTAAAATTTACTTTTAATCACAATTCTTAAATTCATTAATAATTCTTTAAGTAAAATTACATTTAAATCTATTTGTATTTATTCATCTAAATTGTGAATAAATTAAGTTTAGTTATATTTAAATCAAAACTTTAAAAATATAATATCAAACTTCAAATTTATAAAGTAAATAGATTACTATTTTAAAGATAATGTATACAATTTTAAAGCTATTTAATATTTTAATTAAAATAGTTATAAATAATAATCATTAAATAAAATACCAACAAATGAGATATGATATGAAATTATGAAATTTAATTATAATATTCAGTTTTATAAGATAATTTAATTTATAATATTAGTATATCTTTAGAAATGTTGAAAAATAATTAAAATATATATTTTTTATTATAATTCTTAACCTAATCAATTGTATAATAATTTTCTTTTTAATAAAAGTATATAATGATTTTGTTTTGTTTATTTTGAATATTCTATATTTCATATCATAATTTTAAATCGGTGTAAAATGTTTTGAGAAGGTCTATCAATTTCTTCATTGTTTTTTGTAAATCATCATTTAATAATTCATTATAAAATCCTAGTTAATGAGCTTTTTCTATTTCTTTTTCAGCATTTTTCATTCTTTTTTCAATTACTTCTTCTGTTTCAGTTCCTCTTCCAGTCAATCTCTTTCTCAATTCTTCAGTTGAAGGAGCATTAATAAAAATATAATTACACTAATTAGGCATTGATTTACTAATCTTTTCAGCACCTTATACATCTATTTCAATTACACAAACTTATCCTTGTTTCATAACTTTTTAAACTTGAGCCAAATGAGTTCCATAATAATTACCATGCACTTCACAATATTCTAAAAATGCTTTCTTTTCAATTTCTTTTTAAAATTCTTCTTTGCTTACAAAATAATAATGTTATCCATGAACTTCACCTGGTCTTGGTGCTCTTGTTGTGTAGCTAACACTAAAAACAAATTATTATGGATATTATTTAAAAAGCATCTATAATAAAGTTCCCTATTAAGAACAATTTATAATTTAATTACTTTTCCAACTCCACTAGCTCCAGAAACAATTAATGGTTTACAAGTTTTAAGATCTTTTTCTTAATTAAAGAAACTGAAATATTCTTTAGCATATTGATAAACATTATCTGGCTGAAATAATATTAAAAAAGTTACTTTTTCTAAAATAATCTAACTTGTAAAGTCATTTAATATTTGATTTAATTCTGGATGCTTTTTCAAATATTCTATATGTTCCTATTTGATTTCATGTTTAATATGTAGAAAATAGGTTTGTAATTCAGAATCAAATTGCTATTAATCCATTTATTTATAATAATTATTTAATATTTGAATAAAATTTTTTTTGTTTTGATAATCTTATCTAATCTTATTGTATTATTATACTTTTATTTCAATTACAAAAATTTTATAAAAAATTAATTGTTTAGAAATAATTTTACATTGAATTCAAATATAATGAGTTTCTAGATTTCTTTAAGATAATTTAAGATAATATTCAGATTTATTTAGAATCTATAATCTAAAAGATATTTTAATTAGTATTCTTATATTAATGAATCTATATTCAAAAAATTGAATTTTGATTTTAATAGAAGCAGATTTTATCCTAAAATTAATCTATAACATTAACTTTTTTTGAATTATTTCATTAGAATGATGATTGATATAAAGATTTTTAGATTAATAATGGATTTGAATTATGAATATGATCAATAACAAGAATGATGTGATGGAAAATGTCATAATTCTGATAAAATACTAAAAAAAAGAAAAATAAGAATTATTATTAAATTGAACCACTTTCACAATAAGCTAATACTCTTAGTGAGAATTTAAAATATAATTAATTAATCAGAAAATGGATCTCTTTGGATTAGTGTAGACAGCTGTTGATTTGGCTAAAGCACATGAAGAAAATGGTGAAGAGGTCAAATTCTTTAGACTTAAATTGTCATCTCTCTAAGAATAATTATAGAAATTAGAATAAAAGGATTTCCAGTAATGGTTTGAGTATATTGTAGAATCAATGCCCAATTATAAGGCTAGATTAAAAAGGAATTGACAGAGTCATCTCAATTACTCTCCAAATTACCAGAACGCAACTCATAGTATTAATTTAATATAAAATATATAGTATTAATACAATTCTTTCCAAATTGCCTTTTGGGAGTGTTTACAATGATATCAAAGATAAATCATAGGCTTTAGATCGACTAAGTCAGCAATTAAATAATCATTTAATAACATGTTTGGCCCTTGCATAGACTAGTACGGTTGAGAAATAAGGAAATGTTACTACCCATGTAGAGGAAACATAGATTGATGATGATTAGATAGTTTAAAGTAAGAGAAAAATAAAAAATTAGTAAATCAATCTCAAGGAAAGATCTAATTAAAGTTGATTGCAGAGGATCATATAAAATAATAATTTAGAATGAATATAATAAATACTATAGAAGTAATTGAATTAAAATTTGGAAATAATGGAAATAATGGAAATGATGAATAGGAAGTGTTTAAATTTGGGAGAGAATATTATAGAAAATTGTAAATGGAAGTTTAGCAAGTGTAAACTATTTCTAGAGAACATGCAATTATTACATGCATTAGAAAATAAAAATAAAAATTTGATAGTGATAATTTTGAAGTACCATAAAAAAAAATAAAAATTGATAAATAAAGTGAATAACATTAAGTTTAATAGCAAGAGTATATATTAATTATATTTTTAGAATATTTTACACTTGCATAGATAATTTTTAATAATAAGAGGAAGCAAAACCTGGGGATGATAATAATAACTATGAATACATTTTTAAATTATAAAATAAAAGCCCAAATGGGATATTTATTTATAGAGATGAAGAATAGACTAAAAATAATGATGATGTAATAATTATATATATCTATTTGATTAGATTATTCTTGGTACTTGGACAAGGATTGTAAATAACAAAACTATTGTTTTGAAATCAAAAGATAAAATTGCAATATTAATGAAAAAACCAGAATATAAATAACCTTTAATTGCATATGAATTCATTATGCTATTGTGATATATAATAATATCTTTAATATATAATAATAATGAATTTTGAAAAGAAAAAAGAATAATTTTCATCAGATAAAATAGAAAATAATATTAGACAAGCATTTAATTTCTTATTTGGATAAGGAGCTTATGAAATAGGATGTAAATAATATAATAAATAAAGTTTTTTAGAATACTTGGAAATAATCAATTGAAGTAAAAGGAAAAGAATATTATGATTCAGTTATATCAGCTATAATGATTTAAGTAGTTAAAATAGCTGATGAAGGATCAGATTAACCAGCCACTTAATATATAGATTTAATTATTCTTTTAATAGATGGCTTAATTTTTAACTTATATTCAAAAAATAAATCCTCTGATAGAGCTAAAGTTCATCAAAGTTTATACAAAACAAGTTAATAATCAGAAATAGCATTACAATCTGGTAAAATTATGGAAAGCATGGGAAATTATATACCTTCAGATGTTAAAGTCTTTGTTAAAGCTTTAGAAAGATTAGCTACAAGTTTTGAATTTTTTGAATCTATAGACATAATGATGAATTATAATGATTCTGATTAAAATAAATTATAACTCAGTCATTTTGTTAACACTTTAGAATATATTTTAGAAAAAGAATAAGTAAGTGATTATGTTTTAGATGAATACATTTCAAATAAAGGAAGAATTAGTAAATATATAATAGAAAGATAAAGTATGGCAGAAAGAGATGAAATTGATGAAGTTAATAAGTTGATATTTAGCAATAAATTATTAATTATTAAGAAACTATTATTTGTTAAGAATGATACTATAAATGTCAAAGAAGTACATTTTACATTAGGAAGACTATATTTTGCTGCTTATTCAAAAAAGAGAACTAATTATAAAAGATCTTAATTCTCTTAATTAAAATTCTAAGGAGAAGAAATGATACACAATATATTTAAATAATATATTAATACATAGACTAAAAGAGATATGTTATTTAAAGATTAGGATGATAGTGATCCTTTCTTTTAATTTTTACTCAACTATATGTAATTATTATATTCCCCTGTTTATTTTGAATTCTAATAGCTACTTGATGATTTATTATTACCTAATCATAAAATGGCTCCACCTAAATTTTTTGCTACTGTTCAACCTATTGTGGAAACTTAATTTATTGCCTTCTTTGCTACTTTACCCCCTGATTTACTTAATCTTCTTGCTTAATTCAATTAAACTATATAAGATGCTCCTCATTTTACAGACAATCTTTAAGCTACTTTTCCTGTTAAAAATTTTTTCATTTCTAAATTTTTATTGAATCCAAATTTAAAAGAATAGTTTATTAATCAAGATTATAATATGGATCATTTTATTACAATTGCAAATTTATTTAAAGATCTATTTTTCAATAATACTAATAGATCATATAGTAATTTACCTTAATTTTAGGAAATGTCTTAAAAATTAAAAAATATATTAGAATCATATATTACTACTTATGATAATGATGTAGCTATTGATATTTATAGTTATTTTATCACAGATCCATTATTATAAAATGATTATAATTTCCTTTATAATTACTATCACAATAATATTAAAGTTTTACCATCAGATATTAAGGATATTCATATGGATAAATTTAATAGTTATATGCCTAAAAGAATTTATGTGAAAGCAAATGAGAAAGGAGAAGATTAATAATAAAAATAAGAATAAAAAGATAATCAATAAGAATAATAAGATCTAATTAATGCAGATATGGCAGATGATGATCATTCTGAAAAATCTAAAGGAAAATAATTTGTTGGTCCAGATTATTAAGAAGATGAATTTTAAGGAATAGAAAAAGTTGAAAAGGCAACATAAACAGAAGTATAAGAGGATGAAGATTTAAAAAATGCTGAAAAATTTCAACCTAATTTTAATGAAAAAAGTGTTATAAGTGATTAATCAGTAACACCTTTAGAATAAGAGGAGAAAGATAAAGTACCTTAAAAAAAATAAGTAACTATTCCTTAATATAATGAATATTATGATATAGATATGCGTTAATAAGAGGAGAAGATTTAAGAGGATACACATAAATATTTGGAAGAAATTTAATAATTAAAAATGTAAATAGAAGAAATGAAAGATTAACATAGTGATACTATGGCTTAAGTAGAATTTGATCATAATTAATAAATTAAGAAGATGGTATTTTATTTATTTAATTTTTAAAGGAATTTGAATTAAATCAATCAAAATTAAGAAATGAAATGTTGGAAAATGAAGTTAAATTAAAATAATTAGAAATTGAATAAAGACATGATTAAATAGAAAAATTATTTGATGAAAAAGTTAATTTAAGTTATTAGTTATAAAAAGCATTAGATGAAAAAGAATTGTTATAGAAACATTTTGAAGATTAACATAAAGATTATAAAGAATAAACAAAATAATTTGATATGAAAGATTTATTAAATGAATTCGATGTCTATTAAACATAAATTAATAAATAAAAAAATGATCTAATGAAAGTAGCTATTGATCATGAAATATAATAAACAAAGCATTACAGAAAATTAAATATTTGAATTATTATTAATATTATTTAATGTTGAATTTTTAATAACCATCACTTCAACCTCAGAATACAACTTAGAATAACTTATAATTCATCTATAATGAAGTGTTATAAATGTAATAAATTAATGAAACATTAAAATAACATTAAAACACAACATCAGCTGAATTAGAAGCACTAAAAGGTAAATTAGAATAAAACAAAACACATTTAACTTAAGCCATATTTTAAAAAACAGGTTAAGATAAAACAAAACCAAATTAAGTTTAAAATGTTGGAGAATTTCAAGGTTATGTTGGTTAAGTAATTTTATATATTTATTATACAATAGTTAGAATAATCAATGGGAGGATAATTAAAATAAATTAGAGATAAAAATTAACTCATTATTTAAGAATTAATTAAAGCACATAAATTGTTAGAAAAATATGCAATATCTAAAAGAAAACTTAACAAAAATTCAGCTAAAGAATTAGGTCTAATTTAAGATATAGAAGAATTAAGAGATAGAGCATCTATTATATTTAATCGTCTAGAAGAAGTATTATTATATATAAATCATCCTAGCATGAAAACAAAGTATAATTCTCAGAAGAATATACTGATTTATCAAAAAATCCAAGAATTATAGATTTTAATGAATAATCCATAGAACTTATTAAAGAATTAAAAAAAGATTATATAGCAAGTAAGATAACCTTAGATAAAAGCTAACACAATATTAAAAGTATGCTTGAAAATCTAAATGACACAAATAAATAAACAAAATGAGTTTATACATCAATAATATATATAATTTGTTACAATTAATATAGTTCATTTAAACTAATAGTTTGAATTAACTATTGACCTATTTTCTTGTATTATTGGAAATAAGTAAATAAGAAGGTTTTATTAGTATATATAAATTTAAATTTTTAATTTTTAAACATTATGGAGTTTTTTGATATAATTGAAGAGATAGTAGATGATGATTTGCTTTTTATTTTAAAATATGGATTACTAATATCTAACTTTATTACAATTTTTATACTTTTGTATTTTAAATCAAAAAAATAGTAAAATGAAAAAGAAGTAATAATAATAATAATTAGATAAGGAAAAAAAATCAGTTTTGTTAGTCACTGCTCATCCTGATGATGAAGCTATGTTTTTTTTACCTACAATTACTTATTTAAATGATAATAATTATGAAATTCATTTAATATGTTTATCAAAAGGAAATGCTAATAAAATGGGAAAAATAAGAGAAGTAGAATTAGAAAAATGTTCTAAATACCTAAAAATTAAAAAAGTATGAATTTTAATAATATTACTAAGTTAACCATAATAAATGATAAAGATTTATAAGACTCTATGAGTGTTATGTGGCCAATAGAAAAGATATAAAAAATAGTTGAAGAGTAAGATAATATGATATATATTACATAGATATATTGATGAAAATAATATAAAGGGAGTAATAACATTTGATAAAAAAGGTATTTCAGGTCATTTAAATCATATTGCCTGTTATGAAGCAATATCTAGTATGAAAAGAGCAGAAGGATTAAAGGTATTTGTGTTGGAAACAACAAATATATTAAGAAAATATAGTTCAATTTTAGATTTCTTTGTCTCTTGTATTCTTAATGATAATCTTATGTTGAATCTAAATATCTTAAAGGCATGGAGATCAATGAAAATTCATCATTCATAATTTTTATGGTATAGAAAGCTGTTTGTTGTGTTTTCAAGATATGCTTATATAAATACATTGATTAAAATTTGAGATTAAATTTCGAGGTTTATTATTATTTATTTTTTAATGGCATTTATAAATATTACAAATATAGTTTTCGACAAAAATATTGCTCTGTTTAATAGTCCAATTTAAATGCAGTTTATCTTAGGTAGGATATTAGGCTTATAATTCTTACTAGGATACTGATTTGTTTGAGAATGATCCATCATATGTCATAATTGATAATGTTTATCGATAAATTAATACTTCAACACCAAGGATTACAAGAACTAATATAGATTGGGAAGGATAAATGGTTTAATTATATGTTAATCCATTATAATCAAATAATTAGTTTATGTTCTAATAACACTCTATATATAATGATATTACTAATTAAGAATAATACTAATAATAAAGTTAAGAAAAGTATAATGAACAATAATATTTGGATTAACCAACCAAATCATTATATAATAATTAAAGTTGTAGTTTGTAAAGTATTTTTTGATTAATATATATTAATATTTATAATATATTATGATTTATTAAATTAGATTAGTAAATAAATAGAATATGTCAGATCTTATTAGTTTTATTTAATTTTTAATAGCTATAAAAAATAGTACTTCTTAAATTTGACTTAATTAATTACAACAAAAATATCAATATTTTTTTTATTAATATTATATTTTTCAAATGATGAATAATTTATAAAATATATAGATTTTATTAATATTAATAACTTATGCTCTTCTCTCAATAATAGGATTACAACCCTAGAGATATTTACTAACCTTCTTCTATGAGTTATGGGGCTGGAATATTCAAACCTTAGAATCAGCAACCCTATCATAACTAATAACCAAGGACAAGGGCAGAAAGAGTAATTGATATTGTTAATGATTTAGGACTATTTAAAAGAAGTCAACTCTTAGCAAGCTATTATGCAATCAAGATGTAAACACTTATTTAAAGTTTGAAGAATTTGACACACCATAAAAAGAAGACATGAAAGCTCTACTACATAGTCCAGCTCCAAATACTACTTTATTTTAATAGGGTAATACTAATATACATCTTGTAGAATAAGAAAGGTTTTTAAAGGATTTTGCTGCATAGGACAAATAACAAAGGGAATATTAAAATAAATAAAAACAGTTATAATATGAATCAAGAAGATTGGCTAATTTAGAGAGAGAAGGTATGATTTGGTAGAGAAATGAACTACATCAATAGAAAGTATATATTTTGAGAAATATCAATCAAGGATGAATTAAAAAGATAATACCATTAAGAGTAATTTACATAAGGCAAAAGAAATTTAAATGGATTAGCTTATAACCCATTAACTTTAGAGTATGCTTAGAATGAATAGGGATAAGCATTAAAAAGATAAGATGAAATGACTTAAGTAAGATAATTAGTAAGAGCATAAAATTTAGATAATAGAGCAAATTGTGGATATAATCTATTAACAGGTATAAAAATTAAATTCTAATTTAAAGGTGAAAATCGTAAAGGAGTGGAAGAAATAGTACCTGATGATCTTAGAGGCCATTACTAAAATAAAATGTAAGAAAGAGATAATCAATTAAATATTAAACACTATGCTCTTTAGTAATAATTATTATCTAAATAATATTGAATTTGTTATTATAATATTAATATTAAATATATCTAGTAATATAATATCCATTTAAATTATTTGAATGAAGTTGATTACAATTATCATATATTAATAGTTAATATATGATAATTATCGATCTAATAGAACATAAAAAAATTGATATTTTGTGATAATTCCTATATATTTTATAACTAAATTATTGTAAATATTTTTATTTAACATACTTAAATTAAATATGTGTCACAAAATATAATAAAATACAAAATAATGTGAATTTTGATTAGATATTTAATTTAAACATAGGATAGTTGAAACTTAAATAAGTATTTAGTATTATATTAAATTATATGTAGAATATTTAATTAAGAAATATAACTTAAAAAATATTAGATTAAGTATATAATTTATGTATTAATTATAATACCATTTAAATAACAATATACACAACAAAAAATTTAATTAGTGAATAAAATTAGGCACATTTCACAATTATTTTCATATTTATATAATATGTTACTATAATAATCTATATAATTAGTTGATTATAAAGAATTATATTTAAACCAAAAATTCTTAAGTATTCCATTTATGTTCATTTAAAGGGAGGTTGATTTAATGTTTAAGTTAAAATATTTTAATTTTTATAAGATAATTTTATTATAATTCATGCATCGAAGTTATAGAGGATATCATGACAATTTAGAAGTCTTTGGTGCATCTACATTCTCAAAAAGAAATCTTAATTAAGGAAATAAAATTCTACTTCCTGCATCTGCTTTAGAATAACTTATTCGTTCAAAATAATAAGGTCCAATGATTTTTAGATTATAATCCACTCAAGATAACAACAAATATACTTATGTAGGTGTTTTAGAATTCACTGCAGAAGAAGGTACTTGTGTGATACCAGATTGGATGTTAGAGAGTATGGGGTTTTTTGATGGATGCTAAATTATTATATCTCATGAAAAAAGATTAGAATAAGGAAAGTTGATTAGAATTTAGCCTCATGAAACAGCATTTATAGATTTACCAGATCCAAGAGCTATTTTAGAGAATCATCTAAGAAATTTCATCTGTTTAACTGAAGGAGAAACTATTTCTATTAATTTCCATAATATCAATTACTCAATCGATATTGTAAAAGTTGAACCTAGCAATATTCTTAAAGCTGTTTGTATTAATGAAGCAGATATTGAAATTGATTTCTTGAAACCATTGGTATTATGTTATTTTAAGATATTTTATAGGACTTCAATGATGCTCCACCAAATTTAGTTAAAAAATCAAGCTCTTTGGTTTAATAAGAAGAACTATAGGCTCAAAAATAATAAACTGTCTTCACAGGTACTGGAGTACGTATTGATGGAAAACCTTTGAATACTTAAATGAGAAAGCCATCTGAAGATGTTAAAACTGTAGAACCATATGATCCTCGTAAATAAAAATTAAAGAATGGATTAAAATAAACTTAAGAAGCAACTTAATTTGTTGGATCTTCTATAAAATTGGGAAATACAGGCACTTAAAATAAAAAGAATGCTTGATATTAATATAATATAATGAGTTCATAAATTAATGATCTATTGAAGAATGAAACTATCTATTATCGTAAATCACACCTTCTTAAGAAACCACGCAATTAATAAAACAATTTATTTAGAAGGACTTTAATTTAAGACAGTCTCCTTTAACCTTTACATCCAATTAATAGTCTTATAAGAAATGAAGAAGTTTTTGTTCCTTATTTTAAAGAAAGAGATTGTCTTGGAAAATTGCTTAATAAACCATGTTATTAATCAAATAGAGAAATAAAAAATAAGTAGTTAGTTAAGCCATCTTTAAAAATTCCAACTAATTAGAAGATTTGTGCATACCTTCATATTGATCCTCCAAATACAAATAGATCTTAAGGATAGAAGACTAAAACTCAATCAACAACTGATTCATTTTACTCTTTCTTTACACTACATAAATATAACTCTAACTTTCTATTAAAGCATAAATTTAGTGAACCATTAAGTTAATGAAAATCATTTTATTATTATTAAAATAAATATGATTTTATAAATTTATCATTCATTAATTTGCTGATGACATAATTGCTTATTTAACACTTTTTGTAGTTGTAATCTTTTGTGTTTAAAAACTAATAAATAATATAAAATAAATCTTTTACTTTTTATCTGGACTCAAATAATTTGAAACCTAAGGTTATGGACTTTACATTCTCTAAGAAAATTGAGATTGCTTAATTTCATTTTATGATTGCAATCTATGTTAATCATAATATTGATTATAAGAGGATGGAACTTAACTTATTTAATTCATTCCAGATTATCTAGTTACTATACCACTACCTTAAACATTTTAGACATTAGTTGTAGTAGTAATAATATTAGTTTTTACCTATTAACTTTATTATCCTAATAATTAATTAACAATATATTAATCACTAGGTTTATCTATTATAATTTATTTTTTAGCTTTAGTTTCTAATCTAGCATTCTCTTATTCTAATATATGTAATCTTGATTCATAATTAGTTATATTAGTAATCAATACTTATATTTTATTTTCTTATTCTTTTCTAATATTTCTCTGTCTTTCAATTTCAACATTTAATGTTTAATTTTCATGTTCTAATTCAGTTATTCTTAATTAAAATTATTTAACTTAATCTAAATTTACAGTTGATTACTAAGATCTAATTTAAGTGATTTCTATTTTAGATTAATTAAATTATTATTCTAATTATGAATATCTTTATTTATATTAAGTTAATTCTTATTGTAATGATTTTAATTAATATTATAAATTTTGAGTCTCACCTTAACTTTATGTTTATAATTTACTCTCTAAATTTTATCTTTCAATCATCAATCTAGAAATAAATTATTATTCCAATTCATTTCTTATTCCAATTTCTTAATTTCTCATTTCCATTTATAATTTATTTATTTATTGATTTTTTTATTAACAATCAAAATCTAATTCCCTTATTCTAGCCATTAATTTTTCTATTTCACCAATATTCTATTTATTCATCTCACTTTCCCTTTAAATCATAACATATTTTTAATTTGCTTATTCAAAATCCATTCTATATTTTTAAATTTATTCTTTTAAAATTGTTATATCCTAATTCAATTACATATTAGTCTATTTATACTATTATAATTAATCCTTTAAACTTTAAGTTTCAAATTAACTTTCCCTAGTGCTTTTTTCTTTAATCACCATAATTTCATTATTTTATTCTTAATATCTATATTATAATTAATCATATTAAGTTTTTAATTAATTATATTTAGTTTATAATTATTAGTATTCCATCATACCTTGACTATTTACCTTCTATTCAATTTAATACATTTCAACTCTCAATCTCTCTTTAAATTATTATTCCAATTAACTTTCTTAGCTAGATAATTAATTTCTTAATTATTAAATTTATTATTCATATTAAGAAATTCGAGATTTCATAATTTCTAATTCTTTATTATTAGTTTGTGAAAATTTAATTTCACTATCTCTTTAAAATTAAATATAGTTTTAATTAAGTGAATCATATTCATTTCTATATTTTCTAACTTATTCATTTAATTATTAGATTTCATTTAATGATTAATTGTATCTGTCTTAAAGAGCTTAATAATCACTTTAAATATTTTTATATTAATAGGAATTACTCTCAATTTATTATTTCTATTATTTAAGTTACATATTTTCTTATTAAAGCAAAGTATATTAAGATTATAATTTTTAATAATCTTCTTTAATGTTAATTACTGAATATTAAGATTATTATTATTATTATGATTAAATTTATAGTTAAGAATATTAACCTTATAAAGATTAATATTGATTTGTAGTATTTCTTAATTACTATTCTAATTCAATAATTCTTTATTTTAAAGAATCAACTTCATAAGAATTACTCTTATATTATTCACTTTATCTTTAAATATTCATATAATCATTTGACAATCTTTCATAATCAATTCTATATTTTTCTCTTTCTTCTTTTAATTTATTAATTTCACTTTAATATTAAACTTAACTTTAATTCTTTAAAATTCTAATTTCCTCCTCATATTCATTTTATGTTATACTTATTCTTTAATCTCTTTCTTATAAATCAGCAATTAAAATCTAAATATCTGATTCCATTTCTGCAATCTTTCTTTTCAAACTTTCCACTTCTCCTTAATCTGTTCTTCTACTTTCATAAGTAGCTCTATATCCATCAAAATCTTTTCTTTATTTATCAATTTCTAATCTTAATTAATCCATTTAAATTTCATATTATTTTATTCTATCTTATAAAAATAATATCTAATTATCCTTTTATGTTACTTTTTATTCTTAAGCATATGATAATTCTTAAACTTCTTTAGCTTTATAACGATCTTACCATACCAAAACTTCATGTTATAAAGCTGAAATCCTTTTCAAATAACCCTCAATTTCTGAATTTTAATTCTTTGAAGTTAATCTTAATTATGATTATTATATTTCTTAAATATATGAATCACAATTAAAATTTAATCTTTAAATTTCTTATTATAATTCTACAATTCGATCTTCTTAAACTTTTAATTTTCTTCTTAAATCATCCCTCTCATTTTAAAGTGCTTTAGATTAATCAAAATCCTAATTTTAAGTACTTCTAAAAGCACTTTATTACCATTATATTTAAGATTACTAAAATTATTAATTAAGTAAATTCTTAGCTTTAATAAGATCTTCATTTTCTTATGTTAATATTCTAATTTAATCTTTTAATTAAATTATTTCTTATGAATTATTATTATATGATGTATATTAAGTAAATGATTATTATTTAGATCTTAATTATTCTTCTAAAGATATTATTTATTGTTTCAATTAATTCACTTCAAAACTATTTGAAACAACATTCACATTTACATTTCTCTCTAATTTAAATTTATATTCATTATTTTCTTGTCTTAATTTATTTACTTCCTCTCTCAATTATTATAATTCCCAATCATTTTATTATTAACCAGTTGTTGTTATTCTACTCAAACCTTTTTCAGATTATAGTTATCTATATTTATTCTTCCAAATTTCTAACTCTTTCAATTAATCTTATATTTGATTATTTAACGACTTTACACTTTCCCTAAGATTTGTTATTTCTTTATTATAACGAATACATTTACCTCTTTCTTTTGCTTCAATTATTTTCTAAAAAGATGATTAATCGGTTATCACTATTTGTTCTGTGATTGGTGAACTAACCTAAATTCGATACTCCTCATTCCTATTAAATATTATTATTATTCACTTAATTTATGTGTTCCCATATTATTATATACTTCTCTATGAAGGATATCCTTCTCCTCTTTATTCTATTGTTTCTATCTTATAATGTGTAAATCCACTCATTTATTGTTATTCTTTAAGATATATGTAAATAAATTATATTAATAATTGAATATAAATATAATTCATTCTATTTTAGATATTTTGCTAATATTGATTTCAGACTTTAACAAATCATTCATTTTACTATTTTGTATAAGTGAATCAGTTTAATGTGGCTTGTTTATTAATTGAGTAGTGCTTTTACTCTTTAATGATGGAAAATGATTATTCATCATTGGAGAATTAGGTCCCTTAGATTTTATCTAACTTTATAAGTCTTTTATACTCGAGTCATATGATCACGAAGCTTTTCATATTTAGATATTTGTTCTTATTACTTTTCTAATAAGATTTATTTTGTTAATTCAAGTCTTTTTTATAGTTCTTAGTTTTCTTCCTCAATCTTTTATTACTATTTCCTTCTCAAAGGTGAATGAAGTCTTTTACCCAAATTATTTTCACACCATTAAGAAGTATCAGCCTATTAAATCTCTTGAAATCCATTACATATGCTTTCTCTCTTAAATTTTACACTGTCCATATTGATCTGAATTAAGAGTTCTTACCATCTTATATTTCAATTATATGAGAACTCAAATATTAATTTTATTCATCTATTCTTTTTCTTTATTCTGATTTCTAAAATCTAGAAGATTATGCTTTTATCTATTATGTTTTACTTAGGATAGGTAGATCCTTAAAAACAAATCTTGACTTTTTACTATTAACAATCTAATAAATATCATTACTCAGTTTAAATTTCATCTAATTTCTTTTTATGGAAATCATAGTTTTAATCTCTTAACATTTTCTATACTAAATTTGTCTCTACAAACCTTGCACCCTGCATAAGTTATATATTATTAATTACTTTTAATATATATTTATTACATTAAACATTAAATATATATTTATTATTATTTATTTTTAAAAATGCCTAAGTTTTATTGTGAATATTGTGGAATTTATTTAACACATTCATCACCAAGTGGAAGAAAATAACACTCACTAGGAAAAAAACATATTAGTGCTAGAGAAGATTATTATAGAGCTGTAATGAGTGATTTAGTAGATTAATTGAAAGCATCTTTTTAGAAAAATATAATCCCAACCTTTATATCTAAAGACACTATTAAGAGATTACTCATTACACACTCTTCAGTATTTTAAGGCTTATTAACTCCTGCGTTTGTAGAAACTATTGATAGTTTAGGATTGAGTGGCACAAGGACCTAATACATGCCCTAACCTACGTTGATCCTTCCTCCATAAGGAGCTTATTAACCTATGTCTTATAATATGATGCCCCCAGGAATGCAAATGAGATATTGAAATCAAAATTGTTATAATTTATTCAAAAGTTTCTTCATCCTTTTTAATCAATCCTATTATCAATTAACTTTCTGTTTTAGTGATTATAATAAGGTTAATTTTCATATTATATTTTGGTTTATATATATATAAAAAACAAAAAAATCCAACTGATTCAAAACATACATGATTTTTTAATACAAAAAAAATCTGAAAATATTCAAATAATTTTTTCAATTGATATCTTAAATAAGGATTTTATTATAAATGTAAGAATAATAAATAATGCAAATCTAGTTAATTATTTTATAAAATATTAAATATTTTATGATTTAAAAATAACGTATACCCATTAATTCTGTTTTATTAAAATTAGAAAATAAAAAACTATGCAGATTTTTCTATTAAAGCTTTGTCATTATTGAAACAAATTCATAAAAAAATTAATTTCTTAATGAAATACTTATTGTTAATGAATATTTAACTTTAATAATTATTAAAATATTGAAATAAAAAAAACTTAATTCATTATTATTAATTCTAATATTATTTATATATAATATTTATTTAATCTTTTTAGACAAAGTATTAAAATAAATTAGACAAAATTTATTAAAGATTTTGAAGACTGATAAGAATTTCTCAATAATTCAGGAAACTTTAAAAGATTAAATATCCTAATAAATCATAAGGAGTTTTTACTGTAGAGAATTTAAAGAATAAATAGAGTAAAGTAGAAGAATGAATATATATAATGTTTAGATTTAATTTTATTTTATTCAAATTTTATATTCATTTACAGCTTTTAATAAACTATTTTGATTAATATTTTTTAATCGAAAAATATTAACTATTTATAATATTATGATGATTATTAAATAATTATATTTGTAGGATTTATCTTAAACATGATAATAATATTCGTTATTTTTTATAAGGTCTCAATATGAAAGTGTTTTATATGATTTAAAGTTAATATATATATAAAGAAGTTCAAAAGAATATTGATGAAATTCTAGTTGGAGATGATTAGTGTCTCAATATAGAAGTTGATCTCTTAATTTCTTCAGTTCTAAGACTTGGATTTATCCAATGTGTATTAGGCTATCCTTTTAACTTTAAAATTGTCTTTGTAATCATTGTAACACTTTACCATGGTTTGTATGTACAAACTATGAGATTTTCATTAAAGGATATTTTAGAATGTTCCAATTCTAAATCATCAGGTTCATCTTCAATAATTTCTATTTTGTGATGAATACTCAAAGGAATCATAGTTGTTAACTTGAATCCAGGAGATGTAGAAAACATTAGGAATAATTTTTAATTGTTAGATATGAAATATAAAATGAAAGCTATTAATGATTATTTTAATGCGTAGTAAAAAATATCTTGATTTTTATAATAATCATAATTATTTAGTATATAAAATTTACCATACTATTTATTATAGTAAGTCTTCATTAAGTGAGAAAATTGTTTTGGATAACTCTCTTAAAGGTAATTACAAGTATATCTATAAAGTTAGTGGAGATTCTTCATTAAGTAATAGTAAAAAGTAACGAAAATCACTAGTTGTCCATTTTTAATCTATATAAAATGTTTTGAATCTTAAAAATGCATTCCAATATATTTTATTAATAGTATCTTAACATTTAGTATCTTAATTGATAAATTTCAATAATGTCTGTGTTACACTATTTTATAATTTTTATAAATTTAGATTCATACTCTTTAGAATTTTAAATTCAAAATAAAGTACATTATTTATAAGTAATCTAAATTTCTCATTATCATCATTTAATCTAGATATTTATTATTATAAAGTGAGATTTTTTGAATAATAAATACTGAGTTCACAAAGTAATAGAAATTAAGAAAATACATCTCTTTCTACACTTATATATTCTATGTGAAATAACCTTTTAAACTTTTCATAAATTTAATCACATATTTATGGTAATTCTTAAGCTAAATCTATTTTTTTTTCTTTTTAACTACTACTAATTTTCTTTATTTGTAATTCTTTTGATTTTCCTATATATTAAATAAATTCATACCTTATTTTAAAACAAATTCTCGTTTCTCATTATTTTATTACTATAAATATTATTTAATCTCTTTATTCTTTTTATGCATTCCAATTTAATAAACTCTATGATCTATTAAAACATCATCTGAATTAATATCATTTTATTAATTTTATAATTATGTCTTAAATCTAAATATTTTTTCATTCATTTTGATGTCTTTATTAATTTATTTTTCAATTCTTTATCCAGAAATATATATAATTTATCTAAACTCTGATTTATGAATTAATTAAAAATCTCCTCCATAAATATATAGGTTTTCATGGTTTTTTTGATTACGATGTAAAAATTCTGTAATAACTTCATAAACTGTTTTACTATCTGCAGTTTCAATATCAATTATTTTATTGTTTAATGAGAAAGTACAATAATGATGTTCAAAAATAGAGCTCTATAAATTTACTAGAAAATTTGACATATAATGAAAAAATTAAGTAACCTATTTGTCATTTAGAAAATCTTTGAACTTTAAAAATTATTAGTATTTATGATTCGATGCTATCTCTTTTAAAAAGGATTCAACATTCCCAATAATAATAATTAATGATCCTTATATTTCCTTTTATTGATTTATATTGATATTCCCATTAGATGTAGGTTAAGAATGTAATTTTTCTACAATTTTATAAGAGTAATGGGAAGTATTCCTTTTACCTTTTTATTTTATACCATATTAATCTATGTTAAGAGAAAATGATCTTGGTTTTACGTCCGGTTTAATTAAATTAGGTAGCATATAAATTAATTAAATGTAACAGGATAATTGAAATGAACAAATAAGAAAATAATAAATACTAAATAAAGCATGAAACTCAAGAAAACATTAATATTTTAAATAAAGTCTATAATTTAATTATAATTATCTTAACTTTTACATATTAAGAAAAAGAAAATTAGGTTAAAAAAATAGCAAGATTTATACAACTAAATGTAATAAATATATATCGAAAGACTGAAACTTTCTAGAATAAAACTTGATATATTAACATCTTATAGAAAAATAATTGTTTGTAAAATACTTTTTGATATCAAAACGCCATTTAGATTTTCTAATTTTCTATATTATTATTATTTGATATTTTCAACTAAAAGCATTAGAATATTTAAATTTTCATCACTCTTTATTTAATTATATATATCTTCTAAAGTTACTTAAAACATATACAATATTTTTGTCTCAAATATCAATTGAAAAGTGCTTTTTTATGTTTAAACTTTAAAAATTAATTTAGAAATTAAAAATTTGAAATGAAGTTATATAAATTATTTTAAATCTTTATAATATACTAAACAATTAACGAATGAATCAATTTTACTTTTATTTTTTAACTAAGTTTATCTATGACTGAGGTTTAGTAACGATTTAATTTTTTTGCTTTGAAACTGTAATTTGAGGTTTACTAGGTTTTGAACATTTAACAATAGGTTAAGATTAATTTTCTTTATTGGATTTTGATTTATTAAGCTTATTGGTTGACTTTGAAGCCTCTACAGAGTTTAATTTCTGAAGTAGATTTGTTGTTTCTAATGATGATCGACATCTAGAAAATGGTTCTTTTGATTTTGATGTTTATATTAGTCTCTTTCCATTAGGTGACTATGAATTATCTCTAATATTTGGTTCAACTGATTAATTTCGATTTTAGACTTAATTTTCTTTTGGAGTTGATACTCTTGCTTAAGTTTCCAATTACTCTGTTCTTGTTGTTTATAGAGAATCTAAATGTTAGAATGTTTATTGTAATTACAAATTAGACCATTAAGTTTATTATTTTGAAGGTTATGATTATTACTTTTATTGATTCTTATTAGATTATAATTATTATTATTATTATTATTATTATTATTATTATTATTATTATTATGTTGTTTTTATTATTTATTCTTAATGAAAATTTAAATTAGATTCATCTAATAATTAAGATTCTTGGGGACTTTCATCAACAGGAACTCTTTACAAATAATCATTCATAGTTTCATTTTGAAACAATTTTGGTTATTAGGTATTTCCTTATTATAATCCAAAAAATGGACTTTGGAGATCTGTTTTATCTTCTGATTTTTCTTTATCGAAAGAATTTAATGTTTTGTTTTACTAAACAGAATAACTTTCATTTGATGAATATTATTATTAAGAATGATCAAATTATCTTGGCTATTGTTATCTATTTTCAGGTGTTATAAAGAAACCTCTTCCTCTCATTTCAGCCTCATCACTTAAATTTGGTGTTAAGATATCTTAAGATGACGCTGTTATGAAATTTTTTTTTGGATAAGGAGTTATGAAATGTTATTATGGTATTGATGTGAGCTATTACTATTCCATAAGTGTTGTTTCTATCTTTAACAAAGAATCTTTAAGATGTTTGATTTAATTTTAGACCTATAATTTTTATTAATTTTTATACTTCAAATTTTTGCTGATTTTCTCCACAAAATGTTTCTAATAATGCTTTTAATTTGCTATTTAGCACTACTTTCATCTAAATAAGAAGTTATTATTATTTGAATTTTGTTATGTGAGTTTCAACTTATTGTGCTATTTTTAATATATCTTTGCCATTATTGAATTAAGCAATAAACTATAATAAGTTATGTAGAGATTCATATAATTTAGACTTGAAATCCATCACTGATTATTATAATTCCTAAACAACATTATTTGATAATATACATCAAGCAAACGCTAAGGTTATGTATTGAATTTAACAGCACTTGCAACAATATTTGTTTCAAGCTCTGTTAATGAAACATTGAATAGATCACTTATTTTTTCTGCAGCATTACTCATAAGTCGTTAATTTTATAATTTATTGAATAATACAACTAAATTATATAAACAAAATTAATATCATATGCAAATTGTATTACTTTGTGCTTCAAAATTTATAATATTTTATTACTAAGATAAGAATTTCTAATATCATATTTATGAAAATCTATGTGATAGAATTATATGTAAAGAATGACAATTAAAATAATCTTAATAATTGATAAGGATTTATAATTATATCTATTAATTAACTTATAAAATATTAAAATGTATTTAAAAAAGATTCTTTATAGAATTCTTAAAATATTCAATTTTATATACAAATGATATTCATATTTTAAATTTCTGTTTATAGGACTAAAATACCTTAATATTTGCAAATTAATTTATATTAAATATTTGAATTACCCTCTACAACAATATTCAAAAGTGCTATATATAATTTTTAATTTATTTACATTTTTATTCTTTCATAATCATTTCAACTTGAATTTCTTAATAGTTATTAATAGAGTATATTAAAAATAATTGACAATTTGTTTTCTTTTCTTTTGAGATTAGATGAGCTGAAAATCTTAAAAGTGTATGTGATCCTTACTATTCTACTTATGTACATTATATATCTAAATTTGGTGTTTAGATTAATTATAATAAAATTTTTGGATAATTATAAATAGAATTTCTCATTTGTTTGATAAACTCTTTTAATTTATCTTTTCTTAAATTTGGTAAGAATTTTTTAATAAAAAAACTTTTGTTATATTCAATTAGTTTTTAAATGATAAGATTAGAATTCTCATAATTTAAAGATTCAATTTCCAAATCAAGATAATTTCTTTACAAACATAAATTTATTTTATCTAAAATGATGAATTAAAAAAATGTAGCATCTTCTGCATAAGCTCTATTTGAAAAGAACTCAATTTTTGCACTTAAAATTGTAGTTTTGTTTAATAGATTTGTAATTTTTTAAAATAATTCCATAGCTATAGTTTAATCAATTTCAATATCTTAAATTTCCTATAAACATTTATCAAATTCTTAATAATAATCATAAATTTCTTATCTAATTAAATATTATGTTGAATTAATTTAGAAATCATTCCAATATGTAAATTCTTCATAATTTTATAAGGATTTAAGATAACTCAAAAATACTTAAGTATAAGGATTTTAACTCTATATTTAAGAAGCTAAATAATTTGCTTAATCAACTTAATTAATTGATAATAATAGTTTTATTGATTATAACATCAAATAAGTATTTTAATTTTTTATAAGTAAACTTATAATATAAGTTAAACTATTAGTTCCTTTAAATTCAGTGAATGTAATTTGAGCAGATAGTAATTAAACAGAAAGTAATAATAATTTATTCAAACATTTCTAAGATGATGAAAAAGGTTTTTTATTTAAATTAATTTATTTTTCAAATAATTAACCTATTAAATGATCTAATTTAATTAAAACTTAGATTAATTTTTATTCAGTTTAAACACTAACAGTTTTAACTATTTCATTACAAGCAAAATCATATGAATAAAAAAGCAAGTCTTAAAAAGATATTAAGTCTTCTGTTGATAAATTTAAAGTGTAATTATATAAATTATCAAATTATAATAAAGATTCTATTATATTTTTTTTAGAATATTGATCTCCATAAATTAGATATACTATTTTAAATTCTAATTTATAATGTTTGTAACTTAATCTAAAAAGTTCTTAAATCTTTTCAGAACATAATCCTATACAGTTTATAGTTTCTTCTTATGTTAAGATTTTAAGGATAAAAGGTTCTTAGTCTTTGAAATTTGATGCAATTTTAAGATAATTATATAAAAGATGTAATACTTCTTTTGACATTGGAACTGATTATATCTATTGTCTTACAATTGCTAATAATTCACTAATCGGTTATTCAAATAAACCTATTAAAAATAAAACCAAAATGTGTTACAAAATTATGCTCTAGCCATTAATGTGCATTTGAGTAGTATTGTAAGTTTTTTGGTTTTAAATATTTTAATTTCAGGAAGTTAAGCTATTTTATTCATAAATGAGTAGGAATGATGAAGTCTGACTGTATTTAATAATGTGAGACTAGCAATATATAATTCTTTCTAATAGCTGGCATTAATAAAAATATCAAAAATTCCTATATGAAAAGTGTTATATTGCTCTTTCAAGACTGGTACTATAGAATTTAAGGCATGGAGAGATAACATTCTAAACTTAAAAATCAAAATTATATATTTACTTAATGATCACTACTAAAACATTCTTATTATAGAAATTCAACTATTTATTTCCAATCTTATACATGATTTACAAGAATAGGGAACTTTTATTATATAATTTCAATAATTTTGATTCTTTGAACTAAAATACTTGTATATGAGAAGTATTTAGCTAACATATTCATAAGACTTTGATGATTATATTATCCATTTAATTCTTATTTTACTTCTTGTAAAGTTTACATTTACATTTCCAAATTTCTTGAATAAAGTCTGCCTTCATATTTCAATAATTTTTATGCAAATTATGCATTATTCATTGTTTTTTTGTTAAATAATTAATTAATAAATATATATATTATATATCATAATTAATCACATAGTAAATTGAGTTTTTAAAAAATAAACTCTAATTATTCGTAATCTCCAATTTCATAGTTATATTTCTATTATTAAATGAGTTCTTTCATTGATATGGCTATCTTTTTATATTTTTCATTATTATTAACAGGTGGCAATGAAGTTCTAATAGTTTGATTAGGTGTATTGAATGATAATCTTCGTTAATTTTCTTATTTTGAATTATTTCCTCTTGAATTATTTGAGATTTCTATTTAAGAATTTGGGGATGTGTCAAATCTTATCAAATTAAGATCTGTAGGATTACGTGTATGTTTAGGTAACAAAACATTACATTAATGAGAATTATAATTTTCCTTATTTGTATTTTTTTATATTGTCTATGCTAATTATTAAACAGATGTATCCTTTATTCTATAATTTTTTTAAGATCTTTTTTATTTTAACAAAAATACGTTGTTGGTTTTACAATTGAATAAAATGGTGATTTTTTACTAATTTTAGGATGCTTAGATGGATTTATTAAATCTTGATTATAACAATCTTAACCAAATGTGAATGCTTAATCTAAATTCATTTAACGAGTAAAATATTAATATTAAGTTATTATTATAAAAATAAACATATATTACTTCTACAATATTTAGATCTTTTGAAGAATATATATAAATTTTATTATAAGATAATGATGAAAAATTTAACTTAAGAAAAGAGAAATTTAAATTATTTGTTAAACCTACTAATTTTCCTTTAATTAGATTGAAATGATTTTTATATCTTTTAACTAATTTATTTCTTACTAACAGTTTTAGTTATAGCTGTTTTTAATTTTAATTTCATCTTATATTTAGAAAACGTTAATATTTCTATTTTTTTTTTGGTTCCACATATTTAATCATGTTTCATAATATCTAATCCAAAAATATCAAATTCATCTAACAGTTCATAACTAAATTAATTTTTTAAATTAATTTAGTTATATATCACCTCTTCATGTAAGCATTTAAACCAAATTTATGATTTAACTTATGAATGTTCTATTTAAATTCTCCTTGCTTAACTTAAATTCATAAGATTATATTGGATTTCAACATCTTCTGATTTTTCCAATAATTTATAATTTGAGGATGGAATATAAATTTCAAACTAATTCAGTTTCATGATCTTAATTATTTTAGACATAAATATTACTATCATTTCTTAATTAACTCTTCAAATTATTTTAGAATATCTTTGTTTATATTCTACTCAACCTAACCAAACTATTTCATTTGATAATTCTGAAGATTTCTATTTCGTTTTGAATATTGAAGAATAGTAAGAAACTTACTTAATAAATTTTTAATCTATTAAATGCAATTATTCATATAATAATATTATGTGGAAATATAACTAAGTGAAAGAGTAAAATATAAGAATAAAGAAATTTAGAATGCAAAATACTTCATTTCTAATTAAATTGAATTTAACTCCAATATCACATGTGAAATTAATGTTATCTCAAAATTTAGTTATATTTAAACAAAGACAACATATTCATAATATCCAATATTGATTAAGAATTCATTTAACTTATTTGAATATACAACTCTCTATCCTCAATTAATTGGTTTACATCACAATAAATAACAAACTGAAATTATTGTAGCCAAATAATCATTATTAGAAAAAGGGATCAATATTAATTAATTAAATGATGAACCATAATAAATTAGTGGAATATATGTTTTAGGATTAGAGAGGAATTGGGAAATATAAGTTTAAGTAACTACTTATAAACAATAAAGGTTATTTGAGATCTTTTTAGTACAGAAAATGGAATTATTAATGATAAATTTCATAAAGGGGATTAACATATAACATTAAAATATTTTTATAATATTGGAGATGAGAATATGGAAAATCAATAATTAGCAATAGAATCTACTTATAAACTCTATTTATGATTAGGATATCAAGATTTCTAGAGTAATTTCTGATTTTGATATATTGATTGACTTTGTAAAATCTATTAATGATATTATTCTTTATATTAATGAGGATTCTAACTTTATTGTAAATGATAAGAAAATTTAGTAAATATTAATTATATAAATTATATTTTTATATAAAAATTTACAATCGAAAATAAGCATATGAAAAATAAGATTGTATCACTATTCATTAAAAGAGAACATTTGATTCTCTTATCTAAAATGTAACTAAATGATTAAAATGAGCTAATTATGGAAATAGACTAAGTCAATCAAAAAGTTGAAAATGCAATATTAAAAACTGAGAGATGGCCTTAATCAGATTTAGAATAATTTTAGAATTCTTTCATTTAAATAGTAAATTTATCATTTGCCTATTATAAAATGTATTTTCCTGTTAATTCAGCTTTACAAATAAGAGATCACTTGAAATTTACTTAATGTTTAAAGTAAATAAATTATGGAGGAATAACACTTGAAGAAGTCTTTAAATAATAAAGGGTAGAAGTGAATCCCTATAATAGTTACGATTAGTTACCTCTCTCTCTATTCGACTTTCAGAAGAACCTCTGTAGCCAAAAATATTTAACTGCAAACTTGATTTTGATTATATCTCGCTTTTACAATCAAAGTATTTCAATCAAAGAAACCCTGAATATTAATAACCATATTAGATTCTCAATCTCAAACATTTTGAAATGAAAATAAACACGAGACCATTTAGAGAAATATCAATTTCTTCAATTCATGATGTCCCTTAATTTTAATTAATCAATCCCCAATTAATTCAACCAATTATAAATTATGACACATTATCAAATACTTTTGAATATAGATTTAATAAATTAATGTAAAGAAATATATCAATTCAATAAACAATTAAAACATATTATTAAGATGTATAATTATTTGAAGAAAATTATGATCCAAAAGATAAATTAAAATAATTGTTTAATTTATAAATCTAAAAACTAAAAGAATGTAATTTATAAGAAAATTAAATCAAAACAATTAAATAATAAAAAATATAACCTAATTTAACTTAAATTAATATAGAAAGTGATAAAATTAGTATGATTAATAGTTTAAATTCTAATGATAGTGAGAGAAATAAGTCTTTTTAATAAACTATTAAGAGACTCAACAAAAATGATTCTTTTTGTGAACATGAAAAATTAAGGGCAGCAGATAGATAATAAAAATTAAAAAATAGAATTAAAAATTTAAACACTCTTATTTACAATTAAGTTAATGATATTAAAAAAAATGAAATTATACCTGAATAATAAGATGATTCAAATAATTTTAAACATTCTAAATAAAAAATAACAAAAGATTAATAAAATTTAAGATCTTTGACTTAATATACAATAGAAGATAGTTTTAAAGCTGACATCAATTTACATTAAAGTTATCATGCATAAAAAAATACTATTCTCAAATAAGTAGATAATAAATTTAAGGAAGATGACAAATAATCTTAATTAGTTGACTAATTAAGTAGTAGTATAGAATTATAAGGATAAAGAAAAAATTATAAATTAAGAAGATCATAGTATGCTCCAGAAAATAGAAAATTTGATGATGGAAGTTGTAGTAATAATACTGAACATATTAAACAATCCATTTATTCAATCAAAAAGTAAAACAATAAATCTATTGAACGTTTAACTCTAAAACCAATAGATTATGTTTAAGTCTGTTCAGGAGATAAGAAATTGTAATAAAATGAATAATTCATATTCCCAAAAAAATAAAAAAGGTATTAAACATAAGAAAAAGAGGAATTGGCATTAAATGAGATTTTAAAATTGAAAAAATAAAGTAATTAAAGTGTGAGGAATGCTTTATTATTATTAACATGTGCCCGTTCAGAATAGCTTTTAACTTCATTGATAGCTAGTGGAACAATTAAACATTAATAATATCAGTCTTTCTTATAACCAATTAAGATATATTCTAAAGCTAAATATCTGACTCCAAAGTGATATATTTACATAAAATCAAATATGCTCATAAATTTTTATTATCTGGATAAAGATACTTATATATAATATCTGCTGTTTAGAATTAATAATTTTTTAATGCCATATCCATGGCTGTTAACCCATTATACTAAAAATTGTTAAAATAAATTATACATTTTAAATTGAAGCATCAGCCCCATTTTTAAGTAAGAATTCTACAATTAATACTGCTCCACATTTTGATGCTGAAATTAGCATTGTGTTACCTTCATCATTTTGATAATTGACATCAATTGATGTTTCTAATTTAAGAATTTCTTTCAAATCTAAAAGTTTATGTTCTTCAACCATTAGAAATATTCTTTCTTGTAAACTTTTAACAACATTTTTTGTATTCTCAATTATCTTATTTCTATATAATAATGATTATGGATCCATAGATAATTATTTAAGATTATTTTAAAATGAAGTCAATTTAACCTTCTAAATTTTTGATTATTCTTTCCCATCCACTACTAAGACTTATTATTTAGAAGCTTATTGCTATAATTAAAATTTTGATGAAGTTTAAATTTGTAAGAACCTTTGTGACTCTTCTAAAAATAATTAATAGAATATATTATTTACTTCTTTATATATTTTTTAATAGTACTTATTAATTTTACATACCATTTTTCTAAGTTCTAGGTTCACTCTTAATAATAGAATTTATATAAATACAAAATTAGAAGGAGATTATGATCTACTTTTTATTGTAACTGGAGGCAGAGATAATATCATTAAGTTTGTTTGTTATTTTGGAACAGTTTCTGTTGTAGTTTCACGATGATGTCTAGATTTCAACATATTGGAATATTTTATTGATGTATTATCAGTTAAACTATTACCTTATTATTGAAAACATAATTTAACAAATATTTTCTCTTTTTTATTTAATTAATGTTTATAGCAATCTTCAAATAATCCAATACAAATATTTTCAAATTTCTTAAAAAAAGATTAAAGAAATTGCTTTCTATCATATTTATTAATTCGAAGGAATAGTCGGTTTAGTGCTTCCAAATCTAAAAAAATAATGCTTTTGATTTACGTGGTTATTAAGGTAAATCATAATCTATATGAATGACTTCTTCTATTTAATTTGCAAAGGCCATTATTTCTTGATGAAGTAAAATATTTTTAGATTCATCTGAGATAGTTGATATCATAAATTTGATGAATTTATCTTTAATTATATTTGGATTAATTAATTTTGATGATATTAGGAATTTGAGTTTAATTCCTTAATCTATAGAAGAGTCAATAAAGCTTTTATCATCAATTAAACTATCATCAGATATCATACTAGAATCTTATGAATCATATGGTTCAATACATCTATAAATAAAGCTATTAATTTCAAGAAATTAAGTTGCCTATAAGTCTTTCTTAAATAAAAATAATAATTACTGTAATAGAACAATCGAGAAGTTGTTTGGATAGAAAGATTTATTATTCTTATTTTGAATCTTATTTCATTATGTTCAATTGAGATTCTGAATCTTTTTTGTCTTTGATTTTCTTTTAATTGATACATTTTAAAGCATAATTTTACAAATAATATCTTGTGAATTAAGTTGCTTTATCAGAATTAAATTCTTCCATGGTTGTTTCACTCACATTCTAAATTTAATTCATTTTTCTAATTTATTTACTTAAAAGTACTTGCTAAACATATTTTTTGAAACCATAGAATAAATATTTGACTTTTTAGTATCTTTAGATTCAATTTAATCATTTAATAATTACACTGAAACTATTTAATCTTACTCCATATAATCTGGTATAAAAAATTCAAATTTATTAGATTTTTATTCTTCTGGACACTCAATAATTAATTTTATTTTATTTTTATTATTTGATGGATGTTTAGGTGATACAAGACATATTGAAGCTTATTTAATAGGATCTTATTATTTTTCTTTGATTTCTTCAATCAAACTCTTAATTGGTTTTAAAGATTCAGCTTATTAGGTTAATGTAAGTTATGAACTATATTTTGTATGTCTTTTTGGTATTGCTGATAATTATTATTGAAAGAGAAGTTCTTTTTAATTAAATTGATGTTATTCAGGTAAATATAATGTTTAAGCATGAAAGAATAGACTAGATTTAGCCATTTTAGTTTCAATAATAGTTCTACTTTTCATTTCTTTTTCTTCATTTCCTTCTCTATGAGTTTTAAGAAGTTAAATAATCTTTCTAACCATTCTTGAACTTTTCTCTTAAAATTTATCATATTCATTTAATATTGTCTTACAAAATATTTTTCTTTTCTCTTTGATTTTTGATTGCTTTTTATTTAATAACAACTCTTCACAAAGAACATCATAGAATTTATTAGTTATTTCTTAGACTTCTTCTACTGGTTGTTATGAAATCTAATCTGGCTCCCATATTTGAATAGAAGGTGAAGTTTGTATTCTTTAAGATGCCAATGTTGCACTTGGTTTTCTACTAATAATGACAATAGATCTTTTTAATTCATTTTATGCTGTTTAATCTTATTCAGTTTTTGCACGAATTGAGCTAGGTTATAATTCTGGCAATTTAATAGCTGTCTCATTCTTTCTTTTATGTTTACTATTTGTATAAGTCAAATATGATATTGGCTTTTATTCATTTGATCTTGTAACTGCTGAATTAGTACTCACTTATGAAATTGGCTTGGCTATTTTCTTGACAAAATAGTTATTAGCATGTTATTTCATTATTATAAAATGTTTAATTCAAATAAAACAAGAATTTCTAATTATGATTATTAGATATGACTTAATACATCAAATAAGATTTTGTTTGTTTTTCCATTCTATTTATTTTTCTATTGAACTAGAAATATTTAATTTATAGAAATACAAAGTAGATTAATATGTTTTGTCATTTTTAACAAAATTTATCCTAAATAGAAGATATATAGATTGGTATACAAATTAGACTATTTGCAGTCCATAAAATTATTATTTTTAACTAATTTTAGAAATTAAAGGTTCATAATTAAAATAACAAATGTGTCCATTTCTTAATGCTGTCCGAATACTGATCTTGTGGTTCATTATAATGGCCTTGTTTGTAAAAAAGAATCAAGGAAAAAGAATAGCTGAGTTGACTTGGACTTGTTTAGATAAATTTGGAACTATTTTGTTTAACTTTCACTAAAGATGTATTATTATATGATTTCATCAATTAATTTTTTTACAATCTAATATACTATCATTAATCTTTGCATCATCTGTTGTTTAATCATAATCATATGCCTTTATACTGATACCTTTAATAATTTTAACTGTTTCAATAATACATTAGTTTCAATTATCCAGAGATATCAAATTTAAGTTCCCATTGATCCAAATACTATTACAATATTAAACATGTCTAAGCAGTTGATTTAAGTGTTCGATACAGATAGCTTCATATGCAAAGTAAATAATTCATCTAAATTTAGATTTCCCCAATATTACAACTTTTTAGAATCTCTTTATCTTTATTTATGCATTAAGACTAAAAAGAGAGAGAAATCATATATGGAAAATATAGTATAGTTTGGTTGGATGCTGAAACTAATCCCAGTACTTGATATTGGAAGAACGGCTTTGATTACACTGGAAGTTGAAATTGTTTGAATGATTAAGTCACTCACTTAATAAAATAAAGAAAGACAGTAGGCATTTAATCTAGAAAATATCAAAAGAAAATTCTTTTATGGATAATATTCAACATGTGTTAAATTTACTTCACTATCCTTTTTATATTGTCCCATAAATAATAACCCATTTTTTATGACTATTCCAAATATTCAATTGGACAATCGACTATTCCAAACCTAAAATACTTTACTGGAGATGAAAATTGTTTGTAACTTATATTGAGATTTGAACTTTTAAAATTATCATAAATATAAATTTATACTTATTCTTTATTTTCAGACTATATATAATAAGATTACTAATAATCTAGTAATTCATAACTTAAAAACCTAACCTTCCATTAGAGATTTTTATTCTTGAATTGATTCTAGATTATTTTAGATCTTATTTTATAAGAATATAGAACGGTAGTTAAAAAGAGTACTTAGATCATTAAATTAATTAAAAACTCTTTTTTTAAGTAATAAAATCTATGTTATCTAAATCATATTATGTAAATGAATATAACTATTATAACAATAGTAGAATATTTGAATACAAATACTATTAATAAAGTGATAATTTTTTAGGATTTATAATTAGCACTTCATTTAATTAATTTATTGATCTTTTCCACTATTTATAAAGATTTCACATCTAATAAATATTTGAGAAAATTAGTAATCTTAATTAAAGGTGAATTTAATTAAAATTAGAGTTTCTTATCAATTTATACTTCTCTTTTTATTTAAGAAAATAGCCTTTCCATTTATTAAGTTTCTTATAATATAGATAATTGATAAAGTCTTAGTTATTATTGAGAGTTAATATAATTGTAATTTATTTTAAGAATTTGAAAATTTTTGAATAGATTCTAAAAATAAATTACAATTATATTTTTTAATAACTTAATTTAGGTCTATTTAATTTAATCTTTAATAAAAAATGATAAAAGTATAACTTAATCATCACTCAAGTTTTATAAAAATTATTATAAATTAATCTAATAATCAACAAAAAATTATTTATATTAATTTAAATACCAGTCCCGCCAAACTCTAAAATTATTAAAGATTAAACAAAAATTTAATCTTACATTCATTAAATAATTTAAATCATCAAACCTCAATATTTTTAGATGTCATATTTTTTCTATTTTGAAGAACAATAGAATGAGATTATTGTTGGAATTTTAGTATTTTTATCAATCTGCCTGGTTGTAATATTATAACTTTCACTGTAAAATAATATATAGCTTTAGAATAAGATAAAGTGCTAATTAGAAAATTATATATGAACAAAGTTATATAAAATAGTCTGTATTGGAATTTGAATAAAATAAATAGTAGCTAACAAAATATCATATTTAAAAATTGCAATAGAATCCTAAGTTTAAAGAATGGCAATCATATTCATAAAATATTTGAAAAATTAATTTATACATTTAGATAATATTATATTTGTATTTATAATGTAAATCTCTTATATTATTGCTTCCTATAAAAACAATCAATTAAACACAAATAATCTTAAGATTTTAATAAAATATAAACAAGATAATACAGATTAAAATTGATTATTTACAGATATTAATTAAATTAACTTTTTGACAAAAATTATTCTAATTTTTTAACTTGAAAACTTATATATCCTTAATTAGAATTGTTTGGATTATTAAAAGATCCTTTATAACTTTTATTTAGATAGTTATTTTTTGGTTTTTTTTTTAAATTTAATTTTATATTTATATTCAGATTCACCCTTAGTCTTATTTCTTCTTTTTACTATAATTTTTTAGTATCTTTATATTTTAGTGTTTTATCTTATTGTGATTCTTTTTACTTTTTTTAGAGTTTCCTTTTATTTAGAAACAGTTTCTAATATTTTAAGGATACTTATTGATATGTTTTCATATTGTTTTATTTTTCTATTGACTTTTGATATGATAACAATTTAATTTTTTATGAGTTTTGAGTTTCATAAAGCTTTTTATTTTCATTTTATGATTAATTTATTAATTTTATGTTAAGAATATTTAGTAAATGTAGATTCTCAACTCAAAATTTTTATTAATTACTGGGAGTTCGTAGAGATGCTACTAATGAGGAAATAAAAAAATAATTTCATATTTTAGCCAAACAGCACCATCCTGATTCACCAAATGCTAAAGAGAGTGACTAAGTATAAATTAATTTAAATAATAGGAATTGTTTAAAACAATTGTAGCAGCATATAATACTTTATCAGATGAAAATGAGAGAAAGAAATATGATAGGATTTTGATTGATTAATAGCAATAATCTAGTGGGAGATAGTAGAATTAAGAAACAAGAACATAATATTCTTAATAATAAAGTCAATAGCAATAGAGACCTATAAATCCAAATGCTTAATTTTACTACGATTTTCGTAAAAAGACATAAGATTTTGAGGAGAAAGACTTTCAAAGACAAAGGAATAAATATATTGAAGACAATCCATTATTCCATAGTATGAGAAGAAGTCCAGAATTATATGTAGTGAGTTTGGTGTTGTTTGTGATAATGTGGAGATGGAATTCACAAATGATTGAAGAGAGATCATAATCAAGATATTAATCATTTCCAGAGGATCCAGAATTCATTAGAGAGAAAGAAAGAGATTACAAAAAGCGTTATGGTCATTCACCTTATCCAGATAGACAAATCTTGTATAAAGTGACAGAGACTGAATGCAAGTAAATAGATTTAATGATAATAAAGAAATATTCCAATTGATATTCTGGATGAAATGGATGAGAGTGGTAGATACAACTTGGCCCCATTATGTTATGAGAGATTAGATAGATTCAGATCAGAATAGGGAGTATAAGTCATTTAGGCAAGCCAAGGTTCAGAAGATACAGTAAGCAAATACTTAAAATTGTCAAAAAGAGCATAAATTAAAAAATAAATTGTGGATGAGGAAGATGATGATGATGAAGATGAACAAGACGTCTCAAAATTATATGAATAGGCAAAGATCTTCAGAAGAGTAAAAGGCATAGAAGGAAATCATCTAAATTAGTAAAATGTGCAAAAACTATACGAAAATTAGTAAAAATAATAATAATAATAACAATAATAATAATAATAATAATAATAATAATAATAATAATAATAATGATGATTAAATGTTCTAATTTATTTATTTTGATTTAATAATTTTCATATGAAGAAGAGTGATCTTCTCTGATTCAATATTGGATTTGGCTTAATCAAAGATTATGGTTTTCTGGGATCAAATCTATCTCCTATAAAATTAGAACAAACATGAGCATATTGGATAGGTGCAGGTATCTACTAAAACTATAACAATTACTTTAATGGCTCCACTGAAATTGTAATACATGTAGCACAATTTATAAGACAAAGCCTACAATTTCTTAAGGATATTAGGTTCATCAAATAAATCATTCACTAAAACATGATAATGAGTAGGCTACACAGTTCCTTAAGTTGTTCTTTGAGATATCAAATAATAATCATCTTTTCCATTGCTAATTTCAGTATCTATCAATGTACCCTAAGGAGGATTATCTAAGTTTCTATATTAATGATAATAAAAATAATAATTACCTCTCTCCTGCATAAAATTTAGCTCCTACTTTTTTATTGACTGATAATACTATCAATTTGATTGGTTTGTCAGAATTCTTTTCTGTTTTAACTTATTCAATTGCTTATCTAAATTATGCTACTTCTGTTTCAATAACAGTTTTTGCTTAAGAATTAGAAACACCATCTCTAAATATAATGATTCGAGATGGTAAAGGACCATTCCTATCTCCACAAAAAGATTGCAAAGATTTGACTAATACTGGACATAAACTGAATGAAAATTCTACTCCAGTTTCCATTTCAATTGATTAAGTCATGTATTTACTAAAGAATTCATCTTCTGTTGATACAAATGATAACATAGATTTTTTTGCTTTTCCAGTAGAATGATATACATCCATTCCACAAATCATAGTTGGTTAATCAGTAAATGGTAATTCTGATACTCCCCAAGGTGTTCCTCCAACTTTAGCACAAATTTGAACCAATAATTTATTACAAATAGTTTTAACTTTTCCTTTAGGTTAATTTAAAGTGGAACTCAATATAACTTATGAAGCTATTGGACAATCATTAATTAAATATCTTTTGATATCTGTATAAAGTGGAGCATTCTTCTTTGGACCATTTAATATTAATAATAACAAGGTTACTTTTTATGGTCCTTATGATTATTATACAATTAAATCTATTTATTTAATCCAATCTTCAATTCTATTTGAATGAAGTACAAAAGTACGAGGAGCTTTGCATTAAAATTTACAATATTCAATACTCTCTCTCAAACAACTCATAAAATCTTCAGCTTATCTACTATCTCTATCACTATATAAAATTCCCCAATTCTCTAAACCTACTCCTCTTAACATAGCTGTCTGAGTATCTCGATCTAAATTACCTGTTTCTATATTTATAGCTGTATTATTGCCCATCATAATATTTCCTGGTTTGANAATCTATCTCCTATAAAATTAGAACAAACATGAGCATATTGGATAGGTGCAGGTATCTACTAAAACTATAACAATTACTTTAATGGCTCCACTGAAATTGTAATACATGTAGCACAATTTATAAGACAAAGCCTACAATTTCTTAAGGATATTAGGTTCATCAAATAAATCATTCACTAAAACATGATAATGAGTAGGCTACACAGTTCCTTAAGTTGTTCTTTGAGATATCAAATAATAATCATCTTTTCCATTGCTAATTTCAGTATCTATCAATGTACCCTAAGGAGGATTATCTAAGTTTCTATATTAATGATAATAAAAATAATAATTACCTCTCTCCTGCATAAAATTTAGCTCCTACTTTTTTATTGACTGATAATACTATCAATTTGATTGGTTTGTCAGAATTCTTTTCTGTTTTAACTTATTCAATTGCTTATCTAAATTATGCTACTTCTGTTTCAATAACAGTTTTTGCTTAAGAATTAGAAACACCATCTCTAAATATAATGATTCGAGATGGTAAAGGACCATTCCTATCTCCACAAAAAGATTGCAAAGATTTGACTAATACTGGACATAAACTGAATGAAAATTCTACTCCAGTTTCCATTTCAATTGATTAAGTCATATATTTACTAAAGAATTCATCTTCTGTTGATACAAATGATAACATAGATTTTTTTGCTTTTCCAGTAGAATGATATACATCCATTCCACAAATCATAGTTGGTTAATCAGTAAATGGTAATTCTGATACTCCCCAAGGTGTTCCTCCAACTTTAGCACAAATTTGAACCAATAATTTATTACAAATAGTTTTAACTTTTCCTTTAGGTTAATTTAAAGTGGAACTCAATATAACTTATGAAGCTATTGGACAATCATTAATTAAATATCTTTTGATATCTGTATAAAGTGGAGCATTCTTCTTTGGACCATTTAATATTAATAATAACAAGGTTACTTTTTATGGTCCTTATGATTATTATACAATTAAATCTATTTATTTAATCCAATCTTCAATTCTATTTGAATGAAGTACAAAAGTACGAGGAGCTTTGCATTAAAATTTACAATATTCAATACTCTCTCTCAAACAACTCATAAAATCTTCAGCTTATCTACTATCTCTATCACTATATAAAATTCCCCAATTCTCTAAACCTACTCCTCTTAACATAGCTGTCTGAGTATCTCGATCTAAATTACCTGTTTCTATATTTATAGCTGTATTATTGCCCATCATAATATTTCCTGGTTTGATTTTAGAACTTTAAATCTATAAACATTTTGGTTCTAATTAAATATTCCATTTCTTAATCAATTCTTCACTCTCTTTATTATGAAAACACTATATAAATTGATCTGCCTATTTCACTCTATCTACTCCTCTTGGTTTAGTAACAGTGGATAATTATTTCATAGTCTAGAAATTATTTCTCATTTCATTAGATAATCCTGTCATTACACATAATTCTGGTATTAAATAGATAATCTTCTCTTCTTGTTTCTTTCTAGATTTCTCTAAGACTTCTATCAATGGTTAAGTTACGTCTTTTATGGCAATCTTGTATCTATTATAGAATTATGTTCGTACTTATCTTAATAATATTACATGTATGTCATCTTTTCTCCTTTCAAATTTTCAAATTCACTCTTCGGATTCATTTCCCTACTTACTTTATTTACTTTATAGAATTTATAATTATAGACTGTCATGACTATAGCTCCTTCCAATTATGAAAAATCTCTAGAGTTCCTTAATTCCTCATACATAGTAGTACTTCTCAACATTTTAAAAGAAGAATCTATATTAATGTAATATTTCCCTTATTCTTCTTATTTTATTAGACTACAGGTAACTCCTGGTAAAACCTTATTATAATTAAATTTATAGATACTTTTAATCCGAATTAATCAAAATTAATTAAATTTTTAGTATTAAAGTACTTTCTACCAATTTATAACAATTTTTGCTATTTTAATAACATTTTAAAGAATCTTCCAATCAATCCAGTATATTCAGGTTCTCCAGATTTAAGAACAGCCTTCTCTTCAATAGAAATTGAATGACTAACTCCTTCTTCTTCAAACACTCCAAGAAGTAAACCCATTGTCTATGCTCTAATAGGTGAATAAAGGATTTAGTTATTGGTAATGAAAACTTTGAGGTTCTCTTATAGACCGGACTTAGCAATTTTGAATATTTCTCTCCATTTAGAAATCTATTATTCTGGAGATAAGAATGGTTAAAATGTTAGCTATAAGAGTATGATTATAAATATAATACTTGATATCTATAGATATGGCTATTTGGATTGATTTGAATCTAATAGAAGTTGGTATATACTGTTTATCCTCTTTCAATCATAAATGATCTTAATAATTGGAGAATGTAAGTGAGAGTAATCTAGGGATATATATACTAAAAAATCTAAGGATTTTAATTATGTTCTGTAAAATTTAGAGTAATTAGCATTTATTGTATAGTATGAATAACTCATTTTTTTAATTATCTAAAAATAATTATTATGTTATATATAGAAAAGATAATGGATGGATAAGAGTGTTTGGGATGTTAGAATTAGTTATAAGTAGATGAGATTAATAAAATAGTGTGAAAATATGAAAAACAAATTGATATATAGAGATTAATAACATAATTATTAATTATGAAATAATTTTAATAATATACAAATTGGATTATATGTCTAGATCCTGATAGTCGTTAAATTTATTCAACAAATGGAGATATCATCATCATAGAAACTCATGTGGATCCTTAGTACAAACAGAAATGTGAAAATGCTCTATAGGATATGTGTTACATTCTGTATAATCATGAGAATGTTGCACATTGGTTACAAGATTCAAGTGAAGTAGAATAATATAGAAGAAGAAACATTCCTTCATATCTTTTACACCCTAAACAACAATAATATAGAAGATATTTGTTAGAATCAAATATGGGATTCTCATTTAGTAACATTTACACTATTAAATTTAACATCATTTGTTAATGTTAGAATGATCTATTGAATGGAAAACAGACTAAAATAGAATTTAATTTAATGACAAGTGCAGATGAAGCTATTTAAATGATATTAAAATAACTTCAATATTAAATGTCAAATTTACATTAGTATATTTTACAAGTGGATGGATATTAGGAATACATTTATGGAGAATAACCTTTATTATAATTTACAAGAATTCGAAACATAATAAGAGATAGTCAAGTATTAAATACTATATTAATTGATTACATGCCTTCCAATAATTTTGATTATCCTCCTATTTATAAAAGACCCAAAGATAATTATGATTTGATTGAGGATTGGAAAAACTATTTAGAAATACCTGTATTTATATGGTATCCTAAATAAAAGATAGTCAATTAACAGATCAGTATATTAAAACAAGTAATATAGACTTATATCATAGAATAGAATTGTAAATGATTTAGACTTCATTTATTCTGGATAATGTGATTTCTTTTTTAGTTTTAAAATAATTAAAATAGATTAACTTAAGAATCTATTTGAATCTGACTTTGATAGATTAGGTAAAAAGAGATCAACCTATAATGGAACAACTAAATTAAATAATATTACCAAAAATTAACCATCTAAAATCAATAAAAATAAAGATATTCTTATGTTTCATAGAAAGGAAACATAGTAAGATGAACCATATATCCCTATTAGATATGTATCTTTTGGAGGAGTTGAAAATAGAAATTATATTAAATAAATGTAAACACTTTTTAATCTTAATTTTGAACCATATTTAATATCAATTGAAGCATCCATATATTATGGTGATAAATTATTAACTAATTCATCTATTATTGAATCATAACTAATCCCATTTTCATTTACACCTACCTTTAATGCAACTATTAAATTTAGTCAAATCAAATACTCTATGTTACCATTAGAAGTTAAATTATGTTTTAGAGTTTTAATTTATTCTTTTAATGGAGAATCCTAAATTTTAGGAAGTACCAGTATGTACTTGTTTGATCAAAATTCAAAATTTAAATAAGGATTATAAACTCTTAATTTATGGCCATTTTATGATATTAATCCAAAAATTGGATGTTTTTAAGATTTTAAAGGAGAAATTAATCTCGATAACAATTATAAAAGATGCAGACCTAAATGTTACAGCTATTTATCTATTAAAATGGATTGTTTTAGTTCTTAAATGAAATGGTCATTAAGAGATTAAAAATTTTAATAATTTCATCAAGGAAGTTTAAAGGATTGTTTAAATGTTAAACATTATGCAGATTTAGTAAGATCAGATCCAGAATTACAAAAATAGATTGAAACAAAAAAGAATTATCATTATGTAAAAGATCATAGAATACAACTTGATCTAGATAAAACTACAGGGTCCATTATATCATAAAATAAAAGGAAGGGAATAAGCATCCTATAAAATATAGATAGCTAAAGATCAAGTAATTTCTCATAATTAGCTAGAAATTCATTAAATAACTTCTTACAATATTTTATATCAAATAGAATGACTGCTAATTATTATAAAGAAAATAGTGATAGATTTGGTCTTGCTTATCCATACAAAGATATTGATCAAACTCCAAAAACTGAAGATCTTGCCTATTTATAAACACTATTATCAGCTACTTCATTAGATAGAGTACATTATACTTAATTGGATAAATTTTTATTAATGATATGTAGACATCATTACAAAACATTACCTTATGCATTATAATTATTTCTAAAAGCTGTAAATTGGGCTGATCCTAAATAAGTAAGAGAAGCCCATTAAATGATAAAAGAATGGATTCCTTTACCACCATAAATTGCATTAATTTTAATGGATTCCCATTTTCCAGATGAAATAGTTCGTTTATATGCTGTAGATAGAATAAGTCTCTTATCTGATGATGAGTTGAGTTTATACTTATTACAATTAAGTTAAGCATTATAATTTGAGAAAAATATATATAATCCTTTAGGAGAATTACTATTGGAGAGAGCTTCAGCAAATCCTTTTCAAATAGGATAAGAATTATTTTGGCTATTAAAATCATAATTGAATTTGAAACCTTCATTTCTGAGATATTTTATATGGCTAGAATAATTAATAATGATATGTGGATAATTTAGAGAGACAATTGTTAAAGAAGTAAGATTAAATAATCTTTTAATTGAATCATCTCTAAAAATTAAGAGTAAATAAGTAGGGACTGAGATGTAATAGAAAACAGATGCATTAAAGAAAGAATTATAAATTATAACTTAGAATATAGTATAACCTTTTACATTTCCAATTGATGCACGTATGTAAATTGCTAGTTTTGAGATTGATTAATGCAAGGTATTGAATTCAAAAAAATTACCATTGAAATTATATTTGAAATCTTATTAAAAATCAATTAATTAATAAATTAATCAACTTTAGGTGATTTTTAAGAATGGAGATGATTTAAAATAAGATATGTTGACTTTGTAGATTATAAAGATTATAGATACAATATGGTTGGATTCAGGATTAGATTTTAAGATGAAACCATATAAAGTGATTGCTACTGATGATTAAGTTGGAATGATTGAAGTAGTATTGGATTCATTGAATATTTCAGAAATTCATGATAATATTGGTGCATTTGGAGCATTTGATGAAAAAGCACTTATCAATTATTTGCATCAATAGAATCAGAATCCTGAAGATTTTAATAGATCCAAAGATATATTCCTTAGATCTTGTGCTGGATATTGTGTTGCCACTTATGTTTTAGGGATTGGTGATAGACATAGTGGTAATATAATGATAAAATCAAGTGGTCATATATTTCATATTGATTTTGGACATTTCTTAGGCAATTTCAAAATCAAATTTGGAATAAATAGAGGTAAAAGTTAATAACATTATAGAAAGAGCGAAATTTGTTTTAACTCCAGAAATGTTAACAGTGATGGGTGGTTAAGATAGTGAAACATTTAGATAATTTGAAAAACATTGTTTGGATGCATATAATTTAATTAGAAAACATGGAAGATGGTTAGTAGATTTATTTTTGATGAATTTAACTGCTGGAATACCTGAATTATAGAATGCAGAAGATGTGAGATACTTATAAGATAGATTGGCTTTAAATTTATCAGAATAAGAAGCAATAATGAAATTTAGATAGGAAATAATTACATCAATTAATGATAAATGGAGAAGAGTTGACAACTTTTTTCATACTCTTAAAAGAAAAGGATGAACATTTTTATAACTAAATTAATATAATGAATAATTAATAATAATTAATATTAAATAATATATAGAGTATCATATGTAATAAACAATTGACAAAGGGTTTTATCAAAGCAAAGTTTGTGTAATCGATAATGGTATATAATTAAACTATATTATAGGTACTGGATTTACAAAGATGGGGTGGGCTGGAAATACTGAACCATAATTTGATATTCCTACTGTTGTGGCAGATCATTAAGAAAAAGTAATTTGATAAATTGATATTAGTAAAAAGTTCAAATGAGCAAGAATACAAATGAAAATTTAGATTATTACATAGGATATGAAGCATATGACTATACAAAGTCTCACAATATCTTTTATCCAATGAAGAGTGGTATTGTAGAAAATTGGGATCTTATGGAAAAGTTTTGGCATAGAAGTATATTTGATTACCTCAGAGCTGAACCAGATGAAACAACCTTCATATTAACTGAACCACCTATGGTAAATATGCAATAATGATATATAGAATCCTCCTGAAAATAGAGAGAATATTGCAGAAATCTTTTTTGAAACATTCAATGCAAAAGGATTACATATTTCAGTTTAGGCTGTCTTATCCCTTTTCTCAAGTGCATTTGCTCCTGTTAATGATTTTTAAAAGACAGCTGGATTAACAGGTATGGTCTTAGATTCAGGAGATGGTGTAACACATTGTATACCTGTTTCAGATGGTTATGTTATAGGATCATGTATTAAACATATCCCTTTGGCAGGAAGAGATATAACTTAATTTGTTTAAACTTTATTAAAAGAAAGAGGAGAAAATATCCCTGCAGAAGATATAAAAAAAGTAGCTAGAGAAGTTAAAGAAAAATATGGATATTGTATAAGTGATGGAGATTTAATAAAGGAATTTTAAGCTTATGATAGAGGAGATAAAAACAAATTCAAAACATATTATGGAAAGAATTCTGTTACTAAAGAAAAATATACAATTGATATTGGTTATGAAAGATTCTTAGGACCTGAAATGTTCTTTCATCCTGAATTCTTAGATGGTAAATGGAGATCTCCTATTGATGAAATCATTGATAAATCAATATAAACATCTCCTGTAGATTGTAGAAAGAAATTATATTAAAATATCATTTTATCAGGTGGATCTACTTTGTTTGATGGATTTGCTCAAAGATTAGAATAATAAGTATAACTTAGGATTGATTCCAGACTCTAAAAATATGAATAAAGATCTGGATTTAAAGTATTATCTTTTTCATTATATTTAAGCCTGCACCAATTAAAGTTAATGTTTCATAGAATCCTTTCTAAAGATATGCTGTTTGGTAAGGAGGAAGTTTGATGGCATTATAAGTATATATATATTCAATTTATTTTAGCCACAATTTGAGAAAGTCTATCATACTAGATAAGAATATTTTGAAAGAGGTCCATCAATTGCAAGATACAATGCTGTCTTTTAGCCATAGTATTGAATGTATGTTCACATTAAATAAGAAAATTAATATATATATATATATATAAATGAGTACTGATTCATATTAATACAAACCTCATGTCATTAATGTTTCTTATACAGAAATATCACCTGACATTCCAGAATTCTTTACACATAAAAGGCATGTATTTATTATGACAAATACAGGAAGACCCATATATGTTAGATATGGTAATGAAATAAAGGTATTTATTAATTATAAAATATCAAAAGTCTTCAATATTTTTAGCAACCATTAATGCAATCTTTTAAAAGTTTCTTTTATTCTTTTTTGAAGATAAAGAAAAATAAACCTTATTTAAGATTTCACATCATAAATGCAATATTTACATTCTACAAAGAAATTAAATCACTTATATATGTTCAACAAGTTCTCTCTAAGTATACACACTAGTTTATGATAGGATTCTGAATTCATCATTTATTAAATGTTGGATTTTCTTAATACATAATTGATATCCATTGTAACAGATTAAGCCAATATTCATTTATCACAAAAACCTAATTACGATCTAGCATTTTCTGTAGGAGGATCCAGAAATCTATTAACTCTAGCTGTTAAAAATGGATTATATTCTCCCTGTATAGCATTTAATTCAATCTGCACTTTGCCTATGACTGTCTCATTGAGATAATTTATTCATAATAATCTAAAAGAAATCAAATTACCTAATATAATAGCATCTTTGTTATTGACTGAAACTTTTGTAATCGATATATGTAGATAAAAGAATATGGAATTTAAGACATCTGATATTTTGATTATATAAAGTATGATATAAGGATAAGGTTAATTGAAGAAAGGTGAAAATTGGATACCTATATGTTTACCAGGTTTATCAGCAATGGGATTTGTTTATGCTTACATATATTTCTTTTATTAAAATATAATTGGGATTGTAATGATTTCTGATGATAATTCTTTGGATATGTTCACAAAATGTAAAGAAGCAGCTTAAGTATTAATTTAGAAATTCAATTCAAATAATCTATAATAAACTCTATCTTCATGTCTTTAAAATAATCCAAATACTCCAAAATGTATAGATAAATAACTTCAAATAAAACATTTCATTGTAAAACACATTTAAGGATAAGTATACCTTCCTGTATTTTAAGCATTTGGAATAAATAATAAGAATTTTAAGTTTTATATGCAATAATATGGAGAATTATATAAAGATTTTATCATAGCTTAATCACTTGGTAATTAAGATACTAAATAAAATTATTTTGTATGGGATTCTAAAGGTTTTGGTATAACATAATACCATGATGTAGTTGTAAGAATATTAAAATTATAATAAGATAATGTTTTGTTTTAATGAATTGATTGAGTTCCAATAAATGGTATAGAATGTACATATTCTCTAAAAGATGTTCAGAACAGAAGAATTAGGATACTATTTTATATTGAAACCATCCTGATGATGGATTATTAAAGATATATATAATTTTATTAAAATTTGAATGTAATAAAAGTAATTACACATTCCTGGAAAGAGATTGAAATAATATGAAATAGTGAAACTTATTGGATCTGGGGGATATTGTAAAGTTTATCATGTAATTGTTGATAAATTTATTAAAGGCTGTTAATATCTAAACAAATGAAAATGTTGCAATAAAAGTTGTAGCTATTTCAACTTTTAAGAATCATGGAGGATTAGTTGGTTAATTACATGAAACAGAAAAATAAAATATGAAATTAATTAATAGTAACTATGTTGTTAGATTCATTGATGAATTTCAATAAAATAAATATTCATACATTGTAATGGAGTATTGTAATTGTAATCTTAATTAATTTTATAATAGAGGGAGATATTGAAAAACCATGGTTGGAACAAAATAAACATTTTACTGAAGAATAAGCTATTATATATGTAAAATAAATACTTAGAGGAATACAAGATCTTTAAAAATGTTAAATAATGCATAGAGATATTAAAATGAAAAATATTCTTATGCATAATGATTAAATCAAATTAGGAGATCTAGGGTTTAGTAAGTCTAAACGTAAATTTATGCATTTAGTATAAAAATGATAATCCAATGACATTGACTATTGGAATGCTTGGTTACATGGCTCCAGAGGTTGTTCAATCTAAACAATACTAAAATACAGCTGATATTTTTAGTTTGGGATGTTTGTTCTATTTGATGATTTATGGAGAATTACCTTTCTCAGATAAGAATCATTAAATCTATTTGTATGAAACAAAAAATAAAAGTACAATAAACTTTATAAAGAGAAATTATTCATAATGAGAATACAATATCATAAAAAACATAGTTCATTTTAAATTCAATGTTAGAATATGATCAAGACAAAAGAATTGGTTGGATAGATTTATATAAATATTTTGATCAAATGTGAATATCACAAAGAGAATAAATATATTCATATGAAGTATATCATAATTCAATATTACCTAAAACCTCTTAAACTTCAAAAGGATAATTAACACTCTTCATTTCTTATAATAAATCATCATCTTTGATATCAGGATTTTTTAAACTCTATAATGTTTTCTCTTAATCCTTAAATCTTGGATATAATATCTTTAATATAGCAATTCCACATTTCCATAGAATATGTGTACCATTAAATAACATTCTATCCCAAATTCTACCTACAATATCAGGATTTAATGGTTTTGCAAATAGAGTTAAGATCCAATCAAGCAAATAATTAGTACAATTTATATTATATTATTTAAATAGTTTATAAACTTGAGGAATATTGAGTTTAATTAGTTTTTCAAATTATTGAAATATGATTTAAAGATTCTATTCATCAAGCATAAATATTGATATTAATTAAGGATGTGTTATTAAACTACTAAAAATAACAAAAGCTTAATAATCATCAAAATAAGTTAATAAGATTGATCCAACATATGTCATACCTTATACATAACCAATATCAGGTCTATATAAACAAAATATTTCAAGAATAGTTTATAAATTTTCACTTAAAGGTCCTCCTGGATGGAAGATTTTTTGTAAACCTAATAAAGATTTACAATAAAATAAATACTTTCATTTTTGAATGTTCTTCCTAAATCTTATTTGATGTGATTAAATGATGATAATCTACCTAAAGATTTTCGTTAATCAAGTTTAAAAGTTTTACTTTGAATTTGTAAAATATTATAAAGTTCTTTTGTAATTTATAGTTTATTTCCAACAATAAGTGGCCAAATTTATTTTCTAGCACTTATTGGTATACCAAATTCTGCTAATTGAAATACTTTTACATCTCTTTTATTTCTTTACCAATCTTTAGCAATATCAGACCATCTCTTTTTTAATTCCTTAATTTATTTTATTAAATAGTTATACTTTTTCATTTTCTTGTTATTTTTATTCAAATAAATTCTTATTTTAACTAAATTTCATAGTATTCTCTTCATGTAATGAAGTACTTCTAGTTGATGTCATACATTTATTTGTAAAATAATTTTGAACATCAGATAAATATTCATTTTCTTTATTTTAATTCATTTTGGAGGAAGAATTTAAAATAAATTATTTATTATACTTTAATAAAATAATTTATTTGTTAAATTAACTACTTTTTAAATAAAAAAAAATGAAATTAAATATTTCAGGAACATCTATTAACACTAAATCATCTCTTAATACAAAAAAAGAATAGGATATTAAGAATCTAAAATAGAATGATGATCATATCTTTTTTGATCTAACAGAATTTTAAACATCTGATTCAAACACACCATTAAGTATTTAACTGAAAGAAACTACTATAACTAATTAATAACAAAATAAACATTTTTTCCCATCCAAACCTATTTTATCAGAAAATAAATTACCACCTTTAAATTCCAGATATCATTTAGTATAAGAAATTTCAAGAGAATAGATTATAAAAAAGAAACTATTTAAAGAAAACTATTCTGTAATGTCTTTACCTTCCACATAATCCTTATTTTCTTCTAAAAGTCAATCAATTGATTATTAGAAACTAGGATCAGAAATTGTTAATGCTCCAAATTCTTAAGATTATTATAAATTTTATAAACATTCAAAAAAATGTTTAGATATTCAATCATTTAATGAAACTCCAAATAATATTTATGTAAATTTAAATAAAGCTATGGAATAATAATAATGTATGCCAAGAAAAATGTAAATTATTGATAATCATAATAAAAAAGATATTAGTGTTGCTGGTTAATTAAGTAGTCAATAATATATTAAGATGTTTGCTGCAGGATTAGCATCATCAACATTTACTCAATTAGAAAAACTTAATTTGAGTTCAAATAATCTTAATAATGAAGATTTGGAAATTATTTTGGATCAATTACCAAAATCTGTTTAATGTTTGGATTTTAAAAATAATAAGATCTCTAAAAATGGATGCTTATTTTTATAAAAGTTACTATTAAAACAACATTAATTTGTAATTGAACTTAATTTAGAAAATAATTAAATTGGAGATTAAGGCTTAAAATATTTAATTGATTCATTGTAAAATAATAAATGTTTAAGAGTTCTTAATTTATCTCATAATTAAATTTAAGATTCAATAATGGAACAATTTGGAAAAATGATGAAAAAAGTATATATAAATATATTATTAATAATAGAATAATATCATATAGGAATTATATTTACATTACAATAAAATAACATTTAATGGAGGTATTTTCTTTTTCAAAGGATTAAGCAAGAATACAGTATTGAAAGTTTTGGATATTTCATTTAATAAATTAGGAGGAAATAAAGATTGCACTAATGAAATATGTAATTTGATTGCCAGACCTCATCCTGAATTAATTCACTTAGATTTATCACACAATGATTTCAAATCTAAGGATTCTTAAAAAATAGCAAATGAATTAGAGTTCAATAAAATTATATATGGATTTCATTTTGAAGGTAATTCAAATTATCAAATAAATCATAAAGGATATCTCAAAGAATAAAAAAATAAAAAATTAGTAACTGAATCATAATAAGATGATATTAATATAGAAGAATAAGATAAAAAACAACTTGAAATAAAAATGTAATAAATGGAATAGTAAACTTAAAAGAAAAAAAATGAATTCATAAGAATTTAAAGTGTAGATATAGTAAATTTATAATTAGAGAATTGTTGGATTTGTTAAGGTTGGGTTGAAGTACTATTTTAATGGAAACCACATAAATCTGGACTCATAGATGAAGATCCAATATTTATTCATCTTGAATTTGAAGATTATTAACCATCATTTATGTAAAAAACACCTGAAGGAAATTTTATATTACATAGAATGTGTCCACCCAATCAAACAATCAGATATTTCTTTAGTAATCCAGTATAAAATGTCTAAGTTTATGCAAAAGATTAAAAGACTATCTAAACTTAAGCTCATTCTTAATTAAGAAATTTTGGTGTACAAATGGAATATTCGAATGGTAAAGTATTATAAAGTTAACCATTACATACTGTTAATATGATTCAAACATCATAATCTGCTCCAATCTTTGATAAAAAGAAACATTATCTAGCTAATATTCAATGTAAACCAAGAGAACTTGAGAAAATAGTTGAATTTGATGTTGAATTGGCTAAAAAAAGAAAATGGACTTTAGATAATTCAATTTTCAAGGATTTCGATGAAGATACAGAAGTGCATTTAGAATAATGTTTGGAAGCAGATTTAGAGAACAGTAAAATATTAAGGCATTTAATCAATCATAATGAGATTAATCCTCTAAAAGTATATTTGAATTGATTTATTTATAGGAATAATTAAAGAAGTATTACAAATACATAATTTCATGCTATAAATATTTAGCATCATAATAATGTGAATTAGATTTTCCAAGAATAAATATTTAAACAATATAAGGTTTTTATTATCAATCTAAAAATAATCAATTGATTAAATAAGTAGATTGGGAAATCTGTTTAATTAGTACTATAGTTATTAAAGACTTTAAATCTTAATTTATTTAAGAAAGATCATTAGTTAGACATCAATTTCTAGAATTATTAATTAGATTAGCAAAGGAAACTTATGTTAAATAAGGAAATTGTTAAAGTATAGCTCAAGGATTTGAAAAAATGATGTAAGGATAAACAGGATAATTTGGTTTTATTTTAGATTATGGTTGCTCTCAATAGTGGAGAGATGAGAGATATTGGACATAAATTATGGATATGACAATTCGATTAAAATTGCCATTTCTTAAATAATTATTTTCTTACACATCTAACTTTTCAAATAAACCATATGCTAAAGAAAAATTTATTTCATTTTAAGATTTAAAGATCTTACTCTAAAATTCTGAATTTTTACCTAATTTA